TGTGCAAGCTCGTCAATTTTCTCGCTTGCGCCACTGATAACAGTTTCGCTGGGCGCATTGATACAAGCCACCTCGGTAGCTTCATCAAGGAACTGCCTAACCTGTGCGACTGAAGACTTGACGGCAAGCATAGCGTGCGTTCCAACCTTGATTTGCTCGGTGAGAAGTTGGGCTCGTCGCCCGGCAAGGTAGATGGTGTCACTGGTTGTCAAGATACCGGAAGCATTCAGTGCAGCAAACTCGCCGAGGCTATGGCCCATGACAAAGGCAGGGGAAACACCCAAAGCCTTCCAGTACTTGGTCAATGCCATCTGCACACAGGTGGTTCCGAGCTGGGTAACGACCGGGCTATGCTCTTCAATTGGCACACTTCCATCGACTAGAGACAAAATAGACGGGAAGCCCTGGCTCTCACCAATACAATTCAAGTGCTCAATGTTGGCGCGGAATTGCGAGCAACTCTCAAACAGTTGGCGTCCCATGCCTGTGTACTGAGCACCCTGTCCGGTAAAGACAAAGCCGATGCCAGGTGCATTAACAGGAGCCGGGCTGATACTGTCTCGGTTGACGATAGGAGCCAATCCACTCCTGACTTCATCCAGAGTCGATCCAGTGACAGCAACTCTGAAGGGATGATGAATGCGCCTCGCCGTAGTTGTGTAAGACAGATTGGCAAGGAGGCTAGCCTCGTTGGTGTTGAACGAGTTCTTGTTTGTGTCTATGTACTGCACGAGAGCAGAGATGTTGCTCTTCAGCGCGGACTGGGACCGAGCAGAGACAAGCACAGGATGGGCGGACCGGAGGTCTTTCACATTCTCTTCATTGAGAGGGCCGTCCTCGACCATCAGAGCAGTATTTCCGCCGGCAGCCGAGAAATTGTTGACGAAGGTCTTTCGCTTGCCGCCATTTGGCCTGTTCCAGGGGGTAGGCTCAGACGCAATGTGCACATTGCGCTGGGGGAAGTCTGTCGGGAAGTTGTGGTTGATCTTGGTCTTGATGCCACAGTGAGGGGGGATCATGTTCTTCCGCATCATCATCAAGACCTTGATCAGAGCTGTGACACCAGAGGCCGATTCTCCGTGGCCAACGTTTGCCTTCGCTGAACCGAGGTGGAGAGATTGGGTAGGCCCACGACGGTAGTCAGGAGCGAAGACATCGAGAACCGACTGCATCTCCACTGCATCACCTGCCTGGGTGCCAGTTCCGTGCATTTCGATATAGCTAATCTCTTTTGGATCGCTGTTCGACTCGTTGAGAAGCTTGTCAAAGATGAAGGACTGTGCTCCTACATGAGGCCGGGTAATCGACACGGCCTCTGCTGAGTGGTTGGTGTAAGCTCCTCCAATGATACCGTAGATTGGATCGTTGTCTGCCTGAGCATCTTCAAGTCTCTTAATGACAATGGAGCCAATTCCATCTGCTCTGCAATAGCCATCAGCCCCATCATCAAAGGTGGTGCAGTTTCCGGTCCTTGAGAGGAAGTGTCCACGGTCGAGACCAGCATGGTTATCAGGATTTGTCAGAATATTGACGCCACCGGTCACAGCAGAATCACATTCATTCCTCCACAAGGAATTACAGGCAACATGAATTGCCGCGAGACTTGAGGAGCAAGCTGTATCCACGCTGACACTAGGGCCGCTGAACTTGAAATAGTAGTTGATACGGCCGGGAGTAAAAGCACGATTACCACCCGGGATGAAGTAGGTGTCAATATCCTGGCCACTGTTGATCTCACGGTAGTCATCACTGGTCATTCCATAGAAGACACCCACGCGGTTCTTCTGCGTAGAGGGCGTGCTGTCAGGGATGAAACCCGCCATTTCCAAAGCCTCATACGCAGTAAGAAGTGCCAGACGTTGAGCAGGGTCTGCTTGAAGCGCCTCACGGGGAGACATATTGAAGAATCGAGGATCAAACATTCCCGCGTCGTTATACCAACATCCATATTGAACTTGGCTGGTATTTCTTGTCTTTCCTTCCATGTCGACGTGGGCCTTGACATCCCATCGCTCTGGGGGGACCTCGCGGTGAACGTCTAGTCCTTTTTTCAAAAGATCCCAGAATGCTTCGGTGTCAGGTGATTCTGGGAATCTTCCAGACAGACCAATGATTGCAATCTTGGACTGGTCGGCACGGCCAGTACGGTTATCTCCGCCAAAATCCATCTGAACATCACCAATTGAGCTATCAACCTCAATATTGGAGACTCCAGTCTTTTTCAGTGACTTGAATAGACTCTGGGTTGCAGTGCTGGAAATTGGAAAGAGAGTGCATGTTGTGGCGGATTCCAGGGTTGACTGGCAAGATTCTACGACCTTATCCCAGGAGAGCCGTCTTTGCAGAATCTCCTGAAGAGAGAATCTCAAAAGCTGCTCCAGGCTCTCAGCTTGGAATTCCTCGCCTGTCTCATTTGACAGCACAGGGATCTGAGGCACGTAGTTCATGAACTGCTCGGTGGGCCAAGATTCCAAAATTCGGTTAATATCCCTATCATCATACAAATGAGAAGCATGATACGGGCCGTGAATTGGAACTCGTGTGGGCTTGTGCTCCTTCGAGAGACTGGCCTCAATGAAACGGCCCAGGAAAGTCGGAGGTCCACTGATCGTGAGTCCATTAGGGCTGACTGCGCTGATATAAGGCTGAGAAACGCGGGGCAAAGCCTTAAAAATATTAACGACAGTCCTATTTTATTCTAAGCCAATTTTGGGGAAGAAACTTACATTCTTCTTCGCGTACTGTTGAATCAAATCCTCAGCCTCGGGCTCGCGCATTCCAGAAATCAGTACAGACCAGCTTGCTGCTGCCGGTTTGCTTGGCTCTATGAGCTCTTGTACTTTCAAAACGCACATTCCGAGTCTCAAAGCAAGAACCACGGTCTCAATACCAGCCAGAATGAGCTCTCCAACAGTTTTCGAAGAACTCACAGCCGCAGATGCGAGCTGACCTGTGCAAAGACCAATGATGCAGCTCTCATCACCCGACGGATACGCATGGCCTAAGTCACCATAGTAGCTATCAGAGATTGTCAGTAAACTTGATTCCAAATATCGCCTCTCTATCAAAGGCTCGGCAAAATGCTTACTGGATGAAACATCCCAGTTGGTAAATTGTCGTCAAAGCGCTCTCAAGAGCTGGGTTTGGCCCCGACTCTTTGAACCTCGCTAGAAGATCAACGATGCTGGTAAAACGGGGGAAGCCCTGACGCTCGGATGGCGGAAGCGCTGTAATTTCCTTGCGCAACGCATAGTAAGACTTTTGGAAGAATGCTGCTAGCAGCGAGTCATTCTTAGCATGCAACAGACGGCGAAGGCCCGAGTCAAAATCCGCAGTCTGATCTCCAAAGAGATACACATGACTGGGGCCTTCCATAATCTCCCCGAGGACAAACTAATGATTTTCAGAAATATCTGGAGAAAGAAGAAAAGTTTTAGGTCCGGCGCAAATTGGCGGATATTACACTTTATAGAGGATTATAGAGGATGTGACAGGAGTCTTTGCAGGAGTCTTTGTCATTCATGTAGTGGGTCAGTGACAGATTGCAACAGACTGCCTTTCAATTGTCTTAGTCTTAACTAAATTGGAAGCGGAAGAGTTTGGGTCCTGTATTTTTATTTCTCGTGTATTAGGATTATACGGTATGGTAACCGAACTGAATCTATTGGGAGATGTATGATCCTACGGCTTATTCTCCAGTACTCGTCGATAGTCTATAGTTTTCTTATTTCTGGTATTGAAGTGTATACGTCTTAAACTGGACCAATGGCACCGTTACTGCTGTAGATTCCCGGTAATGCCCCTAGGAGTTATGCCTGACTGAGTAGAGCCTGGATGGACGTGGGCTGGACCGAACTGAAAACCTGATTCCCTGGATAATCCGAGTAGATCTTAAATCATGAGTTTCAATTACTGAAGCTACCGGCAAACCGATGATAGTTCAGGGATTCCCGAGTGCTGTTTGCGGATAAAACAAGCAATGACTGCAGAAATCAAGATTTAAAATGGGTATGTTAGCCGAGTCATCCGTGGCAAATCTGTCATAAACCAGTAGGTATCATAGACAATAGACTCGTTCTGAAGAAGAGTTACAATGAAGTTGCAATCAAAGAGATGATGTCGCCGCATTCAGAAGGTTACAGCCGCCTGCATCCACGTGTGTCACATGACTCTATTTGCCCTACGTAGATCGACATCCCAGTTTCTTAGACCAGAATTTTCATAATGCATCAAGTTCAATGCAATGGCATAAAGAGTCTTATCTGTCTTAAATCCCAGAAACCACAAGGGAATCGCCCGAAGTATGGAACAACCCCTTCCACAACATAAAATTTTCAAGATATAGAATACATGATTCAAATCAAGAAACCGATTACGAACAGTATCTGCAGATAGGTTGCAAATTAAGCAAGAAAATGTAGATCATCTGAAGGTATCATCGTAATGCTTTTCATACGTCATGACATCAGCTTCAAAGCTTATTGTTCTGAGACATTGAGTCTGGTTTTAGATGGTCGCAGCCTAGAAGATTTCACCCTCATTTTTATGGTGACATTTGGGCCATAAATAAGCTATTCAAATAAAAATTGTTCAATGCCTTTGATACCAGTCACTCAATTGGTAATAATCTGGAATGAACCGTCAATTAAACACGTGGCTCATCGGACGATCGCGACCCAGATGTTCTCAAGCAATCGATCGATTGAGTGGACCCAGATCATTGGCGATGGACCGAGCTCCCGCGCTAAATGACCGCAAACAGATTACATTTTGCCAAAAAGGAGAGAAATGATATGAACAAATAAAACAAAACCTAAGTAGTATTCCTAGCTATTATGGCCGCTGCTTCTATGTATGACCAGATAAAAGAAAATCCAAAATATTAGTACAAAGACGACACGGGAACCAAAAATATCCAACCCAACCAACAGGCGGATGATGTTCAAAATGGGAGTGTTCGTTGCCCGAGCAACGCGTTAAGCAGCAGTCTAGCATTAGCCTTAGCTATGAGTCCGAGGGTGGCGGCTCTGGTCCTCGCCCTTGGGTACTTCAGGCCACACATCAATACCATCGAGTAGAGCAACAGCCATTCCATTGGCCATATGAGTATGGATATGGCAGTGGAAGAGGAAGGGTCCAGGGTTGACAACCTGGTACCGCACTATCATCCATGTTGGTCCCTTAGGGCCAATAGTGACGAAAGTATCTCTCATCAGGGGGTTCTCCAGTTTGAAGAATTCAGGGCGTTCAGCGTAAGCTTCTTCGGTGCTAGACCAATTGAAGATGCCAGGACCAACACCGAGAATGAAACCCTTATTAGAGTGCTTGTGCATCACATGCGGGGCTTGGATGGCAGGGCTGTTGGGCATTTCACCTAACTGGAGCAATAGATCGACCCAAGTTCCGTTCTTGGTTTGGATGGTGACCTGCGGTTCCAGGTTGTTCTTTGCGTTGATGTTATAGAGAATCGGATCGTCCCAGTTAGCCATCATGTCGTACAAGCCACTGCCCGAAGTGGTCCATGTGTAAGACGAGCCCAAACGGCCAAGGGTGAGGTTGACAAGCTGATCAGCAGTCTGAGGGATAGTGACAGCAGGGTAATTCTTGATGGCCTTGACTTCCAGGCCACGGACAGAAGCGGAGGTGTTTCTTCCACCGTAATCCACGTAGGGCAGAGACGCGGTGGTGTCCTTAGACCCCTTGTATCTCATTGTAGCAAACCCAGAAATGACCTGATCAGCTTGGGTATCTGGAACTCGAATAGAGTATTCCTTCCAAGCCTTGTCAAGCTTGATCATCGCGGCGTAGCGCTCGCCGCTGAATATATCAACACTCTCAGCAAGCTGGGGCTCGATGTAGCTACCATCAACCTCATAGATATACATCGGGTGCTCATCAATAGAGAACATAAGAGCCTTGATAGACGCGGCACTGATGAACTTAAGACTGACCCAGCCAGCACTAGGATCAACTTCAATAATCTCGTGCAAACCAATGGTAGGAGTACAGCCAGAATTTAGTCCAGCTGGAATTTTGTCCTCATAAGTTGGAGAGAAGTCGCCCTGGGTTTCGTAGATATTTGGAAGGCATCTGTTAAGAAGTCAGCAATGGTACTCCTGATTTAGTGCTAGACAATATCTTACCCCTTGTCAGTCAGTGGCCGATCGCCAATTGAGCTCTTCAGATAGGAAAGTTCCACACTGGAGATCTTTTCGGTCCCTGGGCAGTAGACTGCTCCGCGGCCGTTGATGAGAACACTGTCAGAACAACTGAAAAATTGTTAGCACGTTTCCATATAAATCTGACTTCAAGAATAGTCTGACTTACGTAAGTCCCAGACGACTATCTTCCATCACTTTGTGGTATTCATTAGAGGTCAAGTGGTCCCAATCAGAGAGCATGACAAGTTGAGGGTTCTTCTCCGCGTTTTGCATGGCTTCAATATCCTTCGTATTGTTCGAGATAAGATGGAAGGGTTGAGGCACATCCGGGCCAGGACTGTATGAGTTAGTTTTTTGTATTGAGTTGAATCAGTAAATATCTTACTTGATCCAAATCGGCCCATAGAGACCATCGGACATGTCACCCCGAGCATGGGCATGATACCAGTAAGTGCCGTACTGTGTGGCGGTCCAACGATATGTCCAGCTATGTCCTGGTTGGATAGGCTTTTGGGTAAGTCCTGGCACACCGTCAGACCATGGGGTATTCCTCTGCTCAATGCCATGGAAGTGAATAGTGGTATTGAAGGGCATGTTGTTGTGTACAACGAACTATGGGCAGTCAGTACGTTTTCTTTTTCTCCACAATATTCTCTCTGATAAAACCTACCTGGACGTCATCGCCCTGATCTATGCGCAGTTCGGGACCGGGGAATTGATCGTTCATGAAGATCATCTCGCGCACGTTGCCATCGGGCGCACCCTTTTGCCAAGTCAGGTCCAAATGGAAGTTAACCTGTTTAGCCCAGGCTAGCTGGACAAGCCCAGTGGCAGCCAAGGCCGCAAGGGCCTTCAAGGGTGCCATTATAATGAACTTATTGGTATCGGAGAAGGGTCTGTTATATCAATGGAATATATGTATGTAGCTTCAGGTTTCGTCCAATGATATTGAGAGCGAGGGCGTAGGTGACCTCTATTTATCAGTCCCAACAATAAAGCTTGCCTGCGTGGACCCGAGGGGTATTTGAATGGTTTGCATTATGATTATGATGACAATTCTTAGCCCCATGTTTCTAGGGCTGGCCCGCATAGAGAATCATTGACACCCGCAAACATGTTTGCATTTTTGACAAAGTAGGGAGGCCGGCTTGTGTTTGCCAAATTTGCATAATTTGGTAAAGATAGACAGTTTGGACACTCACAGGGGAATGTTGAGGTGGCTGGGGAAATTTTGGCTTCAAACAACTTTCCCTTACGAGATAAGTTGACTCGGGCTAAAAGACTGCTCGGGTATCTAAACGAGGAATGTAGCAAGCTCGTATACTTGGAGTTTCTGGTCAAGATCCAAGTGTGATGCAAGGGTTGTCGTTATGTGGTCTGGAAACAGCAAACTGTTTGCGTGGCTGAAGATTCCGTAGCTACGGTGAGAATGTTGCAATTTCCCGACCCGGAAGCCTGTGTAAAATGACATTGGATATCCAGTTTCCTGATTTTCGAGTTGAACAACGTAAAAAATAAAGATTTAATAGCTCACATTGCTTGCAAATTGGTTCTGTCTTAATTTGGTTGCCTGAAGTGATGTTATCATGGGTAAGTGTGGATGGATGGTGGCATTGGGTCCGGGAGCAGGTTCATGGGTTCATGGTCTAAATCGAAGATAATGACTTCTACTACATATTCCATGGTGGGGAATAGGTACAGTAAAAGGCGTCAATATGAAACTTTACCTAATGAATGATTGCTCATTGAGAATGTCGCATCGAGTAGAGAACGGTTCATGAAAGTATGCGCATATGACCTACTAGTAGTACCACGGACTCAAGGTACCAAGCAAAGCTTAAGGGTGCTTTTAATTCACATAGGCGGGTGAGGAAGTTCCGATTTTGCCTGCATGGGGAATTCTAGCTAGTTGATTCTGCGGGTTCAAGGCTTTCTGGGGTCGTCGTCAAAGAATAAATGGACTAGAGGGCCTATGCAAAGCCCCCCTTGAAACCAATTAAAGTATGCAGCTATTCAAGTCAAAACAGTAACAATATGTGAGGTTTTTGGAACCACAGCCCGAAATAAAGAATAATAAACGGAAAGAAAGAGGGGGAATAAGCAAGTACTACCATGCCTATATATATCATCCGTTATGCGCAATTCCGCACATGCAATATGGTATCGGCCTTTCTGCTATACTTAGATACTAGGCAACATCAGAATTAGACTTCTTAGTTTCAGACTCGAACCAATTGCAAATATCTAGATGTAAAGGTAGGGGTTAGTCATTAGTAGTTCTGTTTCAAGGTTCTCCCAGATATCTAGATCCAACACTCCCCGAGTATCTCAAAATTGCAAGGCAGTCCTCAAAATAAATAGTCATTATAATATAAACCAAACAAGTGGAAATAAAGACCCTCTGGTATCGAGAGTACCAAGGTCGTTCGACACCGAACCATGGATCGGCTGCGGCTCCGGCTTTTTCATAGTTGCAACAAATGGGGAAGCGCCTGGGCATCTTCGGGTGTTTGAGTACTATAGCACCCCAGGGCTAGATTTTGAGACATTCAAATGCATATGTGCATGCATATGACTTTTAAGAGGAATGATATTGGAACGATCACGCTTACTTACAAGACTCGGGGAACAGGAGATATTACATAATATGCATTAAGCTTATCGATAAGGCAGCCCTCCGCCGCTAGTCCCGATTGGGCCACAAACAAACAACCCCAGTCCTGGTTTACGCCCCAAGTGTCGTCTTAGGCCTCACCGATCTGAACCGCTCTGCCTTCCCCCCACGTCTTTGCAAACAGTTCCTCGGCCTCATTCGGTGCAGTTCAATCTCTATTCGCCAATCCTTTTTATTTTGAACACCCAATTGAAACCTCCTTATTCTCTTGACAATGCTGATTGATTGAGCGATCGTTGCTATCCCTGCGGCCGTGCGGACCTTGTCACCCATCTGACCAAGCTTTGTTGTATTGGGTTCGAATCAACAACACAACCTCGTCGATTGATATACTATTTTCTTACCTTTACCTGGACGTGCACTTGTCAAAAGTGCGCCGGGTGCTGAAATAGCTTATTAGGTCGATCCCGTGTGTTGCGCTCGACGAAACCGTGTTCAAGTGACCACTATGGCTCAGCTGCCGGTGCGGTTCCCATGCTGGTGCCGAGCAGTATATTCCTGGGGCGGAGAGACTACAAGAGATCTGGGATTTGTGGAGGGTGACTTGATCGAATGCTTGAATGCAGGCGATGGACAATGGTGGATGGGTCGGTTGCGCCGTGACAGGCGCGCGGTTGGATTGTTCCCGTCAAATTTTGTCGAGCTTCTGAGTGAAGACTTTGTGCCCGTGAGCCGTGATACTACTAGTCCAATGATGCTAGCAGGATCTTCTCCGATCAACAATCCCACATCAGCTCCCAAGAAACAGAAGACCGTCTGGCGGAAACCATTCCAGGCGCATAAGGAAGCCGTGTCACCAGCTTCTGTCGCTCGGCGCGCAACCGAATCTAGCCCAGCGGCACCCGCGATTCCCCAAACACCACCTCGGGATGGCGGCATTCCACGAAGTACGAAGCCATTGCGCACGCATGCGACAGCAGTCAAGAACCAAGGCTCCTTATCTCGACCCACATCATCCGCATCGCGGCCTTCGTCACGCGGTGTCTCTCCTAGTTCGTCTGCGGAGCCTGAACGGTCACCGTCGATGCTGCCAAGGGGAAGCGGATCATCCTCTCGGCCTTCATCTCGCGAGCAATCTCCATTACAAACCCAGGAACGTTCATATGCGATGACTCCGAAGGGCAGCTTCTCATCTACCCGCCTTTTATCCCGCAATACGTCCCCCTTGCCAACATACGAACATTCGTCTGGCATGGTTACACAAGGCAGTATCCCATCTTATCGGGCTTCATCTCGTGAGCCATCTCCGTTGCAAATGCAGGATTATCCGCCCCCGACCATGCCACATGGCAGTATTTCATCTTACCGGGGCTCGTCGCGTGAGCCATCTCCATTACAAATGCAAGAATATCCGCCCCCTACGATCCCCACTGGGAGTATGTCATCCTATCAGGCACAATCGCGTGAGCCATCGCCAATGTATATGGAGGACCATCCACCTGCGACAATGCCACATGGTAGTATGTCATCTTACCGGGCTCCATCGCCATTACAAATTCAAGATTATTCGTCTGCGATCGTCCCACACGGGCGTATCCCATCTTACCGGGCCTCATCGCGTGGGCCATCTCCGCTACCAATGCAGGAGCATTCTACGATGGTTCCACATGGTAGTATGTACCGGGCTCCATCGCGGGGGCCGTCTCCATTGTATATGGAGGATCATCCACCTGCACCCATGCCACATGGAAGTATGTCCTCCTACCGGGCCCCATCACCATTCCCAATCCAGGAACATCCATCTGCGCTGGTCTCTCGCGGGAGTATGTCATCTCATCGTGCTCCGTCCCGTGAACCGTCTCCGGTGCAAATGCATGAAGAGCGGGAAGACTCTCCCCCTCCCCCTCCGCCACCACCACACCGAGTCGTCATGGGTCGTACGAACTCCCACTCTCCTCAGCCGCCAGTGCATTCCCAGACACGAAGTCATTCGCCGTTACCACCCATGCACTCATCCCAGCATCGCGCACACTCTCCTAACCCGCCATCACATTATCCACGCCCATCACGATCCCCCGCGCCATTAGTTATGAATGACCGTTACACAATATTCAATCGAACCCCATCTCCGTCTGCAGCCTCGATGGACTCCGCTGTTTCTGCGACCTCAGCACAGTCAGACATTCAAAGAAATACACCATCTCCGCTCCGAGATGCCATGGAAGATGTTATGACTTCATTGGAAGACATGGGTCTCCCTCGACAAGCCCAATCGCCTTCTCCGTCCCCAGTGTTCAACAATCCCTGGGCCCCTGAAGAATTTGACACCTCGAACGAAAGGACTCCTCAAGGTAACAGACGCCGGCCTTTGACGTCAATGGGCTTTGATGGAGACAAAGAGCAACCACAGGGCGGACTCGTCCACCGCAACAGCGTTTATAGCCATGACCACATGGATGGTCCGCCTCAACTGAACAATTATGTCCAAAGAATGGAGAGCCGCCTACGTCAGCTGGAAGATCAGAATCGACCGTCTGATGATCGAAGAGCCGGTCAGGACGACGACAACGGACCTCCTCCCCCTCCTCCAAAACATGCCACCTACCATCCGCGAAATAATTCTATACCGGGACAATATGCTCCCCTCAAGGCCCGGCGTTCCGGTCATGATCTTCGGGGTGACATTCTGAACCGGTCATTTACCAATAAGTCTAGTGCCACCAATTCTTCCAGCGGGGTACAAAGCAATGGCACATCCATGACGACGAGCACAGACAAGACCAGTCAAAGTGTTATGAGTGGGTTCTCTGCAGGGGGATTCAGTGCCACGAGCGCGGGGAGCTTTGCCAGGCGAGGCGGACATGAGAGGCCGAATACTGCTATGGACACTGTCCGCTCTCGAGGGTTCAGTGATGTACGCCCGGAGACACCTTTCACCGGTGTTTCGTATCACTCCAGCCATAACTCGTCTCGCCAGGGTGCATCGTCGGCCATTCCGTGGTCGTCCACCGGTCTCGACTCGCCGGATCATAGCGGAGTATTTGGTGGTCTCTCTACGCCAAAGAGCAAAAAGCAAGGATTTTTCAAAAAGATATTTGAAACAGCCAAGACTGGTGCAGCCAGCGCAAGGAGCAGCATTTCCGTCGGTCACGGTGAGAGAGCAAATTCTCCAACTAAGAGCAACAGAGGGATAGACGTCGTGTCACCGGCTCCTACGTCTCACTCGAATCGCGATAGTGGTCGTGAATTGGGACTCGGAACCGGAGCGATTGACTGGGTTCAGGTGCGCCGAGATGTTAACCGAGCGTCGTCTCCTAGTCGAAATGAAAGGATCGATAGAGCAGAGCGATGCCAGATGATGGACCACCCTGTTATCTACTCCGTGGAAGAGCTATACGATACCGCGGAGGGCGATGAAAGCATCGATGGGCAACCCATCACCGAACCAACTAATTTCCACGCGGCCAATCTTACCCTCGTTGATAAGAGTGCACGCTTCATCAGCAGTCTACCTCCAATGACGAACCCCATGAGCCTCGCGCAAGCCTATATTTGTCGACCCTACAAGAGTGACGTTCAGCGTCTTCGGGCCATCTTTACCTGGGTCAGCGAGAAAATATCGTGGGAGGAACCTGTCGACGGCCTCGAAGTTGACATGAAGAGACTTCTGCAGGCCAAACGAGGTACCCCAGAGGAAATCGCACTATTGGTGCACGAGATGTGCGCAGCCGTTGGCCTGCATACAGCCATCATCCGAGGATTCCTTAAGAGCCCCGGTGACGCCCTTGACCTGGAAAGCCTCTCCCGTCCCAATCACTGGTGGAACTCTGTTCTGGTCGATGGCGAATGGCGCTTTATGGATTGCGCACTTGCAAACCCCACGAACCCTCAGCGCAGTAAATTCGTTTCAAACAACTCTTCCATAGCGGAGAGCTGGTACTTCCTTACGCGCCCGCTTGATCTCTGCTACACTCATGTCCCGCTCTACCCGGAAGAACAGCACATTTGCCCGCCAATTTCACCAGATGTTCTGCTTGCCCTGCCCACCGTGTGCCCGCCATTCTTCAAGCTTAACGTCCAGATGCCGGATTATGACACAAGTTTCCTCCGTATCGACGGGTTGGAGGTCATGCAACTACGCATGATAGTCCCTCCCGATGTTGAATGTGCCGCGGAAGTCGAAGCCCCGGGATTCGCCCGCGACGCAGATGGCGACTTCTTCGAAAGCGGAGACATTGTGCGCAAGCGCGCCTTGGTCCAGCCGGATTGGATCCGCGGACAAAAACGTATCACAATCAAGGCTGTACTGCCAGGCGACGAAGGCCAGGGTGTCCTGAAGATTTATGCAGGCAAGAAAGGGCTGATGCACTCAAGCCGAGACATCCCCCATCCTCTAGCCTTAGCCCTACCAATGATCCACACTGGCGAGAATCCATCTTACGACTTTGTCTTGCGTCATCCTACACCCCACGCTCAGCGACATGACTTGTACATCATGCAGCCGCAATGCTCTCGCCTCGCAGTCAACAATACCTTTGTGTTCGCTGTCCGACAACACCCTTCCGCTCCCGCATCCGCCAAGGATGAGGCCGCCTCCAATGGCCGTGGCTCGCCCTCGTCTGTCTTCACTCGTCCTTCCAGTGCGTTGAGCATGGTGTCCAGCACAGCGGGAGGCTCGACTGTATCGGGCGCCTCCAACGAGTTCTCAGCGTCGACCTCGGTCATTTCGTCGACCAGATCCGCTTCTGCGCGAGACAAGGCTGCGAAATTAGCCATCCAGTCCCCGTCCGGCAAGATCCTTCGTCTCACTCGTAAAGCTGAACACATGATCAGCAGTGATACTGGCACCGAATCTGTCACCGATGCCGTTGCTGAGGGTAGTGTTTGGGAGACGGTCATCAAGATCGGTGAGCGTGGTATGTGGCGCGGTCTTGTGCTAGCTGACCGAGCTGCGCGCTGGTGTGTGTTTTGCGAGTGGGAGTGTGTTTGATTTTTTTTCTTTTACATATTATGGGCGTTTATCTTGAAGCCTCCTGACACACCAGATTCGGGAGGAGGTGGTTGTTTGTCTTTTTTTGCTTTTTTTGCTTTGTCTTATTGCGCGTTGCATATCTTTTTGTCATATTGTCCTCCTGGCATACTCGCATTTGCATGAGGTTAGCTTGGAGCATTGCATATATTGCATTACACGTGTTCAGGTTCTATTCCAGAGATCTGGATTCCGGTGTTAGAGAGCCTGAATTAATAGGAGTTTGAGATATCCAAGTCTGCATGAGTGGTCATATGGAGTAACCCCAAAGGCTATGTGTAGCAATAGAATAATATACACGAAATCCAGACTCTAAGCTATTCTGCTGTGCTGTGAAATGCAATATTTATGATCTTGACTTAGAGAAGGAGAGGTGAGAATACCCCGTGGGAGTGCGATTCTTATATTTCTCGGGTATTTTGAGAGAGAGATAGGATGGAAGTAGATGAAGATGGTTGGAGATGATGGTCAACGATGATGATTGTAGTATCGAAGGAAGTAGTAACCTCCCAGGCTTTTTGTACCTTCGTCACGTCGTTGAATTCAATGAATTGGCCCGTTTAACATTATGTCTCGGGCGATTGGATTCGTCGTTCAAGAGTTACGCAGTAATTCCATATTCCGTGCGGCTGTTCTGAGCTCGGGAGGTTCAAAATTGTCTATCATAGACATCTCCTTTGCGAAAGTGGTGCAGGCTGGAGCGAACCACGGTCTGTCTCACACTGGCATTATCGGTTGAGGATCAGCGGTTCTGTCGCAAACTGGACGGGGTGCTTTTTGGGTGCTCGGGCACGCTGCGTTGGTGCTGGGATGTTGTTCGTAGGGTTTCTTCCTGGCGACGGGGTTTTGTGTCAATCCGCGCACGCTTTGGCGCAGGGGACGGCGATGTGGAGGCTGGCATGGATAGGTCCTCCTCCTCGTCGGCATCGTCATCACCTGGAGAGGGTTCCACACCTCCTCTCCGCGCGGGCAGTTCAATCACACACCAGTTGATAGGCGTGTAGTGAGCCTGTCAGAGTGGCTCCCATTTGTTCACTAGTACTCAATATTCCTCTCAGTTGCAAAGAATCTTCGGCTTCGAATAAAATCCACACTGATAGAGGGTCCATCGAGTTAATCAGCTGTGGCATATCCACATGGGCTATATTTGTTGGAAGTATATAAGGAATAGTATAAATGGAGATGGGTTCTCATGGATAATAATACAAGTTGCTCAAGTAATCACGATGGATACTTAATACAGCATAGTTAGTGTCAAATGATATTGTGGTAATGATGTGAAAGCAAAGTGGAAATGTGCCTTTATATGCCTCAAACAAGGAAGCCCAAGGCAACCAGGCCAACAGGCCAACAGGCCAACAGTAGTCTGGCATCTCAACACAATTCTTCTACAGATTTCATTTATAATTTAGCTACTGCTGCCCGCAGCAATGGCGCAACCTGCTTCCTACTCCCGGCCACGTTGGTTTGCACCCACAATTTCCTCCAGATGGGTGATTCCTCGTTCAATATAAAAAGACTATCTCCTGTCATCTCAGGGATATCCTCCCCATCGAGCGGAGACCATTCTATGAGCCCAAGATGGCGAGAGGATTGCTCAACAAACCTCTTGACACCCTTAGAAGCCGCTTTATTGTCACCCATCACGCTGACAAACAGCTCACGACAAAACTTGTCGTTAGTGCCTGTAAACGCCGTCATAATAACAAGCACATCCAAGTCTTTCTTAGCGGAACCCGCAAACGAGGCCACGGCATCGATGAATTTCTCTGGGCCACCCGCCTTCTGTACAATCCATCGCATGGGCTTGACGGCAGAGCAGAAGCCCATTTTCACGGTGTTTCCCGAGGATTGTGACGTCTCAGTCCAGTCTTTGTAATCACGGTCCAAAGCTTCATCCACCGTGAGAAGATCGAGACTATTCTGCTTCGCATAAAGAATACTTTTGTAGAACGCCTCCAACTGCCAATCGCCCTTTGAATCCGCTGCAGTTTGTGCTTCCCCTTCGATTTGAGATTGCAGGAATTCGACAGCCATACGATCTACATCGGTCACTTTGCCTTCCGCAGTGAGGTTCGAGGTATCAATCAGCACCGCGGAAAGAGCAAGCTTCGCAACCTGCACCATCTCCGGGGTCGTGTCCCAGAGTTTCCGTTGTTGCAACTCTCGCGTGATGAGCGATGCACATGACCCAGGTCCCGGCTGAATAATCATCGGCTGGCCTTCTGGTAATGCGTCAATGGCTGGCATCGCGTGCTCGTCAACGTGGTGGTCGATACATCCAACAGTCCGGAAAGAGACACCCGGCAACCCGGTTAGCGATCCAGAGCCCTTATCGGTCTTTGAGGGGCGCGGGAACGCGTTCCAGTCTACCAGCGTTGCATCGGCGAGTATCTGTTTCCACACACGCTGGTCATGGAGAGATTGTGCAAAGTCCGCGACGGTCATAACATGCTCGCGTAGGAAATTCCCTGCAGATTGTAGGGTGTTTTCGAATTGCTCTTCACTCTTCAGGGCGGGGAAATTGGTTGATGACCATAGTGCTGCCGAGAATTCCGGCCTTAGACGATACAGCTCTGTCCCAGAGGGGAAATTGGGCAGGTTTAGGAGTGGGATATGTGGTCGCGGGCTTTTGATCGGGAGCCGGTTGTTTGCGCAGTAGGAGTATATGATCGCCGAGACGATGGAGTCAAGGTCGGCGGATGGATTGCCAATTACATAGATTGGAGGCTCGGATAGAGCACCCGAGAGGAAGCGGATGTGTAGTTGGCGGGCTTGTCGTAGAAATTGGAGGAGAGTCATGGTTGCTGAAAATCAATTGATCGCAGCTAAAGCTCCCGAGGTCCATATCCCCGCGGGCAGATAGCCGACGTCATTCAATTGCTGACACATCATATATCCAATTGATGCCTCGTAAATGAGGCCAAAAAGTATAAATGCACCATCGCGACATCCCAACTTGATCACACCAAAAGCGATGCATAAAATAATGTCTCTTCCGGTACAGCTGCCAGAAACGTTCGCCCAAATCCCTCGCTATAACATCCTATACTCCAATCCCTCTCCCATCCACCCCTTGACCTCAATTGCACCCCCAAGAATCTCCCCGCACCACCCCCTCATCTCCATCCACGCCAAACGAGAAGACCACTCCTCCCCACTAGCCTGCGCAGGCAACAAATATCGCAAACTAGAATACATAGCCCCAGACATCCTATCTCAAACACCCCTCTATCATAGCCATGAGAACAACCCAATAACCCCAGGCCCGCTGCAAGGCGCAGCAACAACCCTGGTTACAGAAGGCGCAATCCAAAGCAACCACACCGTGCAAGTCGTCGCTCTCGCGCGGAGACTCGGTCTAAAAGCTCTAATCCTTCTACACCGCGGCACAGGCGGCGGACTCGCAGCAGCCAGCGACAAGGTAGCCTTCCAACGCAGCGGAAACGTGCAAATCAATCACCTTCTCGGCGCGGAGGTTCGCGTCTGCGAAGAAGGTGATCCGCTAGCGCAAGATGCGACGCCTCTTCTTGATGAGTTGAGGGCCTCGGGACAGAATCCGTATTGGATCCCTGGTGGCGCGAGCTTGCATCCCCTCGGTGGGCTGGGGTATGCGCGCGCGGCGTTTGAGATTGCTGCACAGGAGGAGGGTCTGGGGCTTGGGGGTTCCGGGAGGTTTGATTATATCTTTGTTGCGTGTGGAAGTGGGAGTACGATTGGTGGGTTGGTGGCTGGGTTCAAGCTGCTGGAGAAGATTAGGGGATTGGATGTGTCAAAGACGACTGGGGAGCCGAGGAAGGTTATTGGGATTCTTAATTCGCCGACTAAGCCGCGGGCGTATCATGAAAAGCGGGTGCTTGCTTTTGCGCGGAGGGCGGGCGAGTTGATTGGGCTTGATGGGGAGCGGGATATTGGGGTTGAGGATGTGCGGCTTGATGATCGGTTTGTTGGGACTGCATACGGCGTGCTTGATGGTGAGAGTAAAGAGGCTCTAGAGACTATGGCCCGGACGGAGGGCATGGTGCTGGATCCAGTTTATACAGCCAAGGTTGTGAGAGGCATGATGCATTGGGTGAACGAGGGAGAAGTTGCGGACTCCGCTAAACCCTTGGATCAGGTCAATGTATTGTTCATTCATACAGGTGGACAGGCTGCTCTAGGAGCCTATGCGGATGTCATATAAAACATATCAATAAGATATTTACAGTCGGAAATGTGAATAAGAATGGCTGAATTCAACTAGTATTACATGGTGTCGGCAGCAGCAAAGAAAAGCAGTCATGACAGACATAGTCTTGTGGTATGGAAAAAACAGAAAAGCGTGGAATCGCTGGAAAACACCCCCGGACTCGCCAGTCCAGTCTCTTGTACACCTTTTTTTGAAAATTGATCCGAGCAGAACGATAAAAGCATAGCAGAGGCGAGTAAACAAAAGACTTAAAAGGCAACGCAGGAAACAATCAGAACATAGTAAAACAAGGCCAAACAAAACGTGGTCAAGTTTCGAATAAAAACCAAAGATTCATCGAGTAAAAAAGCAAGAAGACTCAATCAAAGTTCCTCTTCCTCAAGGTCTCCATTGGTGACGTCGAGTTTGGGCTCACCTTGCGATTCATCAGGTTCACCATTTTGAGCCGATTCCTCTTGAACAGAGGCAGCACGACTACTGCCATTGCTGACCACAAGGGCCTCCAGAGCCTCATTAGCATGGGTATTCTCCATGGGTTGGTTTTCAGCTTCAGGGTCAATCTCTTGGTTGGTCAAGTCTGCAAATACGTCATCCAGGTTCTGGCGAGGGCTGCTGCTCGCGAACTGAGGATCATGACCAAATTGCGGAGGACTGAAAAGGGAGGTTTCCAAGTCTGGCTGGGGAGGAGGAGAGCGCGGCAGGAATGAGGGGGACTGAGAAGCGGCTGCGTGGGGGAGGAAAGCCGAGGAGGAGGTAGGTGCAAAGGCGGGTGTGGAATCGCTCGCAGGCAAAGAATAGTTTGCAGAGAATGGATATGGTGCAGTGTTTGGATCTGCCATCTGAGCCAACGTTGGACCTGTGCTAGGTGGTTGTCCGCTACTAGAAGTCGGTGGTGCTGGTTGCATGGATGCAGTTTGACCAGGACCCGACTGGGATTGAGCATCAACAGATTTCCGTTTGGTTACGCCAATGTGCTTGGGGCGCAGATGCTCCGGGAGATCTTCTGGACGATTCACCCCAAGCTGGGCCATAATTTTCTGTTGCTTGGTCGGTCGCGGCTTTCGTGTTGACAGAGACTGCTCGAGAATTGGAGGGGGTTCTGGTGCGACGGGTGCCCATTTGTGTATCTCCTGCCGGAAGAAATTCGTCTCAAAGGTGAGAAGAACCTCAGCGCCCTCGATTTTGCGGAGGTAGAATATCAATGTAGGGACTTCCTCGGTCGTTGTGCAGGCAGCATTAGTGAAGCCATGCAGGAAATCGCGGAAGGCAGTCGCTTGATTAATGATGCTCTCAAGAACTTCTTCTTCCTCGGGCTGGAAAGGCAAAGTTGCGATCTCCGCGTGCCAATCTTGCAGATCCTCAAGCTTGGGACGAGCAGCATCGCGCGGAATCTTTTGACGCCAATCGCAGATTGGACAGGTGTACTTGTCAAATTCCTTCACTTTACCCCGAGCAATCTTCAAACATTTGCCATGGTACCTGCATAGGTCAGTAAACTAAACCCACAAGCGGAAAGTTTGTTGGCTTACCATTCGTGGCAGACTTCACATTCAATCATCATTCCTGCCTCAGAGTGCCTGCAAATACAAAACACATCTCGCTTTCGTGACTTTGGGCCCCACATGTTGGGGGGATTGCCAGGATTCTCAAGCAAACCTTCTGGCGAATTGTCTCGGGAGGAAGGCTCCACAGGCGGGCGGTAACTGTCCTCTAGGTCGAAACAGTACGAGTTCCGCTTCTCGACGTATTCCATATGGGATCTCAGAATATGAAGAGGAGCGTTTGCCTTGCCAAAGAGCTTTTTTCCTTTTCTCATCCAGTCTTCATGACGCTTCTGTTCACGTTCCAAGTCGATCGCCCCGATGGGTCGGCTCGTCAAATGCTCAAGAGATTCCATGAGGTCACGGATGTCCTTGTACTTGGGCCGATTCTTCATCTCCGCGTCCTTGCTCTTTTCGTACAGAGTCTGGATCCGTTTCTGGGCCTCACGCTGCTTGGTCAATATGGCATCGACGGCTGCGAGAGTATCAGGTGAAACCGGAAAACGAGACGCCTGCGCAGAGAGAGCTTCTAATTGCTGATAGTGAACAGCTTCAACGGACATTAATTCCTTGGCCTTCATTTCCCACGCATCCCCATGACGAGCAAGTTCCTTGAAATGAATTAAGTGTTCATTGGTATCGGAGAGGCCGAGCTGCTCCGCACCGGCGACGAGTTCCCGGCAATCGGTCAGGGTCATGTACTGATCTCGTTTGCGCACAGCTTGTTCAATCCATTTGATTTGGCGAGAAACTTGCTCTAGGTGTTCCAGTTCCGGGACTTCCACGTTGAAATTTTTGCCGCGTTCGATCAGTTCTTCAATCTCCTGGAGGGGCCGGGTGTGCGGATGCATCAGCGCATTATTAATATCCTGTTGGAATTTCTCGATTTCGCGGGTTTTCTCTTCCAACGCCGCCATCTGTGGACAGTCGAACGAAAGTTTATCAGCCTCTGCCTGAAGGGCGTAGATATGTTCAATTCTGCGGACTTCGCGATCGCGCTCGTCCAGCTGCGCCGCCTTGGTACTGGCTCTGCGCCAAGCCTTCTCGTTTTTTCTCCGGTTCTGCTGCTTCCGGGTAATGTAGTTGTTGGCTTCTTCAACCCATTTATCGCAACGCTGGACGAAGGCCGCAAGATCTTGAAGGCCTGGCAAGTGGTATGGGATTTTCTCACCTTCATTGAGCAAGTTATGAAGGGCCTTAAGCTGAGGCTTCGGTTCATCCTCCAGGGTCTTGTCGAGCTTGTCAGACCATGCTTCAGGGATTCTGGCCCGTTCTTGGACTTTCTGCACAAGCGACTGCAATTCATCATCACTCATGCGATAACGGAGGGTGTGTCCTGAGCCGCACAATTTCTGAGCAAAAGTTTCGCCACAGCAGTCATAGGTGTCAACGTGCGACAAACAGACGGTCTTGCCTGATTTGTGACAACGGAACTGAGTGAGGTAAGCGTAGGCCTTGCAATGTTGGCACTGGTAATCATCCTCGGGAAGGTCTTCATTCTCAACTACGAATCTCGGCTGCGCATCATCTGCCATGGAGTCAGGGCCAAAGCCTGGGGTGCGAGCAGACACTTCCTTTTGTCGGTATAGGAAAGCAGCCCGGTCACCCAGTTCACGAGCGCAGGTTCTTGCTAGTGCAGGCGCAAGCCACTTGGCAGTTGCAATAGAGGTATCACGTGCAGCAGCGGTAAGAAGCAATTCATCGTGGGAGAAACACGGGTGCCTTCGGAAGTTTTGGAGACGATCAACACCTGCTGCACCGTATGGCTCCCAGTCCGCAGGCGCGAAGTTGACTGCTTCATTGAAATTAAAGCCGTGATTGAAGCCGGCATGGTATGCTTGAGGGAACGTGAGCACAAATTGACCAGCTCGCTGATCCACCGCATAAACGTTGACGCCGGCCTTGCGAAGCTTGTCTGGTGGCATCAGGGTAACAAGCTGGAAAAGAAGATCGGGCTGTCCTTCGAAAAGCTCCGGAACTGCATCCCGCATGGCCGCCTCGAAGGCCTCTGCATCGGCACCTGGAATTCCATACCAGGTCTTGGTAGCACCGAAATGTTGGTAATTGGCCGAATAAGCGTAGTGATCCTCATTATGCCAGCAAAAAGTGGAGAAGCACATCCCCACATAGACCCAGGGAACGGTCATGCCAGAGATATCGGACTTGATGTAACGGAAGAGCGAATCTCCATAGAATGGAAGGACATTCAGGTTCCAAGGGTCAGACGAAAATGGGTCAAGGGGATTCCGCTCGACAGTTGGGAATCCACTTCCATGCGTGGTCGAATGGATGTCCGCGCCGTACTCGACTTCAACAGTCTCATGTAGATCAACGACAAGTTTCCAGAATTCGGCCTCCACGTCGTCCTCGGTTTCGCGTCGATGGGTGTTGAGAACCGGGTCGAAGGGCATTTTGGAGGCAAAGTATTTCTTTTTGAACTCGTTGGCCTTCTCTTGGAACTGTTTGAGTGAGTAAACACCGCCATCTTCGAATCCGAATTCCCCTGTGCCGACTAGACACTTGGGGCAATGCCAGTCGTGTTCTGATGGAGTGGTAGTAGACGGATCGAGACATGCTTTGTGGTATCCAAGCTCGCAACCGTCGCATACAAGAATCATCTCTTGGTCATCGGATTTGCCACAAGTCTCGCATTTCTGTTCATTAATTAGTATGGAAATCGAACGCTGACGCGAACCTTCACCTACCTCTCCAGCTGGCTGGGAGCCATCCTTGCGCGATTTAACCGGCGCTGGGCGAAGAAGTGACATATGAGAACCAGCAACCGTTGGGAGGGAATCTGCCAAGGGCATTAGACAAGGCTTGCCTCGAGTATTGAATGAGCAAACAAGTGTACCTTTCTTGAGACGCTTGCTGCGTCGACCACTTCCATCATCGTCATCGCCATTTTCGCACTGAGAGCTGTCCTCGCGGCTGATAGCACGCTTCAGAGACTCCTCATCTTGGCCGTTCACAGGCGTCGAGACGAAAGCATGCTCGGAAACGACTTTGGGTGTTGACGCGCCGTTATCTCCCTCCCGCTTGATGGGCGGGCCGTTGTTCACGGGGGTGAAAGGGGAGTGGTTGACGGCGGTAAAGCCAGCTAGGCCGGAGTTGACAGGAGTAAAGCCCGCGGCCGCTGGGTGTGAAGCAGGGGGAGGAGTAGGTTCGATGGGGGGCGTTGGCTTCTCCGGGGACTTTTCCATTGGGGTATGTGCCATTGGAGTATGTGCCGCTGGAGTATACGCCATTGGGGTGTGTGAAGCGGCCATTCGAGGCAAGCTAGGAGTATCATCGCGGATTTTAGAAGGCGTGCCGTTTTCATCCAAAATGGGCTTGTGAGTCATGGGGGATTGTAGAGGCGAAGGGGTATATGGACCACCGTGCTCAAGCTCAAGCTGTTGTTGGACACCGGGCTTGGCCCGGGCCAGGTATTCCTCGTACGGCTGCAAGTAGCGCTGGTAGGAGTTCTTGAGCGAAGTGGACAAAGAAGACATTATCTTGCCGCTGTATCCAAGATCACGACCAATTTCTGCCCATTTTTTTGTCTTGCACACTGTTTCAAAACCACCACGACTCTCTACTGCCTTTTTGAGTTTGTAGAGATCCAATGGTCGCTTGTCGACGCTGGGTAGCCGGCTGTAGTTAGTGCCATGCTGTTTGTGAAACATGGCGAGTCCATCGACGTAGTTCATGTTCGCGCGGTTTCCTATGTGCGAGTAAGGGTCAGAACCGCACTGCGGTGTGATCATACCAGCTGGGGCAGGTTAATATGCTGAGTGTGGGCCCTTACCTCCTTCGACGGAATTGAGCTCTTGTCGACGGGTCTTGAAGTGAAATCGCTGTGTCCATTGTCAGGCGTGATCATGCGCGGGAAGCAATAGTGGAAGGAGAGATCCTACCTCTGTATCGATTGCGAAAGTCGGTTGCCAACCCTCTGGTGGAACCACTCGGCAAATTCCATACTTTTTCCCCTCTGGGGCGATCTTCTGAATATAGGCCACCGGGTCTTTGAATTCTTCCTCCGTTGGACGGAAAGTCGGGGCTTCTGGGATACCATGTGGACGAATGCGCTTGGATGGTTCTCTGGGGTTGTTGGGTTGTCCACGCCGTTCCACGGTGGACAAGTCAAGAGGTGTGGACCTGCGAGCGCTCAGGGGGACGTTGTGGGAGTGCGACGGATGGGTGCTCGAGGACCGAGTCGGCTGGCCAGCCGCAGCCGTCGAGGTCGCCCCGGCAGAGGCCGGAGCTCCCATTGTTCGAAATGGGACAAGCGATTAGGGGAGATGTTGGATTGAGCGCGTCTTTTTGAGGGAATTCGATTAACAATGACTGTAATGCGGCAAAGGCAGGGCGTGATGATAGATATCAGGAAAGGCGGCTGCCGGCGTCCTGTCAATGTGACCGAAGAGTGAAGGATCGGTGACGAACCCAAGGATAAGAGAGAATGGAGTTTGAGGAAAAACGAAAGAAAAAGGTGACTTGGGGTAAAAGGCGATAGAACAAGAAAAGAGAGGCCCAAGTCGCAGAGAGGAAAGAAGGATAGATGGGATAGAAACCTTAAGAGTGGAGGAATGAGATTATGTGCAGTAAAGATCGACTGGGGTGGTACTCCAGAAGTACTGCCAGGTCCCTTTTGTGTGGCTAGCCAGTAAGAAAGGAACCAATGAGTGACAATGGGGGGACCTCTAACCCAGCCGCGATGGTACCGATCAGTACGGTATAGGATTTACTGTAAGAATGAGCTAATCGGAGCTCAGGTACCGCTTAGACCCTGAGTTTCACCTGTAATTTTAGTAATTATACTGCAATGCTGCAAACGGGGGAACATCATACGGTGTCCCTAAATTATTTCCTGTATTTGGGAGCCCAATATTACAAGGCCGTATATGTGGTGGATATATAGTGCCTTGTGACACATCAAATTGATAGCGGATGAGCCTCGGATACTTCTCTAGCGCGATATTACCTGGGTATAGACCTTGTTTCTACAATTTGTTAGATTTCAATGGCTTAAATATGTATTTTATTATTGTTTTGTCTTTGTGATATATTCAAATGATTAATATATGGGGTTTTAGCATATTTATGGAGACATTCAGTTGAAATTCTTTGCATATCCCTTAACTAAACATGTAGTAACTTCTATTAAGCTCCTAATATCCCTAGACTGCAATTATATTTCCCCTTGAGAGGGAAGAAAAAAATACTTTATCATGTGATCCGGTGTATATCAAGGTACCGTTTAGGACCCGCCCGTATTCGATAAGCAGAGCTAATTTCAAGGACCTAACAAGCCTACAACGTTGAATTGAACATCTCAATGTGAAAAATAACATAAAATTTCTCCAAATCGAACATCATGGAGGAGTCTGAAAAGCCCAAACCAATCCCGGCATATTACTGTTGTTATCTCCTCCGGTCGACCGTTCGACACGCCTCACTGTACATCGGCTCGACGCCAAACCCGATCAGACGACTCCCTCAGCACAACGGTGTCGCCAAAGGTGGGGCCAAGCGAACCGCCAGAGATAAATTACGCCCCTGGGAAATGACCCTTGTCGTAGAGGGTTTCACGAGCAGAGTCGGCGCTTTGCAATTCGAGTACGTCGCATGTGAATTGTTTGTATACATCACGTCTCAATTTCTCATTTCGTGTAGATGGGCTTGGCAACACCCGGAAAGGTCGCGGCACCTTGATTCCGAAGATGATTTAGACCCTAAGCCCCGGGGTAAGGCCAATGCCAATGCGAAGACGGGAAAGCCAAAGCCGAAACCCAGGGCGCGGACCAGGAGATCACTAATGGCGCATTTGGAGGATTTGCATTCCCTGCTTCGCTCGACTTATTTCTCCCCTTGGCCGTTACGAGTCCGTTTCTTTTGTGTCGATGTTTATCGTGTATGGCGAGCCTGGAATGATCGCGTTGATGGTCGCTTGCCCGGCAACATCAAGGTTATTCAAGATGGAGACAACCTTGCAACGCCGCCCGATGCCAAGCAAGACGATGAGCTCGCACCCGTTGGAAGCATTAACAATATATCAGTTGACTACACCAGGATTGAAGATCATCTCGAAAAGTCAATGTTCATGCTGGAAGATCCAGATGATCTGCAGTGCACGGTCTGTAAAAAGCCGATCTCTCCAGACGAAGAACAAATAGTAGTGTGTCCACATCCGAATTGCCGCGGCACGAGTCATTTATTATGTCTATCTACCGCATTCCTTGATGCGACCAACGAACCAGACCTCCTAGTGCCCACCCAAGGGACCTGCTCGTCATGTGGAAACACTGTACAGTGGGTGGCAATGATGCGTGAGCTAAGCTTCCGCAACAGAGCAGAGAAAGAAGCACGCGCAATTATCAGAAAGAAAGAGAAACGAGTTCGCAAAGAGTCCGCCGCGGTGGAGGCATCTTCAGGACCTCGGTCGTCTTCTATTGAACCAAGGTCACTGCCAGAAGAACCGACCCAAGACGATCTAGGGCCAAATTGGTTCGAGGAAGTCGATATAGAATCTGACTCTGATTTTGAGGGCCGACAGAAGCACCGCCCGACTCGACCTCCATCAAAGCTTGAGATCGTGATTGAAGACAGCGACTGGGATGACGCAGAACTCGTTGAATGAGAATCAGGCAAACCAAGCCCAGTCTTATTTCTAATTCTCTAATTCGCAAGAGGTTCGAATTTCCTCAACGCGCCCGCCACTTCCAGACGTGCAATGCAACCAGCTACAGCACCCTGTACCTCCCGTGACACCTCATCGATGGATTTCCCCGCATCGATAATGGACACACCCTGCTGCTTCTCGAAGATGGTTCGGAATAGCTCCCGCACACGGGTTTGCATTGCCTCGTTTTCATATCGCTCGGCACCGAACCCACCGCGCTTGGCTGCTTCCTCGGGTGAAATGCTAAGGAATAAACAGATATCCGGGCGCGGTAGACCGATTTCTGGCTGCCATGCCCACTCCAGTGATAGTGTGGGGTTCGCTTTCGCAGCGGAGTAAACAACGCCGGAGTATGAGTAGCGGTCTACAATGACTGTTGTTCCGTTCGTGATATCTTCTTCAATGCTCTTTGCAACCTCCCACCGGTTCGCCGAGAAAAGGAGGTGAATGGAATGGTCGTCTTGGTGCGATGTGCCGCGTAGATAGCTATCAATCAATTGCCCGATGGGCGTCGTTCTGTCTATACGACATTATTAGACCAATGGCACCCATAATAAATGATTAATTAAGTACCTGGGAATCGAATGTATTTAACCACGTGCCCTTGCCTTGAGAGCGAATCCCGTAGCATCTCACACTGACTCGATTTGCCAGCGCGGTCAAGTCCTTCGACAACAATGAGAGCTCCGCGTCGCGTTGGTGGCGCTGATGGGCCTGTCATGATTGAGTGTAGTGCTGAGGTGTGATTAGGTGTGATTAGGTGTATGTTTAAGAATTGTAGATCAAGACTATCAGTTCCTGCTGAATATATGCAAAATAGCCCAACGAATGTTTCCAAAGGAGGGTAGTGAGGGCGATGTTTATCGGGAAATCCGATTTCTCCTAGCCGATAAGAGCAAGATCCAGGCCGCCCGCAACCAACATGGTCTTTCAATAACCACGAACGCCATGGACCAAGCGACGTCCGCGTCCCCAGCGATGACCTTCAGTGTCCTGGCATCCACTGCTCCAGTCCTTGCGCCACGGGTAGGAAAATTGGCCATTCCAGGCCGCAAGACCCTCGCGACGCCGCACCATGTCCCGCTCACTTCGCGGGGCACAGTCCCACATGTTGCGCACGATGTGATGCGCGATCACACTGAGATCAACAGCTTGTATGCTGGATTGGAAGATTGTAAGCGGAATACTGCAAGATGACTGCAATCGGTTCTCATCTATTTCGGACAAAACTAACAGCGCATGCCCCTCCGGGCATTTAATAAGTCATCGCGAAAAAGCAAGCCCCCGTTTACAAGACACCGGCCGCGGATCATGAGTCGCCATTGAAGAAATTCATTTGTGTGGCCGAGGACATGCCTTTGATTCTGGGCCCGCGGCGATTCCCTCCGATCCCATGCCCGCCCGCGAACACATCGACTTCCATCGCGCTGCTGACATCAATCGGGTTCACCCAGTTATCTGCGCATGATTATGTTAAGGCAGTTCAAAAACTGAGACCAGATATTGCGATTGGAATGGTGGACCTGGCTAATAAGCAGCCCGGATCCAAGAGGCGGGCGAAGATGGTTGACCGGACACATGCCTGGACTAGTGATGCATTGGAGCAGCTCTATGGGGATGCTGTGGCAGAGAAAGACAAGTCAAAGAGCGCGTATTTTGCACCAATTTTGCCTCTTGATAATGCGCAGCAGTCCCTCTATTTGGATGACTTGGAAAGCGAGTTCCGGTGGGATATATCCGGCCTGGCGCTATATCAGTCTGCATCACTGGGATTCGTTCCAGAATCGTTGGCGCACCTGCCTCGGTTGCTCTTCAGTGAGCCCGAGACTCCGCACACTATCCTGCGCGATGTATCCCTTGGAGCAGATCTCCTGACCACACCTCTGCTAGGCGTATCGTCAGACGGCGGTATCGCGATAGAATTCGCCTTCCCCGCTCCAGCTGCCTTGCAAGAGGGGAAGTCCGAGCCCCGGCCTTTGGGAGTCGATTTGTGGACGGGAGATCACGCTACTGATACATCCTCGCTGGGCGAGGGATGTGAATGCTATACCTGCAAGAATTACCATCGTGCTTATATCCACCATCTCCTAGTTGCCAAGGAGATGACCGCTTGGGCGCTCCTTCAGGTCCATAATTTCCACGTCATGGATACCTTCTTCGCAGGAGTGCGGGAGAGTATCCAACGTGGGTCCTTCGAGCAGGACGTTCAGACGTTTGCTCGCGTTTATGCCTCTTCGATGCCGGAGAGTGGTGGAGAAGGCCCTAGGTATGTCAATCCCGAATGTATTATTTTGTCTCGACCGGCTAACAATCTTCCCAGATTACGTGGATACCAACTCCCGGCCAACGGGCCTAACCAACCCCGCCGCATGCCCAAGGCATGGGGCCTTCTTGACGATGCTATACAGAAATTCGCCGAGACCCAGTCTGAGATCGCTACCCCGGACACCGACGCGAGCGGACTCGAGGAACACGGTTTTGCCGAGAAGTTGTGATTAAGCTCGCAGCAGTGAGGATCGCCTCTGGTAAACGCTTGCATGAGAAACGGTGCGTATTTATAGAAGCATTTGCTTAGCAATTGGCGCATGAAATCTATCAATCAACATAAAGTATATATAAAAGCAGGATTGCACGGATACTCGTAATAATCATCTCAATGGGATTGGGTCAAGACTAGTATACAGAAATCCAGATTTTGTGCCATTCATAGTTCATATGTCCAGGCTTGCCCTCATTAAACCGTAAACCGTAAGAACCCTCATTGATCCAGGGTATATCTTTATCCCGATTTGTAGAAAGACGCATTCCTAAACCTCCTCGCCCGCTAAGACACGCCACATCCACTTGACCTCGTCCTCCTCTTCCTTGGAGCCCTGCTTGGTACCAGCACCGAACTGTTGGCCGACAACACACACAAGCCAAGCGTCGTTCTTGGTGGTATCCAGATATGTTTCAGTCGGCGATCCGCGGGGGTAGATGAGACGCCATTCATCCCAGATTCGGAAAGCCTCCTCGCCCCAAGCACGGAAACTCACTTCCTCGATGATGGTTGGGGTGACGATCTCCTTGCCGCGGAATACACCCCAGGTAACAGCGTTGACACTCTCGGGGTTGGAGCCTAGGTCATCGAGCTCCACATCGGCAGGCTGGATTGGGAGCGAGGATTCGAAATCGCCCTTGATGTTTGTCGCGAACCAGGTGAGCTTGTCGTGGCCATGCTTGGCAAACATTGGCTTCAGGATGTTGACATAGTCATTATTTGAGCAGAAGAACTCCACAAATGGCTTCTGGAAGACAAAGCCTTCTCGTTGGGGGCCCCAGCCGAAGATGGGGTGGTCATTGTGTACACCGTTCACTGCGGGCTGCGAGGCCAGTGTCCACCAGCCGCGGCCATCAATGAGCTTCAACAACTCCGGTCGAATAAGCTCAGTCTCTGCATTCAAACCGTCACCATCTTCTTCGGCACCACCCTCCGACCACGGGACCATGTGTAGCTCTCCCGAGACATGGCGCCGGAAAAGTGTGCTCATGTCCTTGGAGTCCACCGGGTGGCCCCAAAGCCTACGTGCGGAGTTGGCAGTGACATGAAGCGAGGGACCATAGCCGTCAATCTCACCGAAGGCAGGGGAGCGAGCATCACCCCATCGTCCGTTGGGGAAGTCATCCCATGTTGCTTCTCTGCCAAGGGCACCAAGACCCTCGGAGATGAGAAGAGTAGTGCTGCGGTTTGGCGGCGGTGCGGGTACGCCGGCGCTGTCTGCGCGGGCCTCATGCTCATTGACGGAGTCCTGGGATGACTCATGGACAGATAACTTGTCCACAATGACGCGGTTGTGGGGTTGCGAGTTGATAGAGGACGCACGGCGTCTTCGCAACGCACGTCCAGGGAAATCGAGTGGAATCGATGCAGGATCATCCTCGATAGCAAGGTCTCCAGCATCCGAGTACGACGGAATCAAGTCACATTGCTCCAGGATGAATGATACTGTCTTCTCCAAGTTCAAGGTGTAGAAATGGAATCCCCGCGGCCCCGGGGAGGGAATGTCCCTCATACCACCCACAATCTCGCTAACAATATCCACACCCGCGCGCTTGACCGCATCGTCGTCGTGCTTCAATTCTTCCATGCGTCTGGCAATGGGAGGTGGAATCGTGACATGGCTGAGCTTAGTCACACGGGTCAGAATCTTATAGCTGTGGATGGGCATTAAGCCCGGAATGATGGGAATAGTCTTGAAAGCACCAGACTCATGGTTGCGAAGCATGTTCTCAAACTTTTGGTAAGCTTCGATATCGTAGGTCAGTTGGGTCATGATGAAATCTGCCCCAGCCAATGTCTTCTCGACCAGGTAAGGTATATCTCTGACCGGATCCTGGACGTCTTGGAACGTGTCGGCAGGGTGGCCCTCAGGGTATGCGGCAACACCAACACAAAAGTAGTCGCCATGTGTCTGGCGAATATATTTCACCAGATCAACGGCAAAAGTGAAGTCCTTGTTGCTATCGTCCTCTCCGTGCATGTTATATTCCTCACTGCGGGGCGGGTCTCCTCGCAGGGCCAGGATATTGCGAATTCCGAGAACCTTGGCCTCATCTAGAGCCATGTCCACCAGTTTGCGGCTCATGTTCGTACATGTCAGATGCAGGACGGTTGTCAACTGAAGTTGGCGCTGGCATACTTCAGCCAGCTCGAGTGATCGTGCCGCAGTGCTACCACCGGCACCCCAAGTAACCGTAACGAACAGAGGACGGAGTGCTTGAGCCATCCGCTCCAGACGCGCGGAAAGGTTGGCAAAACCCTATAGTAGGCCAAATTAGCAAAATATCCACGATGCGTTCAGCAGGCGGGGTAACCCCCACCATTCGGGTCTTTGGAGGGAAGAACTCCAAGGAAAAGTAGTTGGCATCTGGCGGCAGAGCCGCAATCTTCTCGGTGATCTTCTTCTCCATTGCGTCCTTTGAGTGTATGAGTCGGCAATGGGAGGGGTTGGATGAAGAAGAGAGGATTCGGGCAAAAGTGGACCATGTCACCGTCTGCCCCAGGCGCATCGGGAACGATGATATCTACAGCTGCCGACTGGCCATCGCGCATTAAAGGTCTACTGCAAATACACTACATAAATCTAAAGGCTTAAATACTGTTTCTATGCAAGGAGTTACTTTATCTTGATCCCGAAGAGCTAGAGCAAAAAAAAAGTGGCAGCGCGAGAGATGACTCAGCCAGCTAATCGTAATTTCTCATATCGGGATCGACGAGCTTAACGTGAGCACGTCCGAGGCTGACTGTTTTGCATTCCTGTACATTGGCCGTCAGAGGATGATTCTCTTTTGAACATAGTATAATCCCTTTCTTTAAGCTTCGCAAGTTGCCAATTCTTCTACGAAAACATGGCTTCCCGACCACCCAACTTTCTCCGCCATCTTCCTCTCCAAACAGCTCGAAACACTAGACCGCATGCGTCCCGACGAACTATTTCCACTCCCTCTCCTCCACACCTACCAAAGCCGTCACAGCCAAGTCCTAATGACTCTCGCTCTCGCCTGCGCCGGTTCAACGACCGTCTCCCTCGGTTTCTCCGCACATATACTACACCCTTGTTTGGAGCGCCGGTCACCCATATCACATCATTCCTAATACTTCACGAAATGACCGCAATTCTTCCACTATTCGGGCTGGTTGGCGCATTTCACTATGGAGCCTGGATGCCAGATCTTGCATCTCAGACAGGCGAGACCAATGCCTTCGACGAAGGAGCTGCGCGTTTCGGCCGCTGGCTGAAAAAGAAAGGTTGGGTAGATGAGTCCGACGTGAATACCGTTGCGGAGCATGAGGCCACCGCGGAGAAGACAGTGGACCGAGCAGGGGTTCGATTGGTGCTGGAATTTGCTACAGCCTATGCGATCACGAAAGCCTTGTTGCCAGCTCGGTTGGCAGCCAGTGTTTGGGCGACGCCGTGGTTTGCAAGGACGGTCTTTACACCGACTGCAAACCTAGCCAGGCGGCTCTTCAGCAGAGCATAAGCTACACATGTAGTCGAGCATTACTGTGGTACCAGAAAGAGTCATATTCATAAATTATATGAATTTGTATATTGTACTTTTCCAAGCCATTGGACTTCTTCCTCAGAACAGCTGCTTTATTCTTTGCTAGAAGTATCTGAACAAGAAGTCTGCCCGACCAGTCTACTTAAAGACGAGGAATTTACTCGTAAACCCAAGCGGCCTGGGCGGAGGTGTACTTGAGGACCTCGGAGGCACCGAACCAGAGAGCAATCTCCTTCTTGGCGTTCTCGACGGAGTCGGAACCGTGGCAGACGTTGCGGCCGACATCCTAGTGAAGTTGTCAGTATGAAAGGACGCGATATTAGAGCACTATGGGGCTTCTTACGATGGCGAAGTCACCACGGATGGTACCGGGGGCGGAAGCCAGGGGGTTGGTGGCACCGAGGAGGACACGGCCGGTCTTGACGGCGTCCTTACCCTCCCAGACCATAGCGCAGATGGGGCCGCTCAGCATGTCTAGAGCTGTGTTAGTGTATTGTGATTTGCGGAACGGTTCGGGAGATGCAACTAACAGGAGACGAGACCCTTGAAGAAGGGCTTGGTGGCGAGATCAGCGTAGTGCTTCTCGAGGTGCTCCTGGCTGGGGGAGGTGAGCTTCATGGCAACGAGCTTGAAGCCACGGTTCTCGAAGCGAGAGATGATGGGTCCAACGAGGCCACGCTGGTTGATATTGTCAGTAAATGTTGGTCAATTGCGTAAACTCTTCCGGGTCCGTGATGGATTTGGGTCGAATGGTGCTGTGTCCGTACCTGGACACCATCGGGCTTGATGGCGATGAAACTAGAGCAATTGATTAGCTTGACCGGCATTGAGGGGTAATGGCAACCGAAAGAGAAGGGGGATTGGGGAAGATCAATTTTGAGGCACATACGTCTGTTCTTCGTTGGCGGACATTTTGAATGTATGAGAATAATATTCAAAGGTTTGAAGTAGGAAAAGAGAGCGGGAAGAGGGGAAGATTAAATAGAGGCTTCTAAAAAATTCGGGCCTTCCTCCTTGGGCCGGTGATTGGTGGCTGCTAAGGAGGGGTGTTGCTGCCAGAATGCTAAGGCCATCATGGTGGACCTTGCCGTTGAAAAGTTGTATAGACTCTTTTGCTTCACTCTTTTGCTTCATACTCTCCAACTCTAAAGCTAGAAATATCTATCAACTTGAAAATAAAAGCTCAATGCAAATAAGAGCACCCCCTCTCTATGCCAAGGTCTCTAACACATGAGATAACAACTTGCATCTAGCACAGTCCCCAGGCATTTCCCCTGAAGTTCAGCACAGTGTTCACTATCCTAGTCCTAATCTTCTGTAGTGGCTACCAATTTCGAGTTTCGAGATACTCGATTCTTAAGTAGAAGTCGGAAAAGGACATTGTGCCCACCATACTGCTGAGAGGCACTATTTTGTTCATGTAGGTTGGAGCTGCAACCTGAGAAGGAAACTTGGAACGCGCTTGTTGGTTCTTACACAAGACAATGACATGCCCGCCCGGGCGGGCGAATCAGGGGTGGATAAACCTCTTGCAAGCTTCTGAATGAACAGTGGGCTGCTAGAGGGTATCGCTAGTTTCGACCTTGGATAATGTGCAAACATCTGGTTCTTAGGGCAGAGGCCGAGGTGAGATCCAGACCGAGATCTAGCTACCATCATAACTGAAGATCCCTAATCCGTGGACTTGTAGATGTACACCTGGGCAATATAGAAGCAGTAGAGGATTCATATCGTGGACACCGATTAGTCCCAAAGGCAAAATAAGCTGATTGGCTGTTGCGAAGCTATGTTGGCTGCCTTGTTGCCTTAGGTGTTTTACCCCAGCTCAGGCCAGCTTGTAGCTTCTGTTGACGGACATCTCCACCTCTAAATGCAGGTCAATCATTGATAACCAACGCCATTCTGTTGGAGATTGAGGGTCTCTGATTGATCATACTATTTATTTCACCATGACCAGGAGTCTACCTGCGCCCCGTTGGGCAATGTTGCTCTCCTTGGTTATCCTCCTCGGGTGCATTGTTGTCCCCGGTTGTAAGGCTGCCTTTCGCCAAATTGCAAGATTATATAAAGCTAACTTTCATGGTACGATCAGTGGCAGTCAAAAACAAGGATTTCAAGACTTGCGAGCAGTCCGGGTTCTGCAAACGAAACCGTGCCTACGCCGATAACGCCTCCTCCCAAGGCACTTCATGGAGCTCACCCTACGAACTCGACCCTGCCACCATACATTTCAAGGATGGAATGCTTACTGGAGTCATTTCGAAAACAACAACTGCCAATGAGAAGGTCCGGCTACCTCTTACGGTGTCTTTCTTGGAATCGGGAGCCGCCCGCATTGTGGTGGATGAAGAGAAGCGGATGAAGGGCGACATTGAAATGCGACATGGCAGCCAAGCGAACAAGAAGCGATATGATGAAACTGAAAAATGGGCTATTGTGGGTGGTTTGGAAATCAGCAAGTCCGCCACGTTGAACGCTCAGAGTGAAACCGGATTTACCAACATTTTATACGGACCGGGCGACAAATTCCAGGCAATCGTTCGCCACACACCATTTGGTGTCGAATTCCAGCGAGATGGAGAGACCCATGTTCAATTGAACCACCAAGGCTTCTTGAACATGGAGCACTGGCGACCAAAGATAGACGGCAAAGACGGCGAATCCGGCGAGGACGAGAGCACTTGGTGGGAGGAGACATTTGGAGGAAATACTGACTCAAAGCCGCGTGGTCCCGAGAGTGTTGCTCTTGATATCAACTTTCCTGGTTATAGTCATGTATTTGGTATCCCAGAGCACGCAGATTCGCTCTCGCTCAAGGAGACTAGGGGTGGATCTGGCAACCATGAGGACCCTTATCGTCTGTACAACTCGGATGTCTTTGAGTATGAACTCGAAAGCCCGATGACCTTGTATGGAGCCATCCCGCTGATGCAAGCCCACCGCAAGAACTCCACTGTCGGGGTCTTCTGGCTCAATGCAGCAGAAACGTGGATCGACATTGTCAAGTCGACTGCCTCCTCCAATCCCCTTGCTTTGGGCGCCCGCTCCAAGACAGATACACAGACCCATTGGATCTCCGAATCCGGTCAGATTGACCTGTTCGTCTTCCTCGGGCCCTCGCCGAATGATATCAGTAAAACATATGGTGAACTCACAGGATATACGCAATTGCCCCAGCAGTTTGCCATTGGATACCACCAATGCCGATGGAACTATGTCACGGACGAGGATGTTAAAGAGGTCAACGCCAAGTTCGATAAGTACCAGATTCCGTACGATGTCATTTGGCTTGATCTTGAATATACCGATGACCGAAAATACTTCACTTGGGACCCCCTCACCTTCCCTGATCCTAAGGGTATGCAGCACAAGCTCGATGAAACTGAGCGAAAGCTTGTGGTTTTGATCGATCCTCACATTAAGAACGCGGACAAGTACTTTGTTTCCGAGGAGCTTAAAAGCAAAAATCTCGCCGTGCTGAACAAGGATGGCGAGATTTACGATGGATGGTGCTGGCCAGGTTCCTCGAACTGGGTCGACTGCTTTAACCCCGCTGCACACGCTTGGTGGGCCACCCTGCACAAGTTCGACAAATTCAAGGGGTCGCTTCAGAATCTTTTCATCTGGAATGATATGAATGAACCTTCAGTTTTCAACGGGCCTGACATGACCATGCCCAAGGACAACTTGCACCATGGAAACTGGGAACATCGCGATGTTCACAACCTTAATGGTCTCACCCTTTTGAACGCCACCTACAAAGCAATGCTGGAGCGCAAGAAGGGCGAGGTGCGCCGGCCATTCATCTTGACGCGCTCGTACTACTCTGGGGCCCAGCGGGTGTCTGCTATGTGGACTGGGGACAACCAGGCCACCTGGGACCACCTTGGAGCTTCTATCCCAATGGTGCTGACCAACGGTATCGCAGGCTTCCCCTTTGCCGGCGCAGATGTCGGAGGATTCTTCCATAACCCCGATAAGGACCTTTTGACCCGATGGTACCAGACAGGTATCTGGTACCCTTTCTTCCGCGCGCATGCTCACATTGATACTCGTCGTCGTGAGCCGTATCTGATCAGCGAACCGCACCGGTCCTACATCGCTCAGGCAATCCGCCTGAGGTACCAACTTATGCCTGCCTGGTACACTGCCTTCCATGAAGCGTCAGTCAACGGCACGCCAATTGTACGGCCTCAGTACTACATGTTCCCAGAGGACGAGCAAGGCTTTGCCATCGATGATCAGCTGTACCTTGCTTCCACGGGCCTTCTCGTGAAGCCCGTTGTGCAGGAGAACACTCACAGCGCAGACGTGTATATCTCCGACGACGAGAAGTACTTTGACTACTTCGATTTCACCGTCTACCAGGGCGCGGGCAAGAAACACACCGTCCCTGCGCCAGAGGAGAAGGTGCCTGTGTTGATCCAGGGTGGTCACATCATTCCCCGCAAGGACCGTCCTCGTCGCAGCACTGGCCTTATGCGATGGGACCCGTATACACTGGTCATTACCCTAGACAAGAATAGCGAGGCGGAAGGCACTCTGTACGTGGATGATGGCGAGACATTCGACTACGAGCGTGGCGCCTACATTCAGCGCCGCTTCACCTACCGCGAGTCGGTGTTGTCTTCGGAGGACATTGGAACCAAGGGACCCAAGACTGCTGAGTATCTCAAGACCATGGCTGCCGTGACGGTCGAGCGGGTGGTGGTCGTTGACCCTCCCGCCGAATGGAAGGTTAAGGACACTGTGACTGTCATTGAAGATGGAGCCAAGTCGGGCTCTACGGCCTCGTTGGAGTTCTATGAGCAGGAGGGCGGGAAGGCGTCCTATGCTGTGGTGAAGAAGCCGAATGTTGGCATTGGAAAGGCATGGCGGATCGAGTTCTGAGCGATATATTTCATTTCGTTCACAATATATGTATGCAATGTTTACACTATTAGAAGTTGATAGGTGTGCATGTCATGAGCAGCTTTATTTGTTCTTTGCATATATAAAACTGTTATGCTAGGGGAAGAAAATAGCCCCTTCACAAGATCTAAGGCTATCTGTTCGAGTATTATCTTTTTGATAACCTGGGAATATGTCGACAAAGTCAACCCCGAACTTCCTCACATATATAGTTTTTTTCGAGCTTCATCTCCCAATCTGCTAGTAGGTTGTCCGCCCTACTCATAGAAGATGTATGCGGGAGTTTTCACAGATTCTCACATGGCCACCGAATGAGTTCCTCACCAAGAGACCCGTCAGCTTGACTTGAAATTGAGATATGCAACCTCAAGGGGGAAAGACTAAAAGTATGACTTCGCTCCGGGCTGTGCTGCCAACAGCTACCGAGTTGGTTTAGAGTTTGTATGGCGCTGTTTATCATACACAGAAAGGCTTTTGATCTTCCCAGCAGATTTTGCCAAGCGGGTTAGGCGAGCCAATTTGCCGAATGACTGGTCCAAGCCATGGGCGGAATCCTTGATGATCTGATGATACTGCGGCTCGTGCACAACAACATTTCCCACCAATGGAATGTCATGAAATTCCATCATGTTTATATTGACCTTTTCTATTGCGGCTTGAGACATGATTCTTGACGAGGAGACAAGACACCGAGTATATCATATATCGTGCTACGTTAACATACGGCTTCCATGCAGAACATCCAATGGATATCGAAGGATCTCCTTTCTGCCAGAAATGTGAAATGGCAATTTGCCATATGTTCAAACGAGGTCAGCTCGGAGCATATAGTACCGGAAAAAGGTCCGGAGAATGGCCTGGAGAAGGAACTGGAGAAAGACCCGGAGAAAGCCCGGAGTGAGGCCCGGAGAAAGGCCCATCCTTGTTCTATTGGAGAGAAAATACACCCCGCATGTCCACCCGCATGCCCGCTCACAGTGGTTGTCCGTGCTTTCCGCAGCAGGTCGGGCTCTGACTGGATGCCTATCAACAAGCTCACCTTGGCAGAGACCACTACCGGTCACCCTAATAGATTGACCGGCATAATTATGGAAATCACTGGATCACGGCCCTTCAATGGCCAAGCTTCCCCGCATTTCTTGGCCATTAGAGCGTATACGCCAAGACTGGGGTAAACAACGAGATCTTAAATCATTCCGCCATTCTAGTTAGGATAACCGACATGATTTGACTACTTATATAGCCTATATACCCTCCTTTTTGGTCGATTTGCTTGTGTGTTTCATTTCTGAGACCCTATATCTAGAGGGATTTCTCTCGACCTTGGTCCATTTGAAAGCCGAAGGCTGTATACTACTTATAATTCACAGCTATGAACCGCGGCTCTATCGGAAAAGATGATGTCGAGATTGTCGATCAAGACTCTCATATCGAGAATATTCCCAAGCCTTCTCTGGTCACTCAGGTTGGAGACTTTCGTGTTGTCGGTTTGACTCCCGACGATGCAGATTTCTATAATAACTACCCGGAGGAGAAACGAAAAAAGGTCTTCCACAAGGTGAGAATACTTGACACCCCAATGCACATAATATCCAGCTAACTCTCTATCTAGGTCGATAAGCGATTAATCCCCATGCTCGCATTGCTGTATCTGATTTGCCACATCGATCGGGCCAATATCGGCAATGCTAAAATCGAAGGCATGGTCCAAGATCTCAAGATGACTGGGTTACAGTATAATACTGTTCTTTCTATATGTGAGTTTATTTCCTGTGGCCTGCACTTAGCCGGCCTAGTGTTCCTTAACTATGAGCGCAAGGCGTGCTGACTGGTGCTATATAGTCTTCATTCCCTACGTCCTATTCGAAGTTCCCAGTAACATCGTTCTCAAAAAGTTCAAGCGACCTTCAGTGTACCTTGGCCTTCTTGTCTTGACCTGGGGTATTGTCATGACATGCACAGGTCTGGTTAAAAACTTTGCTGGTCTTATGACCACTCGAGTCCTACTTGGTGTTTTTGAGTCAGTGAAAATCATCAACCTCTTTTTGCTTCGCATGCTAAAATCTTTCTCTATAGGGCCGGATTCTTCCCTGGTGCTATTTACCTTTGCTCCTACTGGTACATGCCTAGGGAATTGGCACTTCGTATCTCATACTTCTACTGTGCCAGTGCGCTCTCCGGCGCGTTCTCCGGCCTGCTCGCTGCCGCTATTGCCAAGATGGATGGTACTGCTGGGCTTGAAGGCTGGCGGTGGATCTTCATCCTGGAAGGCATTGCTAGTGTAGTACTAGGTGTTGCCTGTTTCTTCCTCCTCATCGATACCCCGGCTTTATCCAAGCGCTGGTTATCTCCGGACGAAATTCGCTACCTGGAGCTTTCAATGTTCATCAAGCAAGGAGGAACTAGTACCGGAGAGACGGGCTTCAAGTGGAGGGACCTCAAGATTGTCCTGATGAACTGGAGGATCTACGTGCAAGGCTACCTTTTGTTTTGCCAGTCGGCTTTGTCTTACGGTAATGGTCCTTGGAACCCTATATGACACACTGGGCTAATTGAGATTTGCAACCAGGTACCAAGTTCACCCTCCCGACTATCACCAAAGCCATGGGCTTCAGCTCGACGAATGCCCAGCTCACCTCTGCCCCTCCATACATTGCCGGCGCGATATCTGCTATCGTGTTTGCACGGTTCTCCGATCGCTTCTATTGGCGAATGCCATTTGTCTGCATCCCCATGGTAATTGTTGTGGTAGCTTATTCTATTATTATGTCCCTAAATGGAGAGCTTGAAGCAAAGAAAGGAGTCGCCTACTTTGCAGTTGTCTTGTCTGTCATAGGTATTTACCCCATCCAGCCGGGAGCTGCATCCTGGAATGCAAACAACATTGCCCCAGCGTCCCGACGGGCTATGGGCATCGCACTGGTCAACTGTGTCGGCAATGTCGGTGGCATATTGGGCAGTTTCATGTATATCGAGAAAGAGAGCCCGAAGTACACAACTGGATTTGGCCTCAGTTTGGCACTCGGTGGGGTTGGATTCTTTGTTGCTTTGTTCCTCGAATGGACATACAAGATGGGCAATGCAAAGAAGGAAAGGCTTGCAGACGATGCCAGAGTCAACTACACTGAGGATCAGTTGTTTGATATGGGAGACAAGTCGCCGCTGTTCAAGTATGTTTTGTAAATACTTTATGGACAGGAATGAATTTATGATGATGCTTTTTTGATATTCCGATATGATATGCCCCTTATAAAAGCCTTAAGAGGCTCCGGATGTCTTCACTCCCAGGGAAATTTACATCCTAAGCCGGCGTGAATCTCCTGGGCACGTGCCTGCCCATATTAGACGGTTTTGTTTGTGTCGATTTCACTTTGCTGTTTTGGATCCTTCCGTTCCGTTTCTGCTTCCGCATCTCCCATATCTCCAAATATTCTGGTAAGCCATCACCTCCGCACTTTACCCTTTCTCGTCGACAGAAACTCACTTGAAGATACCATTCAGAAGCACATCCCTCCAACCACCGCCATCATGACCAAAGATGCGTCAACAACCTCATCTGAGTCTCAGACAAATGAAGCTGCCCCCGAAAGCCCTTACTATGGGATGCATGGTCATTACTGGAAGTCAAACAGGGATGTGCCTCCCACCAAATGGCTGTAGGCATCTCTTTGAATCGGACTATTGAATATGACTAACTGATTCTATCAGTCCGGTGAACAAAAAGCTCTGCGCTTGTGATGACCATCAGGCAAGTCAATGGCCGATGGAACACGCAGTCATCGTGAGTGGAAACAACAAATCGACCATCGCAAGCTGATGCTAACACTTGTTGGTCTTAGACGATTCCTCCCTGCGCTTACAAGTGTCCCTATTGCCCAAAGTTCGATGACCTCGAGACTACCGTCCCTCAGGTGGTGAAGCTTCGTGCTCATATCAAACGTGACCATCTGGTGAGACTATTATCCGTGGACGACTTGCGCATACTGATATCCATTAGAAGAGAAAACCGCATGAGTTCCTTGGGCTCACTGTCACCCCGGGTAGAGTGACGAAAGCCCGCGCGCCGTGAGTCAAACTTGCTTAACTCTAACCGCACTCTGCTAATCTTATTGACCTTTCTAGTAAGCCATGATGGTGATAGGATCCGATGGGTTGTATTGCATGCATTTCCCAGGTTATTGATTCTCGATGTGAAATTCCCCATACCAAGAAGAGGTTTTGTACACAAACAAAACTTCAAGAACAGAATTTACTTTTGATTTTCTCCTCCTTCTTCTACTTCCCTTCTCTGAAAGTTTAGATTCTCAAGGCAGAAACATAAATCTGACCAACAATTCCCTCCTCGGCGTTGTGGGCTTGCAACGAAAGCTTCCCGTCGACATCAACTTGCCATATCACGTCATTCATCTTAATCTCGCTGGTTCCCTCCTCATACCAATTGGACATATCCTTTACTTGATCAAAGAAGTCCTCATACTCGCTTCTGAAAAGAGCCAGAGCAGCATTGTTGGCCTCCTCGAGAGTGTCAAATGTGTGCTGCCTTTGGCTGTCACCATCCTCGGAGTCCGTCTGCTCATCTTCTGAGTCTCTCTCCTCAAACGCGGATAAATCTTCGGCTTCACTGTGAATGACATGGAAGACGTATTTGACGTCGGAATTGCGCGAGGGACCGTGCTGGGCCGCGTTGACTCTTTCCAGCAGATCTTGTGGGAAGTTTGGGATTTCGCGCATCTTTGTAGGCTGCCGGTTGCTTCAATTGAGTGAGTCAATTGAGTTTTGCTAGAGGCGATTGGAAATAGAGTCTTTTGGAAATTTGGTGTACAATGTAGGCTTTGTGTATACCACGAAGTAGAGGGGCAAAGGGTTCGCGTGCAATTTCGCGTTTGAGTTTCCCCACTTGATTTGATCTAGATCCACTGCCCCTCTTATCATCTCTGGGTGTCCAAGGTCTCTTGCACAAAGTATGCTTTTTTTCCCTTTTTCTGTAGTCTAGCTAACAAACTGAGAAGGTGGAGAAAATATCTATGAAAAGAGACATCTAAAGTCTAACTGAGAAGACCAACTGAGAAGAATCTGAGAAGACCACCAAAAAAGATTACAAAAGAGACGTCTAAAAAGACTACCTCAGAAAACTACCTGAGAAGACTACTAAAAAAGTCTTGACAAAGCCGCATAAGCGGCCGATTATTTTTGTATCACAGCCATGGATAGTACGCCAGTTGACGTTATAGCGAAGTATCAACCATATAGCCTTAGAGCCTGAATACCCTAGCATTTAGGCTTGAATCTCTTTCATCAAACCAAGCTTCTAATCTCGAACCTAGGAAGGGACTTGACCCATAGATCGCGATTAATGCTAGTCGTCACCCCCTCTAAATCGAACCAGGGACTAGGTATCTCAGTAATAAAAAAACTTCATGTCCTAAAAGGCCCCTTTCAGACTCCTCCAGATGAAAAATGCGGGATTGGCAATTGAGACAGCAAAGCAATTGAAGAAGAATCTGGGAAGGCGGGTAGTGAGCCCGATAGTAAATCATAATATATCAGAATACCTTCTCACTCATATCCTGGAAATCTTGCGCATCAATAAGAATATCATGCTCCCCTGGTCCAGGGGGTCAATCGTAGATTGCAACAAACGGAATGCTCAAAAGGGCCCCGAACACTATTACGCTCTACGTAAATCTCCTATGCCGAGTACGGCTGCTGGGTAGGTGTTGCTTGTGGGGTAATAGGAGAGATATTCCGGGATTGCGCGCGGAGCCCATCGAAATAAATGCGAGTGAGTGGGCGCGGGGCATTGCTTGCAGTCAATTGCTACTTTCGAATGTAATCTTAGTCGGCTTAATCGAAATAAGAACGACGATGCGCACCTCACCCTGTGAATTGATGAACCATCTCCGAGCGTCTGTGCGAAGCCGATTGAGGGATTCCGAAACCCCGGTCTCGATGACAAAAGTCGGCCATGCTCCACTCGGAAGCCTACTAGGGATGCGAGATGGTGGTAGAAATGCTTGGTCCCCCTGTTTACCTCGGCCAGCAGCGGGCTTGTAGGTTGCTGTTCCAAACCAGAGTCCTAGTCTACCTACATCAAAGGTTATACATGGAAAGGTCGTTTTGCACATTATAGGCCGCATCCACCGCCTATATTCTAGCTACAACATTAGTAAGGGGGGAATATCTAAACAAAAGACATCTAAAAAGACATCTTGAGGGACTTCAAAGAATATATCAAAAAAGATTTAAAAAGACATCGTAGTGGAGTCGTAACTAACGTTTATAATACCATTATAAAACAACTCGATATTCAGATTACGCGCTATGAATATCGTTAAGTATAGAGGTTATATAAGTAGCCGACTCTATTTCAATATAAATGGCTACCTCACTATAAATCTACAGAAGTTCTAATCAGGTCGATATAACAATCAAAGTATAGGAATTACTACGAAGAAGGCTCAAGCGGTGAATCCTAAAAGCCAATTGGACCAAAGTCCCTAATGGTCGCTATGCACTGCGATATTACCGGGAAGCTCTGGTTTGAGCAGCTTGTTAGGGGGTTGAAGCGAATGGGGGGGACAAGGAAACTCTTAATTATACCTTTCATCGACAATCACCACCATCATATGGGGTCTCTCATTCTTACTCATGTCATCTTTCAATTTTTTTATCCATTCCACCACGTCACCCCTCTTCGTTGAACACACTGACGAAAGGGAACTCATCTCATCTCTGCTGATCCCTTTGCCCTGATCTCACTTTCAGGGGGATCTGGTGGTCGTAGGGAAGTGGCATCGTGGTGAGAGGTTGACCCCTAAAGGACGTCCGACAACGCCAGCCAAGAACCGTGTCAGGGCCTCCCCATCATCTACAGAGTGGAACAGGCACCCTCTGAGACCATGCCTGCTGGATATGATGGCTCAGACGAAAGAGCTAAACCCAAGAAGAAGCGCAAGAGGGAAAGGTAAGCTTCGTCCGATAAGCTCGTCAACATTGTGAAGGTCGAGGGTGGTGTGCGAGTTGAGTTTAGTTTACGGACGGCTCGAGTGTTCTAGGAGATGCACTGGTGGGTGCAGATGGCTCGACCTCGATTGTGCGCAAGTTCCTCGCCCCGACAACCCACGAGCTACATCGCCTTCCCATCAAGGCTGTAGGCTGTGCCCTGACTATGAGTGAGGAACAAGTCAACTACTTCAAAGACCACGTAGATCCACTTTATTTCATGGGTACGGATCCAGAAACTGATACCTTTGTCTTCTGGTCTTTGTTGGACACTCCTACAGCTCCCGGACAACACCATCGCGCCCAAGTGTACTTCTCCTGGATTGCGTCTGATGAGGATAGGGAGCTGTCGAGCCAGCCCTTGCTTGATGTGTTTAAGCAGAAAGGCAGACCATTCTTCCCTCGTATGCGGGATATGGTAGAGGCACTGCCTGAGGACACGGTCGCTACCAATGTCAACCTAGTTGATTGGCCCCCCGTTGAGTGGGACAACTGGGACGGTACCTGCACTTTGATCGGTGACGCGGCCCATTGTATGATGATCTGTAAGTATATTCGCCTGCGATGAAACGGACCGAACTAACGTGAGCAGATCGGGGCGAAGGGGTGATCCATGCCATTGTGGACGCCTGTCAACTCGCAGATACTATCAAGTCAGCTGCTGATGGCCACGTGTCAATCCGTGGTGCCGTCAGAGCTTATGAGAAGCAGATGCGCCCGCGTGCGATAGAGGCCGTCGAAACCAGCAGACAGGCTGGACATGATGGCCATTGCTACGCCAAGGTTGACAAGAAAGGGAGCTTTGCCCTTCTAGGTGAGAAGCCAGTCTAATGGCCTTTGGCCCCTTCTAAGTCAGTTGGAACCCACTGCTTCCGTTTGGAATATACGATGTCGATCACCTTTGACTCCACCAAAATTTCCACCGCACTATCCTCGGTGATTAGTCGCATGTGTCTTTGCTCAGTCGAGAGGCGACTGCCCGGTTTTCTGTCTTTACGTTGTTGCTTAGATAATATATATTTTTTCATTGTCAACTCCCTATGATATCCACTATCCGTAGAGATCTTTATCAAAGGTTATATATAAGTTGTTTTCACAAATTAACCCGTCTACCTAACAAACTGAGAAGGGGGAGAAAATATCTATAAACCAGACATCTAAAAAGACTGTCTCAGAAGACTATCTGAGAAGACTACCATAAAAAACCACCAAAAAGAAAACTTGAAAAGGCCGCACAAGCGGCGGACTTTTCTTGTAATGACCATACGAAGATATCTCTCCTTTTTTTAGCCCTCTGTACAGTGATACAGCAACTTATTATACCGCGCAATTCTACATAGTACACTTGTGGCTAAGGCAATTGGGGTGTAGTAAAATGAGGAAAGTTGTTCTTTCAAAAGCTAGCAAGTTCAATCTTCATCATTATCCCAATCCCGGCCATCCATAGATGTCAGCAAATAAGCTTATCAAAATCCTTTAAAAGAAACCTAGCCATGTAGTTAGAGCATTGTGCGCTTGCAACTACCAATCCGTTTCTGTCATCATTGAATCCTTGTCCTCCTGGCCAACCACGTTGGATGGCCTTTCGCCGCTACTGTCAATCTGCCATGTTGGATCACAGGCCGGTTCTTCGTCGATCAAGTCAAACGGGTTCTCGAAGTTACCATCTACTAAACCCCAGATCGAAGCTTGGGAGATCCGACGATAGTACGGATCCTCCTCATCCGCAGGACACTCGTCGTCGTCGGTGAATTCGGCTTCAGAGTCGGTGATAGCATCCTCATTTAAGTAGCGTTCATATTCGGCAACTCCATCAGTGAACGTATATCGTATCACATTGTCCTTCGTTGAATGTTCAGAAAGCAGATTTTGCAGGCGGAGATTTTGCAGTTCGAGGTTCTTCATTTGCGTGTCTTTCAAGTCGATGCCCTTCTTGCCATCCTGGGAGACCGCGTATCGAATCGAAAAGACCTTCTTTTCATCTTCGGAAAGTTCAAATCCCCTAGCCTTCTGACAGCAGCCACATTCGACAGTGCAGTGCCCAGCTGCGCGCCTCCGAGGCTCATCAAGTTTGCGATTAAGGCAGCATCCACACTCACGCCCACAGCAGCCTCCCCTGCCGGCACAGTCCTCGCGAAGAACGCGATGCATATACCATCTGGGATGTCCCCTCCAGAGATTTAAAGCTCGCCCTAAAGGTCCATCGGCGAACGAATCTAGGATCATCCACCCCTCGTGCTCAAGTCGTTTATATTCCTTCTCTGTTTTCTTGAACTCTTGCTCGACTCTTGTTGGATCTTGCTCATATTGTTCTTTCAGACTTATTTCCCGTTGAGCAATCTCTCGGAGCCTAGTCTCCACGTCGAGGAACTCCGCCAAGCGATCCTCTTTGCTGTCGAGGTCTTGTTCGTAGACGTACCGTTCATATCGACATCGCTGAAGGGCATTTACATCCTTGCCATGTTCGAGTTCGCGCTCCTTCGTGCCTATCATACCACGCCTGAACTTCTTGGATATCGCTAGCCTGATTATATCCGGTCCATTGTTCCGCAATTCGGTTTCAAGTTCATTGAGCTTTTCTATCTTGTCCTTGAGTTTAACCTCATTCTTTTCGAGCTCGCCTTTGTCTTGTTTAACTCTAAGCTCGTGCTTTTCGAGTTCGACTTTGCGTTGTTTGATTCTGAGCTCATGCTTTTCGAGCTCGGCCTTGCTGTGTTCAAGTTTAAGCTCATGCTTTTCGTAGTCAAGTTCCAATTCACGCCTTCGAAGCTGACGTTCACGGTCTTGGAGCTCGATTTCCTTCGCCGTTTGATTGCTAAGATTGCTCATTTTGGATGTTCGTGGGAGACTGACTTATTGAAAGCAGATGGTAAAGGGACGAACTTGGATTGTTTCGGAAAGTGGTCTAGGAGAATGTCAAATCCTTTGAAATTTTCATATCGACGATTCATCGTGATGTCAGGTAATTATATACATTTCCTCATCCAAATCAGGCAATATCCTCCAGTATATCTCATTCTGAGCCATCTATATTTCCAAGTTCATATATTCCCACGGTTATATACGTCCAAGATAGGTAAATGACGAATTTAATAATGTCCCATTAATCTCATTGGCTCCACATACACCACGTAGACCCACTAAACAGCCCCAAGGCCCTGCCGCAGGTGGAGATCGACACGCTGACATAATCCAGGGCACCCGCCAAAAAAGCCAAGCCGCATCGAGTCGTGAAGCTTGTACCTTTTTTTCCCTCTTTGACTTCTGTTCTTGATTGTCGCTTTCCCTTTGTCGCGAATATTTACAAGACGCGACTCCTCACGCAATCGCGTCGACCGGTCTGTTGTTTTTTATTCAGTTATAGCGACCGCGCATACCCCCATTACCCGCCATGTCTCTTTTCCAGATCGCCTTTGACTATGCCGCGCCTTTCTTGTACGTGGGCGTGAACGAGCTCCCAATCCATCTGCAGGTTCCCAGTGCTAACCAAGCTCATATACAGCCTTATAAGCTCCCCCGTCACGTCCTATGCCGACCAGATCGTCAACATTCATCGCACAAGAAGCTCGGCGGGCTTCTCCTTGGATATTCCTTTGATTATGCTGATTTCGTCGATCCTGAAGTAAGATCCCGATCAACAGCGCGTTAAAATTCGAGGCCGCAAAATGTTGACATTGTTAGAATTTTCTTTTGGTTTGGCGAGCACTACTCAGCCACTTTGTTGACGCAAGCAATTGTCATGATCGTAGTGCAGATTACGATGCTCAAGGTTGCACTCGATAATCGGCCCTCTGCTGGGGTGAGAAATGGAATTGAGCACACACCCTTCAGTGGAGGCAAACCTGATGGTTCCTACTCGAGACCTTATGAGTTTTGGCAGTGGAAGACCACCAAGCCGTAAGTTCCGGCGCCTCCAACCACAGCGATCAAAGCTAATTGCCGATTTTCATAGATACTGGATGTCTTTGGCTTACTTTGTCGGAATCTTAACCGTCATCCACCTGACACCGGTCGCTCAATCGCAATTCTATATCAATCTCATTGGCTACTGCGGACTCGCCGTCGAAGCTACCCTCCCTATCCCTCAAATCATTGCCAACCACCGATCCGGCTCATGCAAGGGCTTCCGAGTCTCGGTCGTTGCGGCGTGGATTCTCGGTGACACCATGAAGATGAGCTACTTCTTCAACAGCACAGAGACTATTCCATGGGCGTTCAAGCTCTGTGGTATCTTCCAGTGCGTGTGCGACTTCTACCTGGGCTTCCAGTTCTATTACTTCACTCGAAATGCCCCCTCTCATACTCCGTCCCACTCCCACTCCAACTCGCTCTCCAACTCGTTCTCAATCCCACACTCCACATCACACTCACACTCCAACTCACTATCCCAATCTTACCCCCTCTCCGCTTCTCGTTCCCGTTCCAACTCCCAGACCGCAGGCGAGTCTATGGAGCAGACCGGACGCTGGGGTCACCACGAGAAGGATATCCGCATGAACTGAAACCCCGGATGATGAACTTGGACTAGACTCAATATTTATGTAGATAGGTAGCATTGGCAAACAGCATTATAGATCTGTAATTTGAATTAGATAATGTCAATACTATGATGTTTTATTAAAAAACAAAATTTATTTCCCGGTCCTTCTCCGATTGCGCGCATATGGTGAGGGGCTTGCCCCGCGTCACTCGGAATGCCGCCCTGCGCCAACATCTTCCCCACGCAACCCGGATCTACTGTCTCTGTTTATTCTCCGAATCAGTAACGCAGCTCGGACTTGCACAATGGCTGACCTGCCCATAATCCGCATTGGCTATGTGCCCGGTACGTCAGCCCCCCTTCACGCCGAGAGCTTCGGCATCAGAGTACTGCCGTGTCCAAGCTACTTGCTTTGTCTCAACGAAGCCTGCTCGTCATTCCTACTTTCTATTCGACAGAATATAGCTGACAATAAGCTTTTACCGCGCACTAGAGCACTACTTAACCCCACTCCATCTCGCCCTCCGCTCCCCGGCCGTTGCCTCCCTCCCATTCAAAATCGCCGTAACTCCCTTCCCATCCGGGACAGGCCATATGATCACATCGCTCCGCGGCAATGAAATCGACATCGCCATCGGTTTGACAGAGGGGTGGGTCGCAGGATTGGCCGGGAAGCAGCAAGCAAGTCAGACCTCCGCAGACGCAGATGGAGGATACAAGGTCGTCGGCCACTGGGTGGACAACCCTCTGCGCTGGGCTATAGTCACAGGTCGCAATCGGGACGAGATCAATGGAGTGTCGGACCTAAAGGACAAGAGGGTTGGAGTCAGCCGGCTGGGAAGGTAAGCTACCGACATTGGGTTAAAGCACAATAGCGTGAGACTAACACATTTACCTACAGCGGCTCTCATATCATGTCCTTCGTTCTTGCCCAGCAGCAAGGCTGGAAAGCCGATTCCTTGACCACCGTCCCTCTGGGACCCTTCGGACCCTTGCGGGACGGCGTGTCCGGCCTCGACGCCTCAAAGCCTGACCAGGCTGCAAACCCATCTGCTGAGTTCTTCATGTGGGAGGAATTTACAACCAAGCCGTACTTCCATCCTACATCTGAGAAACCGAACCCGCCGCTTAAGAAGATTGGCGAGATTTTCACGCCATGGCCTTCATGGATGATTGTCGCTTCTACGTCGCTGTTCCCTAACCCTGAGAAAGACCAGCGATTGGAGAGTCTCTTCCAGGCTCTGGATCAGGGAATCAAGGATTTCGAGGCTGATACGGCGCAGGTTGTGAAGCTTTTGGGTACTGGTGAGCTTGGTTGCAATTATATTGAGGAGGATGCAACGGAGTGGCTTAAGGATGTTAAGTTCACTAATGCCACACGTGGTGTTGACAATAAGATTATTGGAAGTGTTGTCGATGTACTTAAGGTGGCTGGTGTTATTGACTCGGCTATGAGCAATGATGAGGCTATCCAGCGAGTCATCGGGATCAAGAGGTAGCTTACCACTTGAACGTCGAGAAGAGACGATATAAACAATATGCGGAGTGGTATGATCGTGATATTTTCCAGTGCTGCATTCTGGACATGCTCCATTGATGTATACAATGTAATGCCCCTAGGCAGGTGTTCAGGAAATGTATTGCCTCGGCGCTTAATTTATGGGGAACGAAATGGATTCACAAGCCCCATCCTACCTAGTTGAGAGCTAGTCATGAGTGTTATTGTGTAGAAATATCTTTTTGCGTCCCGCGCTAGGCTCTGTCAAGTCAACCATTCTCTATTACTGGTTATATATGGAAGTTAATTTTGTAGGAATTGTTCTTCTTATGGGTATTCTACAGTTCATGGCTAATGTATCAACCTTTCTGGTGATGAGATTGTGGATTGTGTATGGAAGCAAAAAGACATACATAAAGTCATCGTATTATTACCTCCAATGCCATAGACAGGACGAATGTTGATCTAACGTTTCAGCCTTAGTTGACTTGTTGTGACTCGCCACCACTCCCCTGGGCATGCATAGTTTGTTGGCCAGCGCCGCCGCTATGCCCCTCAACTGGTGACAGTCGGCCTCAATGTGGCCAGGCAACCCACAGAAGTACCAGAACAGCTATTATCTCATAGTATATATTCCAACGTTCTCTCGATATGTGATAGTGGTTGGGAGAGTATCACGGCCTTTTCGTTGGTCCTCTTTGCGCGAGGCACAAGACTCTGATCAACGCTGTTCTCAACATCTTCGGCTGGACATGTACGATTCTTTCCGCATTTGTGACACCAAAGGTGGGACGCCGGACAGTGTTCCTTTTCTCTGCTGTGGGTATCAACGTTGCTTTCATCATCTGGACAGTTTTAACATCGCAATACGACGCTCATGCACGTCTCCCGTATGGAATAGGCGTTCTCGGGATGATCATTGTCAACAATTTCTTCACATGCATTTGCTGGATTCCGTTAGTCGTTGCCTATCCCATCGAAACCGTCACCACCAAACAGCGAAGTATATACTTCGCTATCACCATACTGTCAATCAGTGAGACGTCTTTTGTCCCGAGCTATCTGACTCCTGTTGGTATCGCTAACATTGGATGGCATTATTATATTCCAACTTGCCTTTGGAACGTAGTCTTGGTTTTCATCTTGTATTTCACCTTTGTGGAGACGAGGAGCTTGACGCTGGAAGAAATTGCAACCCTCTTTGATGGACACGAAGATTTCGACAGTAATGCGATTGCTGTCAGCCATGACATGGAGATGAAGACAGTGGAGCTTTTCACCCATTATGAAAGCGTTGAACATAAAATTTCTTCTGAAAAGTGATCCTTGCGATGTACGGGAACTCGATGACCCCAAAGGACGCTCAATTGAGCGAAACCTGGCTGAATTAATTATCCATGCTTTGAAGCTGTTTCTTTTTCCTAAGAGCCAATGTACTTCGGCTCTTATAAACTGGGTGGGCTTGGGCTTGATTTTGTGAGAAAAAGTGGGATCATATGCTCATTTCAATGAGCTTGTCATAGCTAACGTTTTAGCTTTTTAGCTGCTTAGCTTGTTGGAGTTGGCACTATGCAAGCTAAAGAAGTAGCTCCATTGGGCCTCTCAGAGATGGAGCGTTGTCTGGGCACCCAAAAAGGCTACCCAAGCCCAATTTTATATAACCGAGGAGGACAACGGTGAGTGTACTATAGTCGAAGCAGAGCAAGTAGGCCTATACAGGGCCTTAGGCACCCTCATGGCAGTCAAGGATATGGAGCTGTTACCTGAGCCACCGATTGTCAGACTAAATAGGCGACCAATGGTGGCGGGTCTGTTATGTTTAAAAAGTCAGGTTCGACAAGGTAGACAATCTGGTCAATTATGTCATAGACAATTATCTCAAATCTCCTTATTTAAATGGCCTGACATCGCAATTTCCATGCTATGTAAGGCCCCAACGATTTCCTGAACTATTCCTCCACCCCAATGCTCCTGCACGCAAACTATTAATACTCTCGTCTCATTATCTTACTCCCCGCTCAATGGAACCGATTGGCTTCGATTCGTTCGCCTTGCTCACAGCATGAATGCTATACCTCAAGTATACAAGCAAATTTGGTTTTTCCTATGCCCCTCACTGTGTTCGCCTTTATTTTCCCAGACCGTCACGGCCTCAGCCATGAATATCCTGTTCTCTGGAAAGCATGTTGGGTGAGGGCCTGAGCCGCAGGCGAGAAAGAGGTGATCAGCGTCAAGAGCGGAACAGTGCAATTAAAAGCGTGCCACTTTGTTGCACTATTGGACGACTACTTACGACTATTTGACCCGCGTATCTGATCCACATTGCCTTTGTGGCCAACTTAAACTCCTTAAAAAAATGCCGGTCATGTATTCTCCCCCTTCTATTTCCTCCATTGACCTACCAATTCTGTTCCTACTTTATGTTGAGTTTTCTGTTTTTTTTTTTATCCTTCGTTGCCTTTATCTCTTGAAAATACACCCTGTACAGTAATAGTCAAAGACAGCATCGCCTACATAGCTTCTATTTAGCTTCACCGCTGCCGTTGAAAATCAAGTTGATCAATTGAACTCGTTTTGGTGGAGAGACTTGACTAGGAGCCAGCAGTAACGCAAGAGACTCCATTTTAAACAAAGAGAGCAGAACACGAAATACATGAATAATTACAATCTGTTCATCTACCTTGGTCTGAAGACTGATGCTTTCGCTCGAGGGGAATGTAAGAGTTTGGCTGTTCTGCTGATAAAGCCGGCAAAGGAACAAATGAAAAGGTCGAAAATGAAAGTATGACAGGAAATGGTTTAGGCTGTAGAATGCCGATATCCATTTTGAAGAGGGACAAAAGGAAAGTATTAGATGATACAGCGAAAGGCCCTCAACGAAAACAATAAATAAAAACTTACGGCATATCCATGCCAGGTGGTTTCTGGTAGCCGGCAAGCTCAGGTCTGGACCGAAGCTCTGCTTCCTTCTCCTCTTGGATGAGAGCACAACAGCCGCAGAAAGTTGACACGCAGCAATCGCCACAACAGGAGCCTTCAATGCCATATTGTTCCCGCATCTCACCACGGGTGATGGTCTGCATGATCCACTGCACGGCACCGATACTAAGGACACTCCAGATAGCACACTGTCAAGCGGGGTTAGCCTCTTATCATTGTTCAATCCCTTTGAAAGCTTACAGAGCCGTTGACATAGCTAAAGCTTCGTAGCTCTGGGTCTCTAAGTCTGGTTTGGGTTTTGCCGTATGTCAGACAAGGTAGACAACAGCTTGTTAGGCCTAGGTCTTGTTAGGAGGAAACAATAGGGAGTTCTTGGTATCGAGGGATACTAACAGAGCGTGCCTGGGGAACAACACCCGAAAAGAGAATAGTTCCATTCTCGGCCCTGTGCGATGTCAGACGAGCCTGCATTTGCTTGGTGGTAGGTAGGAGGCTGACTAGGCCAAGCCCGATATACCTTTAGCATAGGATCTGCCATTTGAGTGATAAAATTTCGGCAAGGAGAAGACTGCGCGATTTGACCCCCGATCACGAAGGGAGAGGTGGGATTGCGAGAAACAATTTCAAGACTGCCCAAACTTATATACCACAGACATATCAGCTATGGCTATACGGTCAACTAAACTCTTTTAGGAAGTTCGCATTCGTTTTGTTATGGCCAATGATATCCGGTGAAAGATATAAGAGTGGGGATTTCTAGCAAGGCTATCTACAATTGCTCCACTCCCTGATCCACAACGGTCGATTGGCTCTATTACGCCTTCCATATACATGTCTGCATTTCTGGCTCCAGGAGGAATTTCGGAGTTTCTGGCTCTCGTTTTTATGGAAAATATGTGTGAAGAATACTTCAAAGAAAGTGTGCGTATTGCCTTCTAGCACGGGTATACCTGTTAGAGGTCACTTGACCTCTCTGTTTGCTCCCAACACTTAGTCTCAGTTGTAGATAGTTTCTTCCTCTATCCACGCATCTAGAGATTTTCCAGCATCTACTATTTCTTCATTGTAGATTCCCTGACTCTTTCTAACGATACCGCTCGCTAATTTTAAACTTTTACTGCTCGAGAATAGTATTGCCAGCAGAATATCGATCGGCGGTGCTAATACCTTTGCGGTCTTGACTGTAAAAGCTCTCGTCGTTGAAAACTCCAAGGGCAGTTCGTATTCGTCATGTCATCTCCATAATGGGAAAAAGGCCCTCCTTAATCAATTTAGCTCAGCAGCCGTGAATATATAAACTGGTGTTTTGGCGCCAATCTCTGGAAATTTAAAAATATTCCAATATCGAAGAATTTCTGTTTCATTAATTGTGATAATGCTTGGTGCTAATATCACTGTTTGTTCGCCTGCAACTATACCACCTCCGGTCGTTTTTGGAGCGGACATTCTCTCACTCTCCGCAGCCTGGGTTCAAAATTACACACTGAACGTGCCTGCTACCTTCAACTACAACCACGGAGATGTTGCGCTTCAGAACGCTGAGTTTTGCAATGTGACCGTCACATACACTCACCCTGGACATGGAGACCGTATTACCGTTGAGTCATGGCTGCCTCGCAAGTGGAATCAACGATTACAAGCCACAGGAGGAGGAGGCTGGTCGGCTGGCCGGTTTGTGTTGTCGGACTTTTTCATGCCAGGGGCTGTTGGAGAGGGATACGCCGCTACAACAACTGATGCCGGGCTGGGGAGTGCAGGATCCCCAGAACCTTGGGCTCTGACAAGCCCAGGTAATGTCAATCTCTACAACCTTCAAAACCTAGGCTACGTTTCTTTAAATGACCAGGCGATCATTGGCAAAGCCCTTGTCAAAAGCTTCTACGGCAAAGACCCAGAGTATTCATACTGGAGTGGTTGCTCTCAAGGTGGCAGACAAGGCATGATGCTTGCACAGCGCTATCCGACTGCGTACGATGGTATTGCTGCCTCGGCACCTGCTTTGTCTTGGACAGAACTCACATCCTCTGTCTTCTACCCACTTCTAGTCACTGGATGGTCTGGTGCATCTTCGCCACCATTAGCATGTGAACTGGAATTCATCACGAGCGAGGCTGTCTCCGCGTGCGATCCAAATGATGGTGTCGTGGATGGGCTTATCTCCGATGTTTCAAAGTGTCATTTCGATGACCTCTCAGCGGTCAACTCGACGTTCTATTGCAGTGCCACCCAGAAAAGAATGTCAGTCAGCAAAACTGCCGCGCTAGTTGCCAACGCGGCGTGATCGGGACCTCAAACTGCCAATGGCGAATTCCTTTGGCATGGATATAACCGGGGGTCGGACATCAGCGTATTCGGTTCTATTCCAGGGCAGAATTCTACAGGTGCGGATTTGTGGTTCAGACTATATGTGGCCAAGGATAAAGCATTCAACGTGCAAAATGCGACCCATGAAGAATATGACCAACTATTTCGCCGCGCAGTACAGGAGTATACGGGTCTCATGAATGCCGAGAATCCTGACCTCTCGGAATTCAAAAAGGCGGGGGGAAACTCATCTCATATCACGGCATGGTTAGTCCCTGATAACGAGAATACCTTACCACTGTTCATCATCAGAGGTGCTAATCATTCAACAGGCAGACCAATCAATCCCAACGAAGAGTTCGGAGCACTATTATCGTGCAGTGAGCAAAGAGATGCCGGATGTACAGGACTTCTATCGCTACTTCGAGGCACCGGGCTTGGGCCATTGCTCGGGGGGGCTTGGGGGGCAGCCGCTCACAACATTTGACGTTGCGTTTGGGTGACCCGGGCGTGACTTAAACAATTTCAAGACTGCCCAAACTTATATACCACAGACATATCAGGTATGGCCATCAAGTAAACTCTTTTAGGAAGTTCGCATTCGTTTTGGTCTGGCCAATGATATCCGGTGAAGATATAAGAGTGGGGATTTCTAGCAAGGCTATCTACAATTGCTCCACTCCCTAATCCACAACGGTCGATTGGCTTTATTGCGCCTTCCATGCACATGCATGTCTGCATTTCTGGCTGTAGGAGGAATTTTTTAGTTTCTGTCTGTCCTTTTTATAGAAAATATGTGAGAATTTTCCCCTTAGAGCCTTTTACGTAGAAACCCTTTTCCTTCTGGCGTTGGTTTGGCTAGACTGGTATAATGAAATGGTGATCAGGACGTCATGGCGCTCTCCCTTATACATATAGGCAATGGAATACAGTCAAGATATAGTTTACTGGGACGCTTGTTGATCATACCATTCAATTCTCAAACGGAGCTTCATTCTTTTCTTCCTACGTGCTTCGACTAAGAATGAATTTGAAAGAGATCGAACCCATATGATAACATCTTAAGCTAATGGAGATTAATACCTGGACCTGTGAATTACGGAATCCGGTTTGCTTTGCCCCTTTTAGTTTAGCACCATAATACGACCTCGGTTCCAAGGACAGCCAAGATGCCAAGATGCCAAGATAATATGGGAATGACGCCAAGGAACTAACTGTAATTTATATTGCCTAGATTTAATTCATCAAAGGCCCATGGCAGCTTAAAAACAACCGGGTCTTGCCGCATACCGAAGGTCGTCAGGGTTGTACTTTCTCCACCCGCAGGTTTACCCCCTACCTCTCAACTACCGCAAGATCGCATCAACACCCCCCGTCATGTCGCGAATTCGATTACCGAGGCAGCTATTCCCCCGGTTTCCAGACCATTTTCGTGACCTTTCTGACTGGCTGAATTTCACGGAACCAACATGGGGCTACACAATCTACCGGACAACCTGCACCCCGCAATCTCATGCCGCTTTCCCGCGTATGGTCGACCTTACCACGGCGTACATCAAGAATGGATTTTACGGGCAATACGAATCCTACCTCCGCTATGACCCTAGTGCAGATAAGTTCAACAGAACTCCCTTCGATGAAATGTGGGCTAAGTACAAGCCACGCGTTATCGAAGATGCTTCCCAGTTCGACGGAGCATCGATAGATCAGGTCCGCGCGCATTTTAAAGCCTGGGCAACTGAGCGAGATATGCTCGATCGCTTTCCTAGTTACCGCATGTTTATTATGATTGACGAGGAGAGTTTTCAGACTTTACAAAACGCTCCACTTCCAGAGGACCTGCCACAAAGATTAGAAGATATGCAGCGTCATTATGTGAAAGTCGTTGAGGCATTAGAGGAAGACCCCGAGCCGCCGTTTCCAGGGTGGATGAAGTGCTCCCTATCCGGGATTTTCGACCTATGGCCGAATATGCAGGAGGGGGCTTACCTGGAGGAAAGCTATTCGCTGAGACCCCGCGGCACAGATGTTTATTGAGTTTTCCATGTCATCTAGGGCTCGAAGATTACTGTCACTAGACCTAAGATTGAATAGTTGCATAGCGTCAGTTCTGCGAACGATGCCGTTCACTGCATCCAATTAATTAATGGCCCACGATATGATTGACGCAATATGTAGAATATCACCATCGTCATAATTGCCTCGACATCCTCTAACGGCGCATTCATCGGCTTCGTGCGTTCCGGCGTCGGTGCAACCCCACCGATAGCTGAACAGCAAGCCATGTGGTGGACGGCCTTCATCACATGGTACATGCAAATGCCCACGGACCCTCCCCACTACCATCTTCTTGCCACTAAGGGGTCTCGTATCCAGTACGGCGTCGACCACAGCCGGTACATGAGCACGTTCGCCAAGGATTTCGGCGGTGCATCAGGACTACTTGAGCTGTATCGCCACCATGGGCTCGAAATCCTGCTAATCTACTGCTTTGGTGTATCGTGTGTTACAATTTACAGGTTGCTCGGACCATTTGAGTCCTCCGTTGCGCCTGAGATTGCTCGGGCAGAACTGGCCGAGACAATTTTCCGACGGGGTTATACTGGAAACGTTTTCTTTGGAGTGATACCAATGCTCTTTTATGGCGTTGTCAATTCTGTGGAGTTGTCCCTCGACTTCATCGGGCTGCTTCCCCCCAAACCAGAGCTTGAGTATGGTGAACTTGAAATAAAAGGCAACGTTTAAATGCTAGAAAGCATATACGTCCCGTACCTCAGCATGTGTCTTGAACCTCCGATTGAACTGGAAAATTGCATTTTCAGATTAAACTTGAATTTTAAAATTAAGCCATGCGAATCTTTCCCTCGTCATCTAAAAGTATTCTCGAGCCTTGACAGATCTCAAATGATAAACACCCCCAGGGAATTCACAATCATGATAGAGCAAGTCTCACCGTTCCTACTGATGCGACGTCCAGCCAAGGACAGGCTCTGGGATCCAATCCTGGTATGTGAAAGGACCCAAAGGCGAATCACCCGTAGCGTAGACCCGATAATGCGAATCGCTGTAAAGTATGAGAAATAGTATATTCGAAGGACGTGTCCTGACAGTGGTACTACAAAAAATAAACAAAAAATAAAGATCCCATTAACTTTTTGCACATCTGGGCAAGTATAGCGCAAGCTGACCAAGTTCCGAAGTTGGAATTGAGAGAGAGAATCTAGGAATCTACGATGAAATAGTAGATGCTGGAAAATCTCTAGATGCGTGGAGAGAGGGAGAAACTATAAGCTATCTGAGATCTGAGACTAAAGGCTAGGAGCAAACAGAGAGAAGAGAGGCAGTCACGTGATAGCTGACAGTAATGTTTGTGGACCAACGCTTTGAACAATTGAATCCACTGCATTGCGAGCACATAGACCACATGTGGTCTAAATAGATACAATACCATGTTGGAACCACTATATGCCTCCATCGGCCAACCCCTCCGAGACCACCGCTCCCTCTCCATCCTATCCTTTTACCTAACCTCCTGCGCCGCCCTTACCTCAAAGATCCTCCTTAACATTTACCACCGCTACCAAACCCGCAGAACGCAGTCGAATTGGCACCGCAGCTATGGTTCTCAATTCGCCATATTCATTGCCCTTTCGACCCTTAGCATTGCCACAACATGGCACTACATGTTCGCTTTCTTCGCACATTCCTACCGCAGCTGGGAAGCCGGACAGTCACCCACACAGCAGGCATTAATCGAGGTAGCACCGCGTGTAGCGACATTGGAGCTGTGGCTGCGAGATAGTAAGCTATTCCAGGAGGCATGGGAGAGTGTGTTTGCGACGCCGGCGAGAACGTGGTGGAGCGGGCAGATCTTCCTATGGACGATCGGGTGGAGTTTGTTCTTGGGTGTTATGGGTCTGTCTCTCATGTCATGCTTGGAAATCACTTGACACTATCGTTAACCCTAGACCAGGCCGTCGGTACAACATCCCCAATGTTTGGATGTACATGCTGCTCGGACAGATTGTTGCCATATCCTTTGCGCAGAATCTGTTCTTTGTTACAATCCTTGTCTCAAGCCCGAGTGTCACCTCAACTACGAAGCTTACGTGGATGCCCCCAGCGCTCCTCGAGCTTGCGCCGGTCGTGATATCCGGCCTCAGCTCTGCCGCTACACCTTTCGTCGCGAACACGCCCTACTTTATGCCTGTTCTTGCGGTTACCCATATCCTAGTCTTTGTCCCGGGTCTACTGTCCCCTCGATTTATGCCGCAGGGCTGGGGAGCGTATATCGCTCGGCCTACGCGACGATATGCCTCCTTGTACAAATGGCTGCTCGCGATCGGGGTGGCCATTCAGGCACAGTCTATGTATTCAGTAGTTCTAGATGGACCGAGTTTGTTGGGAGTTCCAGTGGTCAATATCGGGCGGAGATTGCTGGACACAATGTTGGAGCATCCAGCTGTGAGTAGCGTTGGGTGTGATGTGGTGTGTTGTACGATTTCGGGAATTATATGGGTGTTGTTACGGGGTGGGTTTCAGGAGATGCTTGAGTAATAGGCATGAGTATACACAGGTGCGTCGCGGGTAAATTTCGGTTGAATGGCCGTAGTACGATCGAATGTGGTCTGAATTTGAACGAGAGGGCGTCTTGTCAAAGATATCGCATACTCGGACTGATCTGATCTCCAGAACCGACTAATCTATTCCGGGCAATTTTGTTGTCTTCTATTCGTATTTCCAGACTCAATTGTATAAATCAACTATTACTATTTACTATACCCACGGCACATCTACCCCAAGGCCCCTGGCAACCCGCATTGCTGACACAATACACCCCTGCAACAACACCATCCCATCCCAGCACCAACCCCCAGCCAGATACACGCCGTTATCTCCAGTGCACCAACCTTTACCTCCCCGTCTTCAAAGATCTTATTGATCAGTCGTTGACTCGTGAGATTGCGCAGCGCGCGTGTGAATGTCACAGAGCAGATAATTTTGTTCGGGTCGGTGGGTGTCAGTGGGTTGGTCGTGACGATGAGCGAGTTGGGCTGGACGTGAACGGCTTCCGTAGTAGACTCATTCGTGCGAAAGTGAATCTGCTGCGTCGTCGTTGTATCTTGGAAAGAGGTAATGCTATTCTTGCCAGCACCAGGCCCGACAAGATTCTCAAAGTCCGTATACGCAACAGTCTGCACCGTCGTCGTGGGTACACGCTGCAATTTAGCCCGCACGGGGTCGAAGATGCGGGCGGCTGCATCGGGTGCCACAGCCAGAGCGACTAGTATAATAGCTAGGTAGAATTGAATTCCCGATATAGCTAGAGAGCTAACGTAGCCTACGCTCTTTTAAAGTAGTCTAGTTTATATATAAGGATAAGGATCGTTCCTGTTATATAAAGATATCTATAAGCTTACTTAGTATCTTTATAATAAGCTATAAGCTTTTATTCTCTAGCTTTTAATGTACGAAGTATTACCTTTTTTTATAGAACCTTCTTTTAAATTAGGCGTTTCTAAGAGTCTTTAAAATACCTAAATAGTCTATTATACACTTCGAATATATAATGGCTTCCGCAGAACCCATTTTAGGTCGGAACCTTCGACACATAACCCAACCCGGACCCAGTGACTAGGGCCAGTTTGACCCAGTTTTTATATAAAAAGGGGTCTTAGCGGTCATAAACCTATAGGATATCCGCGGATATTGCGGATACTGCCGCAGTCTAGATGCAAATAAGCTAAAAAATGGGAGATCGCTTCTAAGAACGAAAGGTAATGTCCTATCACCTATGTATATAAATAGGATGATAATGAAAAGATAGGATGCCGATTCTAGGAAGTTGAAGCGGTTACAGGTAAGGCATGCCAAGGAATTGGAAGCTCAGCAGCGAGATCAGGAGGCTAGGGATTTAGCTGAAGCTAAGCATAAAGCTTTAATGGCAGTAAGAGATAGTAATAGTGCAAACTGGTATGTAGATAGTCATAGTGGTTACTTGTAAATAGTATTTTTATAGTTGAAACAAATTGAAAATTGGGGATCTGGTGAGAAATGGGTATCTGGTGGGGCGCACCACCCACAGTATGGGAGCTTGGGCGCTTGGCACGGCTACTGACAGATTCGAAGTGGGCGCAGGGATAATCACATGGTTTCCGGGCATAATGTATGTTTTGTCATATTCGTTTAGAGTTCAATACCACTGAGGTAGACCATACATTGTCGTACCAACAGATTTCCGTCAGCCCACTCTAAAGCTGTCGGCAGGCCTGATAGCACTCCCGTATAGCAGCATATATTTAGAGCGAGCTACATCGGGCAAATGAATTCATCATCATCATCAAATGCCATATATCAGCGCTAAACCCCTAACCACAACCAAGAATAACCTCCTGAACACGATAGTGATCCGGCTGTATGGGATGAATTCTACTTCCTTTCGTCCCCTCTTTCGGACCTGTATTATTGTCGACCCGCGTCGCCAATAATACAGGAGCGAAATCAACAATTTTGGGCTCATATTCAGGGCGTGCGTCGCGTGCGTCGCGTGGTTGAATCAGCCTGAAGATGCAGACGGCTCATATCCATTTCATAGCGTCAATTTCCACCATTGGAACACATCATGGAGAACCTGCGCGGCCAAGAAGAGACTTAAACAGTCGTAGTTATCATCGTTAGCTGCAACATCCAAAAGCCAACCCTGTCTCCGAGACCTACTCCGTTGTTGTTTCCGCGAAGATCTGCAACCATAAAGGACTAGGTACTTCGGCATCCTTTGCCAAGCCTACTATGTCCTCAAAGCCCCGAATTACTGAATATCTTGCATGGAACATGTGCCTTCTCGCAGAGGCTCCCCAGTGAGGGCCCTAAACCATCCATCGGACTCCCGACGGGCAAAGAGTCGCAATTAATCTAAAAGTTCGTCATGAAGTTTTACACTCACACCCTGTACGCATATTAAGCGTCTCTAATCGGCTAGATAAGCCCTAAACCATGTAACCCCCCGGGATTACCCCATATGCTGATCACCTGGGGCTGGGCTTGCTATAGGCAATCGCTATACCTGCACATCTTGCGCTGGTGAACTTTGGGTTTGTATGGTCATCCGTCCACCGCCGGTGAGGAGAGTGTTACAATGGTAGATTGCTGGGTATCTTGGCATTATGTCGGGTTGATTAATCGAAGAAAGATCATTGCCTAAAGCGATGGTTTGCTCCGTTTAATCTACTCATACTCCGTCAAGGTCCGGCATGTCTCATCACCAGGGTGTGAAGATGGAGATGGATATGAGCCCGGAAGACCGGCGGCGATGTGCCTCTTCTCCATCTCTCAGTATGTTATAAAAGGGACTCTTTGCTCCCAAGTTGAGGATTCTCAACAGCATCTTCCTGAGTTTCATCATCATCTTCTTCATCTTTATATCATTTCTAACCACAATCATGGGTTTCCTAAAGCTCCTCTCTACGTCCCTTGCGACTCTGGCAGTCGTCAATGCCGGTAAGCTCCTTACCGCCAGTGATGCCCACGCGGTCATTCCTAGCTCCTACATTGTTGTCATGAATGATGGCGTTAGCAACGCGGAGTTCAAAGACCACCGTGACTGGGCTGCAAATATTCATGCTCGTATCACGCGCCGCAAGAGTGGCGAGTCTGGACCAGGGAAGCATTTCGACATCAATGGCATGAAAGGATACAGTGCTAGCCTCGATGATCGTACCGTCAAAGAAATTGCCAAGGACCCGGCGGTATGGCGTTTCATTACCCACGTTGATTCCTCAAGAGCGTGTTGCAATCTAACCAGCAGTGGAAATATAGGTCAAGTACGTTGAACCAGACATGGTTGTGAACGCGACTGCGAACGTGGTTCAGGCCAATGCTCCTTCATGGGGCCTCCCTCGCATCTCTAGCAAGAAGCCCGGTGCTACCGACTATGTGTATGACTCTACTGCTGGTGAGGGCATCGTGGTCTATGGCGTCGACACCGGGATTGACATTTCGCATCCTGACTTTGAGGGCCGCGCTAAGTGGGGCACCAACACTGTTGATAATGATAACACTGACGGCAATGGCCATGGCACCCACACTGCATCTACTGCGGCGGGCCGCAAGTTCGGTGTTGCAAAGAAGGCCTCCCTCGTTGCTGTCAAGGTCCTTGGTAGCGATGGTTCTGGAACCAATTCAGGAGTCATCTCTGGCATGGACTGGGCCGTTAAAGATGCAAAGTCCCGTGGCGCCACTGGAAAGTCTGTTATGAACATGTCTCTGGGTGGCGGCTTTTCTCAGGCTATGAATGACGCCGCTGCCAATGTCGTTAAGTCCGGTGTCTTCCTCTCTGTTGCTGCCGGCAATGACGCCAAGGATGCGAAGAACAGCTCCCCTGCTTCTGCTCCGAATGTATGCACTATCGCCGCTTCTACCAGCTCAGACGGCAGTGCTTCCTTCACCAACTTCGGTTCCATTGGTGAGAGCTCCCCCTCTCCCTTGATGCGAAGCGTGCTTGTTATTCGAGGACGCGTACTGACATTACTACAGTCGACCTCTATGCTCCTGGGAAGGACATCACAGCCGCATTCCCTGGTGGTGGCTCAAAGACCCTGTCTGGAACCTCTATGGCTGCTCCACATGTTGCTGGTGCTGCCGCCTACCTGATGGCTCTCGAGGGTGTGACCTCTGATAAAGCTTGCGCCCGTCTTGTCGAGCTTGCTATCTCGTCTATCTCCAGCGCTCCGTCCGGCACTACTAGGAAGCTTCTGTATAATGGTATCACCAAATGAATGGCCTCATCGCGTGGCGGATGATTACGGTATGACGCCGTGAGTGGCCTATATATATCTTCTTGGGCGAGCTTTGGCAAAGCCAACCTAAGCCATGTTTATGCGTATTAAACGCTTATTTGATTATCTGGCTTCGCATACTCTCGTTGAAGTTTGCGGAGATAGTTTATAAGTAACTGCGAATTCACGGTTATAACAGACTTTCCGACTCTCGACTATGTAGGCAACTACTGCTGGCACAGGTGTCAAAGAATCTACCTAGGAGTAGAAAAAGAACTTTTTTTGTAATGCTTATATATTCGGAAGCAGCCTTGTAGACAGAATAGCTATTCTATACTACATAGAGAGGCTATTGATAAGGATAGAGGACGTCTGTATATTTAGCTAGGATCCGGGAATATTGATCTGCTCGGGTCATAGGACGAAGACCAGTACCATGGTATGGTGTAACTAGGCTTCTCCAGAACCCAATTGGACCCGGACCTAACCCAACCTAACCTAACTTTGGGTTGGGGTTTGGGGCTAAACCTTAGACCTAAGCTGGGTTTTTGGGTTATACTAGATTACCTAACAAAACCCCTAGGTACCTACCTAATTGGGTAATAAACATTATAAATATGCTAAGATCCTATTGCTTGTCCCAATATACTGAAGTCGATTTCGGAACCATTGATCCCACCAATCCTGGGCATAGGCTGGATCGTTTCCATTGGAGATCCACTGCTGGTCTGAAAGACCAAACTCCGTGCAAATTAATTCAACTCCTCCCTGAATGTTTAGATAAAGCACTTCCACCAACAACGTGTTGCTACTTGCATTGAACTCTAACCGATACTCTCTTAGACTTACATTTTTCCTCTCCCTCCACTAGGTTAACAGACAAGGGCACGTAAGAGTCCACACACATTTTATCGCCCCGGTTCTAGTCACACTATGTATTGGAGCGGTGAGTGACCAGTTAACCACGCATGTAGACAAATGGGATGTCACATTCACTGGAGCCGTCGTCGTTGTTGTTGTTGCTGTTGTTGTTGTTGTTGTTGTTGTTGTTGTTGTGCCATTGACACAGAGCTGGCAATGGAGGATGGACAACCACTGGTGAAGATTATAGGCGGCTAGAGCCCGTGACAAAGGTTCTACTCATCTCCCCGGGAGGTTTGTATCCACTACAAGCCACAGGTCGAGACCTACTGACGATCATAGGTGGAGATATCGGTCCCCGATCAGGGTGTACCGTGTTCCCCAGCCAATCTGCAATGGCTATTACTCATCGTGTAACAAATGTCGCTATCGGCTACTTGACTCGGAATACGGTCGGCAAAGGGATTGCAGCATTCTGGTACGGGAAGTGGGGAAAGTTATGCAAAGTTAGTGTATGTGCAGTGATCTTGGCAAGAACAAAAACCGGAATATTTATGACTTAATTAACAGCCAAGGGTGAGCTGCATCAGCCTTAGGACTGTAGGTTATACGCAAAAAAGAGTCCGACGAGACTTGGGCTATCAGAAATTGACACCGTTGAAAGATGCGAGGATAGTCTCCAGCAGATGGTGAACAAGTCTCGGCGTTCTTCGCCGTGATCTTCGCGCAGCGTTGTACACATTTCTAGGATTGGAAGGGGAGACGCGAGCTGGGTGCACTAGGCCGGAACATGATGAAAGCCCAGGAAAAACGGGTGAGGCGTCCTTTCACCAGGGAAGCAAGCCGTATATAGTGGATCCAATCGGGCCCTGATCATAAACCAAGAATTAACCACGTAAGACGCTCGGGCTTGTGCCCACCCGGGCCAAGATCCACCTCTAGATTGCAAATCATATTTGAAACGGATGAAGGATATGCGTACTCAATTATTAATAATTCCCGTGAAACATCATCTTCATGACGAGGTGATGATGAAAGCTTGGCAATTGCTTATCTCCATGCGGCACGTGGAGCGATGAGGCCCTGACAGCTTTCTTTTCTAGAAAAGTGGTTCTGTTGCCAAGCCAAGGCTTGGCATTTATCACCGGCCATACTACTTCACACGCACTTATCATCCATTAGTTAGACTGCAAAAAATTGGGCCAGTTCGAGACGAAGATACCGAATGAGGGACCCGAGACTCGCCATACGTCTAGACCGAGTAGAAAGTGTTCTTATTCAAACCCTACAGGCACTAGGCTGGACCCTAATTGTATGCTATCACATTTTATTTTATTTTATTTTATCTTGCAGATCTTTTGTATCCAAGACGCGGCGCAGTGCACGAGTGCACAAGGCAGGGGGAGGTACCCTTAATAAATGCGTGGCAGGACAAAGGGATTCGCTTGCCCTAGGGTAAATACCAGCTACTGAGGATGAGAAATATATTCAAGTGACCTCTAGAAAGAAGGAAATTGCATTCCATACATTAAATGCCAGCCATTTGGTGCTGACACATATTGCAGACAAAGCCTGCCCCGGGTAATTAGGGGGGCACGTTGTGTGTGCTCCAATACATATTTGTCAAGTTCAGCAACCTCGGCTTTGCCAGATTTGTTACGTGCTTGTCACTCTCTAACGTCATGTTGGTCCCAGGTGGTTCTCCGTGTTCAATTCTACAGTGGGTCCCGTCTACGTGTCTCTCTTCGGACGTGAGCTGCCGACGTATCTTACCAGCAGTCATTGTGCTAACCGTCAGAATACAAAAGGGGCCAGGCCAGGTCCCAATTTCGCCCAGACCGTGTTGGCGCAGGGCAGCCAAAGTTTTTCACTTCGTACCTATGCCCTTTTGGTCTTTTCGTGGCTTGACATCTCTCAATATAAAAAACATCCTACTATGTCATCCTTCAACTCGACAGAAAAGCTAAAGGAGCTTGATATCACAGAGAGCTCCGGCAACCCGAGCCCCTATCTCTCCCCGCAAGAGGATAAGTCACCTGCAACGCGAAATTTGGATAAATATTAAATACAAGGTGTATTTAATATTTATTCACAAATACACACGTTGGGGTACAATAACCCCCCTTGTAAAATACTGCCACCATGAAAATAAATAACGCGGAAAGTCTGTGTAAAAAGCAGGCGTGGAATTTTGATTCAACGAGATGACAGTGATTTAACACGACTGCCGATAGGAGCCGGAATAGTACCATCAATCTTAACATCAATCACAGTTGGGGCTTTCCAAGCAATTGCTTGGTTGAGAGCCTCATTTATGTCCTCACTAGGTCCCACTGTCAGTCCCCTGGCCCCCAGAGCTTCGCCATATTTAGCAAATTGGATCGGCGGAATAGAGCAATCAGGTACTTTCGCCCCTTCGATGTTGAAGACTTGCTGGCACATATTATAGCAGCTATCGTTCATCACCAGCCATATAATCGGCATTTGATATCGCACGGCTGTGATGATTTCGTTCTGCATAACCATTGCGCCATCACCGACAATTGCAATGACTGGATTGTTGTTCGATCCGATTCCAATTACTCCACACGCGGCATGAGTCATTGCAGCGTCGTGTGTGCTGATGCGGAAGTAGTCTGGCAGATCAAACTTAAGATATCGCGTGACCCATGAGAGGGTATTGCCAATGTCCGCTATAATTTTGTAGTCGTGCTTGCGAATTGCAGTCTCCTGAACTGCTGACAACACCGATATGGGATGCAGTCCGTTGGGAGTGGCTTTCTCTGGAGGAATCTTGTAAGGCTCCAAACTGTATGTCGATATCTTTGGCATTGTGATCGCTTTCACGAGACCGGAAAGGAGTACTCGGACATCGGAGTTGATGACTATTGTATGTGGTGGCAGATTACGACGAATATATTCTGGCTCAACCGTGACCGCAATGACTTCTCTTTCTTTCCATTCAAGTTGCATGAATGAGGAGCTTACCTCCTCCAAGCGGGAGCCAAGTACGATCACGCCCCAGTTGCTTCTAGCCTTGGGAAGACTCCCTTCCACATTGCCTCCAAGACCGGTGCAACCCCAAGACAACGGGTGTGTCTCTGGAAACACACCCTTGGCACGCGGAGTCGTCATGACAGGTGTGTCATAGGTCTCGGCCAACTCCAAGAGATCCTTTGAAGCTTCCAAAGCGCCATATCCTGCCCAGATGACATGATTCCCTGTCTGGAGTTTGGTTTGAACAAAGTCAATCCAGGGTTGGATCTTCGAGTCACCGGAAATTGGGGCAAGTCTGTTCTGCATTTCATGCCGGACCAGCGGTGCAACCGAAGACTTTTGGATATCTGGCGCAATGAAGGCACCCAGGGTGCCTGAATAGCTTGACTGAAGATCATGCAGCACTTGCCATAGTTTCGCAAGGTCAGCTTGATGACGTATAATCAAGCTCTGACTAAATGGAAATTGTAGAGAGTCGCCCGTGAAAAGTCGCAAATTTGCTGGACAGGTCTCTTGCGCTTTCTTTGGATCATGCTCGGTTTCCGTCGTAATTGCCGATAGGAAAATAACCTTGGCGCCGTCAGCCCGAGCGCTCTTAAGAGCTGTAAAAGCATTTGTGAGTCCTGGACCACTGGTGGCGAAAACTGCAGCAATTGTGTTGGTGTGCAAAGAATGCTCCATTGCTGAAAATGTTGCACCATTCTCGCTACTACAGTGGTAGACGTCAATTGTAGACGACACCAAAGAATGCCATAGAGGAAATATATATCCTCCAGATACACCGAAGGCTTTGGTGCAACCGACTTCTTCGAGCATCCGAACTGCCTCCGTTGCGAAAGTATTGATCATTGTTGTATCGGTGGCTGAATATCTGGAGGTTAAACCTGGATTGAAGTGCAGGGCAAGTCTTATAGATTCTCAATAGTTGCGGAGAATTAAATAGATCTTCAGCAAGGAAAAGTAGGGAATTATGAACCATTCGTATCCTTAAAAGCAAAGATTCCATAATGGGCACCTCACGTCCCATCGATATGCAGCCCATCACTAAAACAGTATTGATATACGATATAAGGCGTAGATTGTTACACGGGGAGGATTTCTTGCCTCCAAGCCAATATATACTCTATCAAATTGCGTCAGTCATAATAACCAAAAGCGCTCTAAGGATACCCTCCATAAGTTGCTGACACTAGCAGTAAATTTATACATCAGCCTATCCGTGAGAAGGAGTGCTTTGGGTTCTATGCGGACCAGTGATTCAAATTATGAAAATACTTAGCTATAGGCACAAGAGGAAGTTTTGAGGTTGTAAGTTGCAGTACCAAATGTAACGCAAAGGGAACGACAATTTAATTTCCACTTGAGAACACAAGTGTGTCAGCGGCTTTAAAAAGATGTTCAAAAACAGAGCCATATTAGGCATCTTCCCTGACTACAATAGGCAGTTTGCATGCAGTACCTGCGCAGTTCTTTGGAAATGGAAGAGGTGGTGCACTGACATTCAAGTTTTGTGCTACCATTTACATCACTACTTGCGTATGTTTCCCTTGTAAATTCCACGAAGAATAATTTCCACGTTTTCGCAAGAAACAGTTATACATATCTGTAGCAACCCCAACAAGTACAGCGTATACACCTCTCCTGGTGATCTTCCCCACCCGCACACAGAACTTTTTGTGGTTATTCCAGTCTTCCTTCCGAAGCTCAACCCCCGCATTAAGCTACGGCCCTGGAGTCTTACATCAGGGACATCTCCTCATTCCCGCGGTCTCGTCACACTTTGCAAACCTTCCCTTCCGAGCGCATTTCATCTGAAATGCGCCATCTCAAACTGCTTATGATCATTTCTATCCCTTTTTCTTGGGTCTGTACAACTCCAAAAAATAGCCGTTTACTACAGCAGAACACATCATATTTCAGAAATGTGAATAAGAAAATAGAAATCAATTGATTCTGATTTGGAAACTCGCACTGTGGTGACCTCTTGTGTAACCACATTAACATTCTGATGATAGCAGCAGTCCAAAGAATTCAAGTTTAATAGGAGAAGATCACTACCAAATCTGATATTTCGATCTGGCGTGATGATCCCAGAGTGCCCAACCACCACTTACAAAGCAAATAAATATGTTGTTCTGCCGACTTCTCCGGATCAGTTTTCGCCTGCGTGACGTATTGACGGCGAAGTGTACCATTTCCCTGCAGGGGAGCCACTTCGAAAGGTCGAAATCTCCGATACCCTCCCATTCGTCATGGTCACTGAGTTCAACCCTACCATCGAGAGGACTCTGTCCCGTCTTACAACGGACCTACTCTGAGAGGCACTACAACCTCTGCTTCCATCCAAACAGAACTGTTTCTTATCCATTCGCATCGACGGACTATTCAACAGAATCACTTTCGGTGTGATGGCTGGACAGTCACAATATCGGGAACCCTTGGCTGAGCTAGTCAAGCGACAGCAAGTGCTAAATCGCAGGGATATTGAAGGCACACTATTTGGATTCTGGTCGCCAGCTTTCAGTAGAGGTTTCAGTGTTACAGGCTTTCGTTTACACTTTGTGTCGAAGGAAAAAAACACAAGGTGGCCATGTCTTGGGATTTGAGGCAAAGGATGTAAAATAACTTCGGCCAGGGCTGACTCCTCCTCGCGGTAGCGGACGGGAATCGTATGCCTTATGTCCCGCGACATAGACTTGTCTGCTCTTGTGGGACTCGACCATATCGAAATCTGCTGTTCCGAATGAATGTCTGCAACCCAGCTACCGTATTTTGCTTTCATCCTCTCCGAATAGAGGAGATAAGAGGAGAGAGAATATTATCTTGCTGGTCCCATTCACAATGACTTCTGACTAATTTTCCCTTGCCTAAGATTGTCGGGTTTTGGATTGGGCCTCCCCCTATCGAAGATCCAAGTAAGCACCCCTTTTCACACTACGGGGAGCCCGATCGATAACATCTCCGAGCGTCTGAGAGTACTTGTAGACGCGCATGTATTTTCACACGGTAACTATACCGTAGACTGGTGTCCGTTCGTCGACATGACGAGTCTTATGTGTTGCACTGAGGTACTGGTGCAACTGCGTAGTCCCCAGGGATCACCAAAAGGCAGATCACAAAGAGAATTGGGATGAAGGATTAAGGGAAATGGGAGGAGAGAAAGAGAATTCAGAGATGGGAGATAAATATAGAGGATGACTAGAAGGCTTGGATTTCATATGAAATTTGCCAGGTGAGAGGATGTGAAGTTGCCCAGGTGACCTCATCTCATAAAAGCAGGTGCGTGTCACTACTACCCTTTTGGGAAGCGGAAGTTGAAATAATGGATACATATGTTATGTATTCATTCCCTGGGAACTCCAAAGTCTTTCATCTCCTTCTTAAACCCTTTCATCACAGTTTGATGATCAAAATGACTTACACGGATAAAATTAATTCGATCGACCGTCTATCAGGAAAGACAAAAGCTATATATGCACTTCAGCGCCTTCGAATGACACCGAAACTCTTACTTCACGGCCGGTTTCATAATCTTGCATCGCTTTTGGATAACCAAAGAGCCGTGCGAAAGATATACCAACGTCATATAGCTTCGACTAAGAAGCGTGATAAAATATCCTCCAATGCCCCAAAGAAGGATTCAACTGATTCAATCGAAGCGTTCTTAGACGTGCTTGAGAAGGAGGCTGAGGAACTCTGCCTTAGCATGAAGAAGCTCTGGGTTTCCGAGGATGACTGACTCAGCGCTCTGGAAAGGCGGGTATGTAGTCCGAAGGAGGAAATGATGGAATTTCTGGTCGAATATCCTCTTTGCAAACCCCTTCACTAGAGGCTAGTGCAGTGTGAGGTGGTTGCTACGCCCGCGGGTTCGGATACATTCAGATGATGGAGTACGCGGTACTGGTTATTGTATGCTGGAATGTGAATATCACGCAAGATCTCGAGGGTTTGAACTGAGTCCAGGAGAAGGGAAATATTTGTATACCAAATCCTAAATGGTTGCTATGTCTATGCCTCCTCAACAAGAGAGATACTTCAAAGCATTTAGAGGTCTGGGGCTCAGGGCTAGAAGAGGGAACACACGTACATACCAAAGCCCATTTGAGTTGAATTAAGGCGGCACATACTAAACGCAAAAGCCTGGCTAAGCTCTGGCTACGATATCTGGTGTCGCTCTAATGGAATTCTTTTGCTAACTACATACAAAATGTATTCGTGTGTGATGAGATATGCCCAATCGGAGGACACCGCCGCTTTTCTCGCTTGTGGGGTGTATCGTGGGAACAATTTTAGTTGCATGGTCACCTTCATCCGTTGGACTTCTCCTCGGTCGAGTCCTTCAGGGTATTGCTGGCTCTGCTGTTTGGATTGTCGGCCTTGCCACTGCAGCAGACACCGTGCATGAAAGTAACATGGGCAAGGTGATGGGTGTGATTATGACTTTTGCCAGCGCTGGTATAATCAGCTGGCCCATGGTCTCCGGTATCCTATTAGATTCTGTGGGATACTGGTTGACGTGGTGTGTTCCCGTTGGCACTTTGGTCATTGATATCATCGTACGTTTATTGATGATAGAAAATCCCCAGGATTCGACCCCTGCTTCCTCTGACAGCTCGGATGAAACAACGTCTCTTCTTCCCTCACAAACGCAAACTGAGCCCCATGAAGCGTCTACTACATTCGGCTTCTGGGTCTTCCTGCTTCTTGATAGTCGTGTGCTGACAGCATTGGCTGTTACAGTCTTGACCACGGCCATTCTCACCAGTTTCCATGCCACACTTCCTCTGTGTGCAGAGGAGGCATTTGGATGGAAACCAAGACAGGTTGGAATAAGGTTCTTTCTCCTTTCTGTCCCGGCTCTCTTCCTCAGTACCCCAGCTGGATGGCTGCGAGACCGCATCGGGTTCTGATTGCCTATCACTATCAGTCTTGCTCTTCATGCTGTATTTCACGTCCTTGTTGGAGTCGCTGGGAATGACCATTTCCCCTGGGCAACTTTGCAGCATCGGGGTCCTGCGTTATACATTTCATCTATAATCTGCCTCGGTGTTCTGACCTTTTGTGACTGGTGTTGGTCCTGTGGAAGTGACTGGTGAGTCCAATCGATTTCTGGCTTGGAGTAAGACTATTGACTGACACAGCCCTAGCTTCTGTTCAAGCTTATGAGAACGCGACTCCGGGCATTTTTGGACCTCGCGGGGGCCTCTCTCGTGTTTATACTATGACTGACGTAGCTGCCACCAGCAGGATGACCATTGGCCCAGCCATCTCTGGATTCCTCCGGGAAAAGTTTGGCTACACTTCCATGAATTAGGTTTTCGGTAAGTGATCCGGTACATTCCTAGAGAGACTGCGTGTTAATATTTGCGTCTTAAAAATTGCCAGGTGTTATTTATATTATCCTCGCCATTTTTACTGCGTGCTTTTTGCGATCGAAATAAATTTGTTGGGAATGCCCTCATGCAGCATTTGACGCTAACCGAATGGGGTAAGCCCGCTCGGTACAGATCGAGATGTGAGACATATATAGTGGCTTGCATACTGTAGCCCTGGAGGGGGTAGCGTCGAATTTATGAAAAATAGTCTCGAGATTTCCGAAAGAACTTGAATTTTCAACAGAAATAGCAAGCTAAACAAGTTTTGACCCAATTGTGAACATTTCGTCTTCGAAGTGCCAGTCGAGTATAGTTCGACCAACTGAATAGTGTGCCACCGCCCAGATGACCACCAAGATGACCGCCCAGATGACAAGGGATATGGCTCCTGACAGTGATGACCGGGCATAGGATATGGTCTCTACAGCAGGAAAGTCAAACGCTGATGGCCTAGAACCAGATTTTACATCCACACATGCTCATCCCTCGGTGGATTCTTGGATCTACCTTCAGTCCCCTGACAACAACAACACTGGAATGCAGATTAGGGCGCGCAAACACCCCGCAATCCAATCGGAATAGTCATCTGGCAATATCACCTACACATTTTACCTATTTGGGATCGAGGAATGACCCCAAACCTCCTTTACGATCGCTGGCGTGGACATGTGGATCATACCATGCGCTGTGCTCACTGGGTGAGGCAGTTGAATGGGAAATGCGGCCATTGTTTTGTGAAAATAACAAGGACAAAATTCCACTGTATACTATTTAATGATGCGCTATGCTCATTGATGATGACGCTCGGTGTTCTGACGCGTCGTTGTCGTTTGCGTCCCTATATACCCTCTAATTCTATATATTGATTTCTCCATTAATACCTAGCCATTCGACCCTAGCAGATACTGTACTGCCCTTGCCACCATGCATCGGTATCAGGGCCTCCTTCCTTGGTCTATTTTGCTGGCTTCACTTGGAGGAGCAGAGGCGAAGCTGGACTTGAACTCGACCAGCAACATCGTTGTTTATTGGGGTATGTGGTCGTTCATTGTTTAGGCTAGTGGATACTTACATGAGATATACTGAAGGTCAAAACTCTTTCAATGGAAAGGGGGACAAACTACAGCAGCCTCTGGCACACTACTGCGATAGTGAGTGAACCATATATTTGCAATGTGGTCGTTGGAACTAACACGAGACTGTAGATGATGACATTGATGTAGGAACCGAACACCAGGGAATCTTTTGAGATGATAAGCTAACAAAATGGCATAGGTGATACCAATTGCCTTCAACATGATGATCAATGGCCCAGGAGGTGCTCCAGAGATTGATTTCTCTGTCACCAGCAAGGAGTGCGATGTCTTCGAGGGCACCCAATTGAAGAACTGTCCTTCAATTGCGTAAGCATCCATATCCCGTCCGCTGACAATTTACCAGACGGCTGACTACATCCAGCAAGGACATCAAGACGTGCCAGAAGAAGGACAAGACGATTCTTCTTTCAATCGGTGGAGCCACCTACAGCGAAGGGGGCTTCAAGTCTGAAGAAGATGCCAAGGACGGTGCGAAGCTGATGTGGGAGACTTTTGGCCCCAAGAAAGAGAGTTCGAAAGCTCTTCGTCCCTTCGGTGACGCCGCCTTGGATGGGTTCGACTTCGACTTTGAGGCCAATGTCCAACACATGGCCCCCTTCGCCAACGAGCTGCGCTCGCTGATGGAGGCTGATAAGAGCAAGCAGAAGTTCTACTTGACAGCAGCACCGCAATGCCCCTATCCCGATCAGGCAGACAAAGAGATCCTCAACGGTCCTGTCTACATCGACGCTATCTGGGTCCAGTTCTATAACAACTATTGCGGCGTCAACAACTTCAACACCGACAGCTCAAGCAGCAAATACAACTTCGAAGAGTGGGACAACTGGGCTAAGACGGTGTCAAATAACAAAGATGTGAAGGTCATTGTCGGCGTGCCAGCATTTACTTCTGCAGCTAGCACGGGGTACATTCCCGCGTCTGAGTTGGCAAAGGTGATTGAATACACGAAAAGGTTCAAGAGCTTTGGGGGTGTTATGATGTGGGATGCCACACAGGCATACGGCAATGATGGGTTTATCGAGGACGTCCGAAAAAGCCTAGGCCCTGCGAATGATTCCGGTTCGTCGTCGCTCGATCCGGTGTCAACCTCGGCATCTACCTCTACGTCCACTGACTCAACGAAGACAACCACGGCAACCACGACGGTGACCTCGACGACGACGCCGTCTTCCAATGCACCCGACTCCTCACCCTCGTCTTCCTCCTCCTCATCTGCTTCTGCTTCGCAAGAGGCAGCTGAAGAAACCACCAACACCAAGGAACAGAAGCCCAACCCGACTACTTTCACCACCACAACAGCAAAGCCCAAGTCTGATGATACCGAGGCAAAGCCGACTCTTGCTGCAACAACAACAACAGCAAAGCCCAAGTCTGAGGATACCGAGGCAAAGCCAACCGCAAAGCCTAAGGCCTCCACAACTACATCTGCTGAGACAACTACGGCTCCTGCCTCAAATGCTAGCCCGCCGGATGAGGATCAGTCGAGTGAGGATGACTCGCAGAGCAACGACGATAATCACTCGAGTGAGAATGACACGCAGAGCAACGGCGATAATTCAGGCGGTGAATCAAATGACGTATCGGATGATAATACTATCAAATCTGTCACCGGCATCGACCTTCTTAGTTTACTAAGTGGCCTCCGTGACGCGAACAAGGCTGCTAGCGGCCTCCTCAAGAATCTAAACAGCAATCTCCAACATGCTCAGCGCAACCGTACCTGAGCGCTTGAGGTTGCGGCAAAACCTGCATTGTCGTCGACAAGTTTCATTCCTTCTGTCAGTTCGTGTCTCTGTGAAATGGATGCACATGATGGGACTGTTGAGTGATATAAGAACCTTTACAATTCACTGATGTTATTTTAGATTCAGCTCACTTCCATTTGTGGTTTGAATCTTCAGTCTTCTTTTACACCCTTCGGCCTTATTACTTTCAACCCATCTAATTTGCCGTCTGCCCTCTATGTGATACCCATTATTTAATCTTGGGCTTTTGATGCTTGCAAATTACAACATGTTGATTGCTTTTGCCTTCTCAGAATGGGGCTACTCTTACATTTTATTAATCATACAATGAAAACACTGTTGGACTTACGGGTGCAGCTCGTTCGTTATTTTTACAGCTGCGAGAGTATCACATGTCTTCCATCCACACAATAGTAATAAATGATTGAATTCAAAAGACAAAACTAGAGGTATTTGAGCGCCATTAGGATACTTGCAAGCAGATTTAACAATTAGAGATTAGCATAGACACCCTCGTGCTTTTGTATGTTTCCCCTCGACAACACGCCATAGTGATTACCTTCATCACCATCGACAACACCCAATTAGGCCAGGAACAGGACAAAAGAAAACTTTCAACATCCAATCATAGTTGACTCCGGACATCATACCTTCTTCCACTTGATATCCCACCCCTTTACTCAGCCTCCTCCTCCTCCTTGCTTGTAGCCAAGCGTAACCGGCCTTTCGGGGCGCCCCCTTCCTCGTACTCAACCACAAGACGAGACAAGTGAGCAAGGAAACTCTCGATTTTGATCTCCCCCTTGTCGCGCTGGACACGACCCATATTATCGAGCCACTTGATCTTGTTCAAGATGAAGTATACCAAAGCGATAACAATCGACACACCAAGTGAATAACCCCAGATTCGTACAACAGTGACGATGTCAGTCCAGCCATTCTTCGTCTCTACAAAGTGATCTGCCGGCTTGGTCTTCATGTCTTCGTTGGTAAACCAACCAAACAGACAGAAGATAGTAGCCAAAGTGTCAACGCCGAGGATCGCGGTCACCAGGTGGATAGATGGCCATGTGTCGATGCCGCGAGTGACAAAAATGAGCCAATTCTCTGTGAGCGCCACTTCCAAAAAGAGAACCTCTTGAATAGATCCCCAGTTTTGGATAATGCCTCCGGACTTCAGGAACATGCTGCCTCGTATAACCCACGTACCTAAGGCGAGAAGTACACCAAGTACGCAAGAAATGAGCCAGATTTTGGGAAGTTGCCATTCAACAGGTCGTAACTCGAAGGATGCATGATCATAGGCCACCGCAACGGTCGCAAGATCAGCGAATAATGCCAGGAAGACAATAAGCTCGACACGGATGCTTTCATTGAGGATAATCATCGAAGTCACCAGGTAGATCTCAAGGTGCAAGCATAGTGCAATGCGGTACTGGATGTATGACTTCATGCGGTGGAAGATTTGACGTGCGACCTTAATCGAGTCAATGATGGTCGAAAGTCCAGGTTCAAGGAATACGATGTCTGATGCAGACTGGGCGGCTTCCGAGGCGCCTTCAACGGCAATGCCACAATCAGCTTTTTTAAGAGACGGTGCGTCATTTACACCATCACCGGTCATAGCGGTCAAGTGGCCTCGTTCTTGCAGCATTTGTACGACTTGGTATTTGTGTTCCGGGAATACCTCGGCAAAGCCGTCCGCTTTTTCAACAAGATCACTAGCCATAGCACCACTCAAACCGCCGTGAATTAGCTTGTCTGAGTTATACACCTTGGTGCCCAAAGCCAGCATCTTGCAGGTTTCTTTTGCAATGGCAATAGCATCACCGGTGAGCATCTTGACGCTGATACCGAGATTCTGCGCTTCGCTAATAGTATGGGCTGTGTCTTCTCGGGGCGGATCAAACATAGGCAGCATTCCAAGCAAAGCCCAATCTTCGCCTTCCTTTTGAACAGCAACACCCAGAGAGCGGAAGCCTCGATGCGCAAATTCTTGGGCTTTGGCCTTGTATAAGTCCGCAGTCTCCTTTGAGCAGTTTGTCAATTGAAGCACGGCTTTCGGAGCGCCTTTGGTGCAGGTATATCGAATGCCATCGCAGGTGGCAACAGTGACAATGCGTTTTGAAACCGGATCAAAGGGCGTGAAAGTTTCAGTTGACCAACCCCGTCGCAAGATTTCTCGTGCTCTTGGGTATTGTCTAAGCGTCAAGATTGTCACCTTATCAATCGGATCGAGAGATTCAATATTGTGCGAGGATGCGAGAGCAGCAACGGCGAACATCCAGTCAACATCGACGCCTTCAGCCACATAAGGATCACGAATACTCAGTTTGTTTGCCGTCAGAGTACCGGTCTTGTCGGAACACAGAATGTCAACACCCTATTTTACTGTTAGTATTTGAACGGCAGTCCAAGTTGATGCCGACTTACGGCTAGCGATTCAATTGCAGTCAGCTTTTGCACAATGGCTTTCTTTTTTGCCAGATAGGCAGCACCAACAGCCATGGTGGTAGTCGTCACAACAGGTAGACCGACAGGTACACCAATGATTAACAAAGACAGAGTGTAGTGAAGCAAAGTCTGCTGACCAGGCGAAGCGATAGGAATATGACGGAAGAAACCACCAATCCACGCAGCGAGGATCCAGGCCATAACAAGAATCAAGAGAGATGTTCCGATATTGTCCATGACAAGTTCGAAGTGACCAGCACCTTTAGCAGATTGCACCATAGTTGCAGTGCGGCCAACGAAGGAAGTCCTCGCACCCGTTTGAACGACTGCATACGCCTTGCCACGCTTGCAGCCAGTCGTGTAAAAGATCATGTCTCCCATATAACGATCCACGGCAAGCGACTCGCCCGTGATGGCAGAGTGATCACAAGCCAAGATAGGATAACCACGTCTGCGAGCCTTCTTTGCCTGGTGTTCGTCTTCCTCCTTGGCCTTGCCATCACCTTCATCCCTTTCCTTATCGGCCTTGCTTGGGTCATCCTCTTCATCAGACTCGGACCCTCCACCTAGCATACCCTGCTCTTGAAGTTGGTTGAACTCTTCCCAGCCATGTTCATCCTTGACGTCACAGATGACCCTGGAGTCTGCAGGCACAACTTGACCTTCGCCAACAATGACCTAAACGATTGATTAGAAGTCTGTGGTATACCAATGTTGGGGCCCATCGAAAATAGACTTACTACATCGCCTGGAACCAACTCTCTAGCAAGACATTCTTGTTGAGTACTGTCACGAATAACTTGCGCACGCAGGGCAATGTCACCCTTGAGACTCGCAACCACATCCGCAGCCTGCTTCTCCTGATACCAGCCCACTGACGCATTCAGACACAGGATACCAATGATGACACCGAAGTCAACCCAATCCTCTAGACCAGCGGCAAGCAAAACAGCCAACTCCATGACTATGCCCAGGTCAGCGTGGTAGTGGAGGAAGGGAGCGTTGGGGACTCACCGTAGAGAATTGGACCCTGGAAGTAAGACAGGACCTTAGCGATAGGATTCTCCTTCTCGGCCGTCAACTCATTCCACCCAGCCCGACGGCGACGCAGTGGAACTTCATTGCTAGAAAGTCCCTCTCGGATATCCGTCATGGTCCACTCGTCCGGAAACTTGCCGGTTTCCGCCTCGACCTTTTTGACGTGGACCTTTCGCTTCTTCCACGGGGCGTACCAGACTCGTTTCTCGACCAGTTCCCCCCGCTCTTCATCCGCTGCAGCGCCATCATGGAATGTCGACACATATTTGACGAGCTTTCCATACTCGTCCAGACTGTTCCAGTCCCCGCTCAGAGATGCCCGAGAGATACGTGAGCTGCGGCGGCGAGCGTCGGCACGCTCGGCTTTGCCCTCGCCAGTCATGTTTCACTTTTTAAGTCAGATAAAAGTTATTCCGACATGGATAGACCGGATATATACATACCTGTCAAAGGTGACAATATTATTGATGGTATTAAGAACGAATGCACCGAGAAAAACAGGATATAGAAATGAAGAAACAATGATACCAAAAAAATGAGCTTTTCCAATGTTCTACCCGCGCCGAAGCACCTGCAGGATGAAAAGAAGGGAATATAATTGCGATTGTATCTAGAGTAGAAAAGAAAAGAAAAGAAAACAGTTAGCGTAGCGAAATGATCCCATTCCAAAGGAAATCATGCTGACGTCGAGCCAGGAAGCCTTCGGGAGAAACATCTCACGCCCACGCATGTATTCTCGTTGTTTGGTCTCCGTACTCGGTACTTCGAGGGGGATGAAGCCGGGAAACCAGGTCTCGAAAGGGACGAGCCGCGGACGACCCGAAAAACTCCCGCCGGGTATTGATCGATAGAATACTGGTTCGACCAATCCAGGCAAAGGCTAGAACCCTTCAGTCGGCGCTAAGGTCGAAAGAAGCTGGTGGTGCAGGCAGGTACCCGAATTGACTTCGAGCCAATAAGGAATTCACCCACGGATCATGGAAGATGCTCCCTCGGAAAGCCCAGAACACACGATAGGGGCTCAGGCCGTGTGTTTGTGACTGCAGGATATTCTGCCGCTCTAAAATTACTACAGATGTTCGAGGTTGCATGTGGATATGATCATCAATTAGTGCACCTAGGTATCCTAGGACAATCATTTGGCGTTGAGTATTGTAGTCATTCGAAAGCCATCAACCCGAAGCAACTGGGGAAGCCCTTCAAGCATACGTGAATGAATGAGCTAGACTCACTTTCGCTGTAGGGAACGGCCGGCTGTCCGGATGTCAACTAAATGCATGCAGGTAGTCTTCAACGTCATACGTGTGCCCATTCCGCTGACAGCCGGCCGGCGGAATTTACATCCATTCCACGCCAGTTCATGAATGGTCGGGAGAAGTCAAACGGTCCGAAAGTGAAGCAGATAATCTGGGCAATGGAAAGTATAAGCATGGTAATGAACAGCTTACTATCGTTGCTGTCACACATTACTGCTGGGATGGGGCTTTTTCATGTCGGCTGGGCTCATGTCTGGGCCGAGCCATGCGCTGGTTTACATGGCTTTGGAGCAGTTGATGTTGGCTAAGAAGAGCGGCATAATTGATCACAGTATCTTTGGCCTAGTGAGCGAGGGTCTGGGTACCGAAGACGTGTGAGAATCTTAGGTCCGTGATTGCTTCTTGAATCTGACGAGTAAGATCAATATAAGCGAGTGGTTCTTGGTGGCCCATGTGGTCGTATTGTCGTAGGTTAAGAGAGGCGAGATGCCCGGAGACATACACCATTCGGTCATCGGCATTTGGGGTTGAACTTGGGCGGTTGCAATATCGGTCATAAATCAATCTGACAACATCTGGTATAAATAAACCAAATATATACTCAAGCATCTCGACACTTTCTTCTGCTATTGTGATGTCGAAGGTTTGGGTAACATGGGGCTGGAAACCACGGGTGGTAACGGACGCAGAAGACGACGACGACGAGGCAGATGAATTTAAGACAGACCTGCCAGGGAGATAGATCACCCGCATTGCAGTTGGATTCGGCCACATGTGACCGTATTAAGCCCAACACGCGCCATGACAACCCTTCCCAGACAACCTGCTACGAGTTGCCCTTGCGTCCAATCCAGCCCTTTGTATGTGTATGCGTAGGGGATTGTGACATGGGTAGGTAGGGGTGCAATGCCCATGGAAAAGGTGTAAATATGGACTGGATCCATGGGTGAGATGGTTGTCTGGTGTAGCAAGTGGAAGGCCTCGGGATTCAGACAGAAACCATCCCAAAACTACAGGAGCAAACGATAAAGTTGGGATGAAGGATAGAGGTTATATAAACCTGGACTTTTCCCGCAGTTTGAACTCTTCTTCTCTCCTCGCCTTTATCAACCTGCTTGCTTGGTAAGTGCCCCTTGCCCCTTGCCCCCCATCTTCTTTCAATTCCCTCAACTCCCATTGGATTTGAATCAAACAAATGACGGTTCCATCAAAATGAAGCTATAGAAGGCCTGCTCTTTAGCCCACTTCTGCTTGGGGCCGCTCAGATCGGCGCGCACACCGAAACCGTAGCTGACACCGATGAACAGGTTGATCTGCCACAGCTGGGCAGTCTTGATGAGAGTTTCCTCAGACTTGTGGCGAAGCTGGGTTCCCAATCCCTACGCGACACTACAGAGCCATCCCTATTCATATGGATTTTATTGAACGCGAAGTGGAAGCATATAAACATCTTCCATTCTTCTTTTCATATATCACATAAAGCATGCTTCACATCATAACACAGCATCTATTTGGTCTTGCCGGAAGGAATGTTGAAGAAGACCGCAGGCTTACCAGGAGCATAAGCACGGTCAACGCGGTAGTAACCCTTGCGGTCGAACTGGATGATGTCGCTCTCCTTGAGATCAGCAACGTTGCAGTCGGCCAGACCCTCCTCGCGGAACTCGGTGTGCATGTTGAGGAAGTCCTCCAGAACATCATCCTCTCCGAGAGAATCCTTGGTCAGCAGGTGGTCGAAATCGACCAATTCGACGGGGACCAGGTCCTGTCCCTCGGTGGCAAGCCAAGTAACCTTCTTCTCGGTCTTCTTGACATCACCGGCCATGTGCAGCTCGAGCTCAAGATCGGTAATGATACCGGTCTCAGCATGAGTGCTGATCTTACGCACGATGGCGTTACCCCAGTTCATAAGGGTGATCTCCTCGTCAGGCTTGAAAAGCTTGACATCCTCCTGCTCGAGGATGATCGAGCTACTGTAGACAACCTTCTTCATACCGACGGCAGCGTTCTTGATGTGTCTAGGCTTTTCCTCAGAGTAAGGGGTAGCAGGGCCACCGGTGACGGTGGTCTTGACAACGTTCTTGTTGAAAATGGTAGTGTGGCGCGGGGCAATGGGATCGATGTACTTCTTGTTGGTAGCCCAGATAAGACCCCAGTCGAAGTTGGTCACAGCCTTAGAGGGGCCCTGCTTTAGGATGAATTCCCGCAGAGCAGGAATGGTCATACCGCGGCGACGGATACCACGGATAGTAGGGAAGCGAGGATCATCCCAGCCCCAAACGAGACCAGTCTCGACCAGCTTGGTCAGCTTACGCTTGGAGAGCAGGGTGCGAACAAAGTTCATGCGGGCGAAATCCCACACCTGCACATTGCGCATCTTCATAGTGTCCAGCATCCACTGGTACTGGGGGTTACGGTCGCGGTACTCAATAGTACGCAGAGCATGGGTGACACCCTCCATTGAGTCAACAATAGGGCAGGCAAAGTCGTAAGTCGGGTAGATCTTCCACTTGGTGCCGGTGCGGTGGTGGGGTGCTGGGTTGCAGCGGTAGATAACTGGGTCACGCATAGCCTTATTAGGGCAGTCGAAGGAAATCTTCGCACGAATGCACCAGCGAAGACCCTCCGGGGTGCTGTTCTTCATCTCCTCCAGACGAGACAAGCTCTCCTCGGGGGAAAGATCGCGACGCTGGCTAGGCAAGCCGTCCCATCTCTGGGCAGCCATGGTCTCCTTATCGGTATCATCGGCGTAGGCGTCGCCCTGCTTGATGATCTTGATGCAGTAGTCGTACAACTCGTCGAAGTAGTCACTGGTGTACGTCATCTTGTTGGGCTTAATGCCCATGAGCGCAAGGTCCTCTACGATGGCATCCTCGAACTCTTGCTTCTCGTTCGAAGGGTTGGTGTCGTCGAATCTGAGAAGCATAGTACCGTTGTACTTCTCGTGCGCAAAGTAGTCGTTGAGAAGAGCGGCCTTGGCGTGACCAATGTGGAGGTATCCACTACATTAGAACGAACCATATTAGTTTCAAGGACAAAGCAAACCAAGCGACTGGGTCACAACTCACGAAGGCTCGGGAGGGAATCGGGTAACGACGCCGTTCTCGGTGTTCTTGAGCGCAATGTCGTAGCTGGCACCCTCCTTGGATTTGGCCACCTTCTTCTCCTTAGCAACTGCGTTCATGGATTCCACAGCAGCGGTAGTCCAGGGGCAAAGCTCCTCCAAGAACCGGTACCAGCGGGTTAGGTTCACAAGGGATCCCTTCTTCAGGGCGGCAGCGGCGACACGGTTGCCTCGGAGAGCACCCCAAAGGGCAATGTCGGGGGTAGACAGAGAGTATCCGACCACGAACGAGCGCATGAGGAGGTGAGAATCAAGGCGCTGGAGGACGGGATCGATGGCTTTGAAATCCAAGGTGGTCAGTGAATCCAACTGAGAGATCCACTCGGTCTCCTATTGCGAAGAATCGTGTTAGGGACATTTTGTTACCAAAAATGACTCGACCGCGGGGTAGTAACTCACCACCTTGGAATCCTTGCCAGCCAGGAAAGGGAAGTGCGTAGTAAGTTCCTGGATGACATTGGCAGTACCAAAGACAGAGTTGGAGCCACTGGTGAGCTGCACAATGGCCTTGTCCCCATCCTGGAGAAGAGCAGTGTCCTCATAGGTGATGTTGACGATGGGGGTGGGGCGGGCCTCATTGATGGAGGTGACGATGAGAACCGCGGGCAGGAGCGCCGCGTGGTTGCCACGAGTGGCCACTTTCAACTCGTACTGAGACATTGCGCAGAAGTGTAGTGTGGGAAGCAATGTGAATTTCTGGAGGGGCAGTCATTATCTACAGTCCCCGTCCGGAGCCACGTTTCTCCGACCCCGGCAGCTATCCGGCAGAAAACAATTGCTTCATCCAGCGGATCAGCTCAAATCAACGCCTGCCAACATGTCGTCCTCCGGCTCGGTACTGCCCGCTGCGGCACGCGGAATCCTCTCATCATGCCGGAATCCGCTGCGGAATACCTCAATCGCCCCCGTTTTCTCGACTTTCCAGCAGGTCCGAGGTCTCAAGAACAAACCAAAGAAGGGGAAAGAGCAGCCTACCAAGAGCAAAAAGGGACCCCAGGAGTTCCGGCAAATCAATTTGAAAGATATGCCGCAGTATGCTCTGTGTGATGCTATGCGGTATGTATTGAGCATCTGACACTGAGACGTCAGTCAATGGCCGGGTCATCAATTGACACCTTCCGTTTTACAGATATATCCGGGCCATCGAAGTTGGTCGCGAACCCTCCGTTCAAAAATACGAACTGCACATCCGACTGCGGACAAAGCGCGACGGTCCCGTCATCCGTAACATGCTCCGATTCCCGCATGCCGTCCAAACCGAATCCCGCATCTGTGTCATCTGTCCTCCCGGTTCGAAAGCAGCCAAGGAAGCGCTTGCTGCGGGTGCCGTTCTTGTCGGTGAACAAGAAGTGTTCGACGCTGTCAAGGCGGGCACTATTGAGTTCGACCGTTGTCTCGCCCACCCGGAGAGTTTGCCGGCACTGAACAAGGCCGCCCTGGGTCGTATCCTCGGTCCTCGCGGTTTGATGCCCAGTGCGAAGACTGGTACCGTTGTGGAAGACGTGGCTGCGCGAGTAGAGATGCTCCGCGGTGGTACTGTGTACCGTGAACGTGATGCCGTTATCCGTCTGCCTATCGGGCAATTGGGCTTCTCTCCGGAGCAATTGCGCGATAACATGCGCGTGACCCTTGACCAGATTAAGAAGGATGCTTCCGCGCTGACCGACCGTGTCAACAAGGAAGTCTACGAGGTGGTGAGTACTTTAATTGACCCTTTTTGTGGAAACTAGCCTCTAACAACACTATCAGGTACTGAGCTCGACGAACGGACCCGGATTCTCACTCAACGGCGAGTTCCGCTCCGACGCCTCCCCCCAAACCTCCGCCTTGACCGGCATGTAACATACTCAATTTTCTTATATCCTTTGGCGTGTACAAATTTATTGTTTTATTAGGAAAGGACATGGTGTATCATGGTATCATTGTTGAATTAGAATTTTATAAGACCGAACGCCGACGCTATGTATGCAAACCAATGCACATTGCCAAATTTCAGGACCTAGCACGTTGTTTTTACAGCTTGAGGTTCTTTAGCGCGGCGACGGCACTAACATCCTCGCCCATGAGATCGTAGAGGCGCAGAACTGCCATCGTTCTAGCATCGCGTTTGCCCTGTTTACTACCTGCTGCGGTGGCCTGCTCCAAAGCAGATTTGAGATCCAGGAGCACTGTGGACTTGATCTTTGCGACTCGTGGTTGCTGCGCAAGTAGAAAGGGATGCTTTTCGCCGACCCGGGCAGCTATCGAGGTCAAATAGACAAATTTCTGGGCATGCCGTTCCATCCTCTTCAATGAAATTGCGGGTGTGCCATCCGCTAGCTCATCGTCATCGCTGTCTTCGCTCTCGCCGCTGTACAAATCGGACTCTGTATCCGATTCATCCGGTGCATCTTCTTGCAATGACTTGTCCTCGATCATCAACCGGTGTTCCAATTCCTCCACCCGATCCGCATAGTCCAACAGATCTTTTCCAACGTCGGCGTTCGTTCGCAGCCGTCGCTTCTCATTCAACAGCTCTTCCACTTCCTGACGTCGCGCCTCGACCTTGTCCCGGATAGCTTTGACATCGCGCTGGAAAGAAAGCACGCCGACTTTCACACCTTCGACTTTCTCCTCACCCCCGCGAAGCGCGCTGCCGAGCGAGAGAAAGTCCTGGTAGTTCTCATTGACAAGATCCAACAGCTCCTTGTTCAAAAATTGCTCTAGTCCCCGCAATTCCTGTCGCAGATCCTCAAGACTCTGATGTCGATTCGTTAATGACGACAGGAAAGTAGCTGGATCGAAGTCAGGGGCGAGGAATGAGGTGCGGGATAGCGGTTCCGGGAAGGGGAGGCCGGATGGGTCTTCATCGAAGTCGGAGACAGACCCGTCGGAGTCGCCGAACTAGAGGAGGTTAGACGAGATACATATGCGAGTCACAAGGATTCATACTTGGAACCGATTCATGGTGCGTCCGGGCAGAGCGTGGGCAATAGATAAGGGAACACCGGGGGAAACGTGGTGATGGTGGCATATGCCTCGTTATAGCTTGCAGCTGGTGTAAACAAGACGACCAAGATTGGAAAAATCGGCGTTGAAATGGCTTTGTGGCCCAGTGGTTAAGGCATCCCGCTCGTACTATTATTGTGCTAACGGGGGGTCCCGCGTTCGACTCGCGGCAGAGCCATTCCAGTTTTTTGCTATTGCTTTTGGCCTTTTAGCATGTCGAATATCTTGCTGCAATAATTTTTCCACCAGTGTACCAGTAACCTGAGTTACCCTATCACATTAAGAACTTCAGTGGTCCCCGCATCTGGGAAGCTCCCGAGCCCAGCCCGCCCCCCACTACCCGTTCGGATAATTTACATCCAGACAAAACCCCCAAAGCATGCTGGAGAATATGCATTGCATGCGACGTGGATACACCCCTCGTGAGCCAAACCTAACCCTCTCGGCGTCCTGTGCCCCCCCAGAGCGGGGTCGGTGTCTGCGCTGTCTCCTGCATTACACGTAGCTGTGCGCTACCGAAACCGGTACTGAGATGGAGTCGGATACATTGCCCGGTACACGGCCGTCGTCTTCCCTGCCTCGACAAGGATGGTCCCGACTATTATCTCCATCCCACGCGTCTCCAGTCGTGCCCGCTGCGGACCCCTCACACCAGACAAGCCAGCGATACGACTCCGTCGCCGAAGACCCCGCCGTCGCATATCGTGCCACGGCTCTGCGTCAGCTGAACGGTTCCCCGAGGCCTGCATCCCGTCCTGTCCGAGTTGATACTCCCCCTGGAAGGCGCTCGTCGACACTCGCCACGCGCCCGGTGCTTGTCAGGGCGTATTCGGGCGATGCGCAGGATAGATCTACACGACCGTCTGCTATGTCCGCGCGTCGGTTCCTCTCATTCTCCGGCTCGAGAAACTCGGCTCCCACGCGCCCGTCCCAGTCTGATGTCACATTCCCGACGGATAAGGACTTCAGTATTGAGAGTATACTGCAAGCCATCGAGCCTGATATCCGTGGCACTCTGGACTCCATTGCTGAGATCTGTGGACGGAGTAAGCTGAGTCTTTCCAACGAGTATGGGAGTCACATCGCGCCTTTGGGTGAGATTTGTGCTCCGTCGAGTGCGCTAGGACCTGTTGAGGAGGCCAGGCCTAATGAGGACCGGCGTGCGGATGACAGCAATGCGGTCATTGTCGACGAGGACGCCAGTCCGATTGATCCAGCTCGTGATATGCATCCATTCTCGTTTCATCGTTATCTAGAGAATCTGCGGCATACCGCGTCTATGCAGGAACAGAATCCTACATCCGGCCAAACAACCCAGAGACAACCCCATTCCCCACTGTCTCCAGGCATGGACTCCGAGTCGGAACCTGTTTTCGCTATTGGCTCCGAGACCATATCCTCGACTCCTTTCACGCGCGAATTCGCATCAAGACCCAAGCATAGCGGACGTGATCTACTTGCAAAGAATGCTACTACTGGCAGTGGCGAACAGCAGTCATCTCAGATGGCTACTGCCGCTGTAGTGTCGGAGGTTCATCTGGAGGCCATTGCAAATGATGGGTCCTCCGCGGAATCCAATATTCTCCCGCAACCTGCGCTGGGCAGTGATGGTTCGCCCGCCATTGGAAGCTCGGGTCCGGAAATCATCCAATCCCTCGTTGGCTGGCTGAAGTGGACTACCACTATCGCTGGGCCAGAATCTAGTCCTGCTTTGCAGTCCGCAGAGGGTCGGCTACGAGCTATGCTTTATCGTACAGGGAATGAGGCTGCCCCCTCCACTGTGCCTTGATGACGACTTGGAGCCTGTAACACCGTGCCCTGTTATGAGACATGATAATGACTTTGATGTTAACGACCTTACTAACAAACCATTCTTACAATATCCATCATACCATCGACGCATTGCTTTTTCTATCAATATGATTTTCTTTGCAACAGGTTATACTAGACATTTCAGTTTGTAGACTTGTATGTATACTGCCAGGCATTACATTCTGCGATCTGCGTATGAATCATACCTAGGGAGATCAAAACAAACATCAAAACATCCATAGTAGGTAGCGATCCATAGTAGGTAGCGTTATTTTCAAAGAGTTAAGTGAATATCCAGATTATCAACCTCCTACGTCGTCATCAAGGGAATGGCTGCATAAGCTGCCAACTATTCTTCCAAGGTTGGTATGCCCCACGATCAAACCCTACTCGTGACTGATCTTCATATCAAAAATTATACATACTATGTATAAAGGTCGTCTGCACAGTTTATGCATTTTACCGCCTTCATATACACCCAAGAAGATATCAAAAAAGATATCAAAAGACATTATAAAACACATTAAAAAACACATCACATCGCTAATACTACCTGGGCATCTTGGCCTAAATAGATCAGATTGTCAAAGACTTACGTCGTTAAGGACAGAGGCCGCATAAGCAGCCAAGCTATTCTTAAACATTTCAAAGAGCGTCTCGGTGAAATTGGGAGATATTTCGCTCAGCCTACGCACGGCAAAGGAAGCAGAGATCATGCGATGCCACCGGCAAGCGTGTGAAGCACTTATGGAAGGATTCGGAAGTGCGCTTGCCGAGCTGGGGGGTTGTTGTGTACGATGTCAACGTACGGTCTCTCGGGATACAAACGGCGGCGGATATCAGGGATCGTAAGCAAGGGATCAAAGCAATTGCTCACTGAGAATATTCAACTGGGGGGATGATGCAGAAATCATGCAGATTGCCTGGCTTGTTCTTCCCGAAGGCAAGAAATCCGGATCACTGATCGTCGAGTTCACCTTACCGTATACTGCAAACAAAGCAATCGACACCGGGACTCTCTGGGATTCAGAGGTGCTTACCACGGTCCTATATGATCGTGCTGCACGTATACGCCAATGCCACAACTGTCAGAAATACGGACACATAGGAAACACCTGTTCCAATGAAACCAAATGCGTTTTCTGCGCTAAGAAGCATCATTCTTGGGACTGCCAGCGCAAGCAAGATGCAACACTTAGTGAACGTAAGTGCGCTAATTGCGGGGGCGCACACAATGGATGGTCGAAGCGGTGCCCCGAGTTCACCAGAGAGATCGAGAGGGTGCAGGCCCTCGCGCAGGCGAGGGAGAGGCACTACTGGGTGCCGGCATACCTCTCGATGACTGCCGAAAGGACGCCGGCAGTCACAACAGTGGGAACCGGAAGTTCAGGGGGTAGCGGCTCCGGAACTTCCACGAAGCAAAGCCCCAGAAATAGAGGAAGAAGTCTATCAAGGGCATGCACACACCGGGTCCACGAGGCAGGAATAAACGTCTCAGCGCAAAAGACGCACTTGGTTTCGTTGGAACAGGTGTTTCTTATGTGTCCGTATTTCTGGCAGTTGTGACATTGGCGTATACGCGCAGCACGGTCGTACAAGGCTGTGGTAAGTACCTCCGAGTCCCAAAGTGTTCCAGTATCAATTGCTTTGTTAGTGGTGTGCGGTGAGGTGAATTCCACGATTAATGATCCAGATTTCTTGCCTTCTGGGAGGACAAGCCATGAAATCTGGGTGATCTCCGCCTCCCCCCAGTTAAATAGGTTCTCAGTGAGCAATTGCTTTATGATACCCTGCTTCCGGCCTTGCTCTCCGAGTCCAGCCGCCGAGTTGATACCGAGCGACCGGATATTAACATCATGTATAACAACCCCCCAGCTCGGCAAGCGCACTTCCGATCCCTTCCATAGGTGTTTGACCCAGCACTCGCGGTGGCATCACATTATCTCCGCTTCCTTCGCCGTGCGGAGGCTGAGCGAGATATCCCCCGATTTCAATTGCCTAGCTGCGACAAATTTAGCCGATGCCACCGTCACTCCATACGTGGCCTTTGCTGCTTTGACTCGCGCTTTCTTAGCAAGCTTCGTGATCTCGGTAGGGGTCTGTGTGCGGAAGTGCTTGATACCATCGGAATCACCTAATTTCACGATAATTTGGCGGTCCTAGATGAGATCGGAGGGCGATACGGGGTTGGTCGATGCCGATCCATAGCTGGACAAAAAGTGCGTTGGCGGCGGTGCGTTTCTAATAGCATCGACGTATAATCGGATCCGGTTCGATGCATTGGCATTGGCATTGGTATTGACATTCGAAGAAGCAATTCTCACCGCATGGATATCTTGTTTGATTTGGCTGGTCTCCTGGCGCAGCTGTTCAAATTGCTGCTTCCAGTCCTGGCCGATCGGGTTCTTGATCAGGTCGGTAGTGAGCTCCTGAATGGATTTAAGATATTCGAGGACTGGCCTCGGGACTTTGACGGAATTATTATAGCTGATATGGCTCAGCAACTGGCGCACGTCGTAATTGGCATCCAATATGCGCTCGTTGATATTGGTTGCAGAATTTTCGTGGCCCCCTGAAAGGGGGGACCACTAGCTTCCTGGCGCCACCATACCTTCCACCAATATAAAATTGGTATCAGGAGATGGAGCAGGAAGTTAGATTTAATTTGCAGTTAAAATGTGAGCTGTAGCCCGCGGCGTTGTGGTGCAATTTCAAAAATTAGATTCGCGCAGAGAGATGTGTTTTTTTCACTAACTGATGCGGCCGGTGTTGACGACGATGGTGGATCTGGTAGCATTGCTTCCTGATCCTCGAGAACGTACGTTTCATTTCTCGCTCGCTTCTGTGCTTTACCTGTGTTTGCATCGAGCACCGCCCTGATAAGGCCTTTGCTTCTTGTCGTGGCAGCTAACGGCGATGTGTTGGGTGCCTGATTCTGCCTCAGGCAGCAGTCCCACATGGGACAGATCCCGATAGTAGTAGATAGCCAGATAGCTCTCTCTCTCTCTCTCTCTCTCTCTCTCTTTTCTTCCTCTCTGTCCCTTTTGCTCCCAGGTGAATCTACTGTACTGTTTCTCCATATCTGGATCTCCACTCCGTAGATTCTCCATCATATGCATGCTAAACCAGGCGTTGTTCGGTCTTCGGGGACTCCGCATATTTGTGGAATGAAGACATGGATTGCAAGCTACGCCAGATCGGTTTCCACCCACTTGAAGATGACCCCTGTGTCTATGTTAAAGGCAAGGGCTCCCAGATGACCATCATGATGATCCACGTTGACGATTTCATCATTGCTGCTCCCACCAACCCTGAGATTGAGAAAGTGGTTGAACAACTACGCCAATTTTACGACATGAAAGATCTTGGTGAGCCGAAACAGTATCTCAACTGTGCTCTCCATCGTGACTATGTCAACAAGACGATCACTATGACTCAGTCAGCATACGTGCAGAAAGTGCTACGTGTGGCAGATGTGGCAGGCTTCAAGGATACTCCCTTACCTCCTCGGTGAACTCTGGGGAGTCGTATCTCCGTGTATTCAGTGCCACAATCTCGAACGCTTCTGGGTATATCCCAGCATCTCCCCAATCAATCAACCGGACTTTGGAATCAGAATCCAGGATCTAATTGAGAGGTACGCTGCTCTCACTTGAGGTCTCACTGGGCAATATCCCTCGTACGATAACTATATTCGACTAGATCGTTTACAGCACAAGTAATATACCAATATGGCAAATGTTCCAATTTGACTCAATCAAGCGAGGCTAAAGAGTGAAGCCTAGACAAATATCTCCAGTAGAGCCATGCAGCCGTAAAGCCTCAGCCCAGCCTAAGCCGAAGCCTGAACCCCAAGACGCTTGTAACCACCATCAACAGCAACCTGCTGCTGCAGCGCAGCCATACGCTTCTGATCACCAATAGGATCAGTGGAGTCCGCGTCAAGATCCCAAGAAAGGAACTCATTGGTATAGTTCGCAACGAAATTCTCATCCAAGATCCCCAATCTCTTTCCATAGTTGGTAACCTTAGTCCAGTCCCGCTGAACATTCTTCAAGTCGCGCGAGAAGTAAGCAAACGACCGCTCGAAGATCTTGCGGTTGACATCAGTGCCCATGATAGGCTTCACGTCAATGTACTCCGCGTACGCGGAAGCAGGGTCGGCGAGAACGTCGTCTGTGGCGCGCTTCACGGCGCGCATGAATGCGGCCACCTTCTCCGGGTTCGCGGCGATGAAGGCGTCGTTCGCGATGTACAGGATTGAGCAGAAGCAGCAGCAGCCCAGCTCGGCGAGCTGGTCGATGCGCAACATCTGCACGTCGCTGCGGGGGCGGTTTTGGCCGGCGAGCCATTCTTCGAGCTCGACCATTTGGACGTTCTCGAGACCGATGCCTGCGTCGATGGTGCCTTGGACAATGGCTTTGGTTATGTTCATGCCGCATCGGACGGCTGTGTAGTCGTCGGAGGTCATACCGTAGTACTTGGTGAGTTCGTCGATTTGGATCTGGGATTAGTTTGTTAGGGCTTGGTTGGTTGAATGAGGGGAGGAGGAGATTCATACCTTGCCGAACTCGCCGACGTAGCCGATGCGCTTGCCTTTCAGCGAGCGGAAGTCCTCAGTGATTCCGCTGGACTTCAGGTACACGACTCCAGTGAAGGGCTCGTCGAGGAGGGAGCCAATGGAGGTCACGGGGAAGTCGCGGGCCTTGGCCTGGACGTGGTATTAGCATGCTTGATATGTTTGTTGTGTCTGGAGAAGGTATACATACCGCCAGGGTGTGGATCATGGCCTTGAAGCCCATGTCGACCTTGCCACTTCCGACGATCTCGGTGACATCGGAGGGGTCATTGGGCTCGAGCAGAGCGACCTTGAGACCTTCATCCTTGAAGTAGCCTCTGGCCTGGGCGAGGTAGAGGGGGGCGTGGTACGGGGTCGCGTGCCTTTAAGAAAAGAAAAAAAACTTAGCCAAGTCGAACTACAAGATCGAAGCAAAGGAAGCCCGGAAACCCGGAAGCTCAGATTCTGGACAATGTCAGCATACCAGTTGGTCAAAAAAGTGATCTTGTCGGTAGACATGATGGCAGAAAGATCAAGCTATTGAAATACTTCAATTGGGTCAGCATGCCAAGAGAGAAAGTATCCAGCTCTGCTCTGTCTATGCTGTTTTCCGTCCAATCTATGTATTCAATTGAACAGAAAGACAGCACAGTGCAAAGTAAGCAGAGCCAGACACAAAACACAAAACAGGGGAACAATCAAAGTCACGCATGTCCTTTCGCTAGTATTGTCTAGATCAAGTTTTGACAGTATAATCTCAGAACAGCCAGCCAGTTGATATGGGAAGAAGAAACCAGCCAGACTCTATCTCAAGGGAGCTGGATAGGTTTATAGTTCTCCCCAATCAACTGACTGGACCGAACACCTGTCATGCGAGGGCAACGACTGTTATACGAACAAATACCTTGATCCATCTCTTCATCGTAGCGAGGACTGTGTCCTGCGACCCTGCGGGGTCCTGGACGTGCGCAGCTCCATGGGAGAGTCGTACCGATGGTAGACGTGAGTTGAAGTTGGATTGAAGTTGAGCGGAAGAGTGATGGTGGGAGGGGGACAGGATGGAGGGGCAGGAGGGGTAGAAATACCGCAGCGTAGTACGATGATTCATACTTCGCTAAACGTTCACCGGGGCGAGAATAACCGGCCATTGCTCCAGTTCGTAACTCTAATATTTCAAAAGCTCCGATGCAGCTCCGATGTCCAGGGTTCAAGTGGATACTAGTATAGTCGGAGCTCATCCCTCCGGGGTACTTTGTACATCATCAGACCACATACAGAATATAACTTTCGATTTCATTCAGTTTAGTTAGAAACAAACATAGGCTTCAAATGCACTGTTCGCGAAAAGATCATAAAAAGCAGAGTGATTAAACAAGTACAAATGACGTCAACGGGGAGGGAAATGCCCACTCCAACTCGGATTTGTGGGCCAATGGTGAAGATGACAACTAAAACAACAGGGTTCCAATACCCTCGGTTATTCTGTCCGAGCTTCTGCTTCGGACTCTTCTCGGCCATTGACCGATATGCTGTCCAGTGGGGATGCAGCCCGTTCGGTCCCCTTGCGAGTTCGCAGTGTGAGGGGGAAGTGCTCTTCGGGCTCTTCCTCTTCACTGTAGAATTTATTAGTATTTAACAAATACAAATGATAAGATGGAACTCACGGCAATTTCCAGGCAATATAATCCTCGGTGCTCAATCCCTCGTGGCCTTCCTGCAGAGAGGCAAAGTCACCCGGTGTCATCATTCCGGAGCGATCCCGAGGGGATCCAGGAACGGAAAGCGGGCGGGAGAGCTTCTGTTCCGTTCCCCCAATGATATTGAAGTAATCCTCTTCGCCCTCGAAGGAGGATGGGTAAGCTGTAAAAAAAAATAAAAAATTAATCATAATCACCTACAAAACAATGCAATTGTAACATACCTCTTCTCAATGCCAGCTGGCGAGCCTTGACATATTCCAATCCCATTCTCTTCCAGTCAAGTAGATCGCTCAGACGCTCCGTACGGTTACGCTGGTTAATGCGCTGGCGACGACTCTTCTCCGTGAAGTTGAACATAAACTCGGTCAGTTGGTTGACCGAGTCGTCAACACCCTTGGCGCGACGGTCCACGATGTAAATTCCGTAGTCGGAGGAGTTTTCAATCAATTCCTCCATATAGCAACCGAATCCAGACAGGTTAGTGGTGATGCTAGGCACACCCATCACGGTACATTCGGCCGGGGTATATCCCCACGGCTCATAGTACGAGGGGAAAACACCCAGATGGGTTCCGCGAACGAAGTCATCGTAGTCAAGCGGCAAGACAGGGTTGGCGGAGTTGAGGAATTCGGGGTGGAAGATAACCTTCACCCGGTCGGATGAGTGGTTGAACAGCTGGACGCGACGCAACTGGTTCAGGATGGGGTCCTCGTGGTCATTGTGCATGTTGTGGGTGACAATGGGGGGAAGGCCATGGCGCTTCATGCCGAACAGGCGACGACGGAGCATCACGCGATCCTGGCTGGTGATGAGATCCTTCTCGTCGGGCATGTTGTCACCTTCCTTCCAGGAAAGACAGCGCTCATACATGCGCTTGCCGATCCCCTTCTCGATGTTCTCAATAGTGTCGCGCAGAGACTTGACGACGGCCTGTCCCTTAAGCGATTCCACTGTCAACGATGAGGTCTGTGCTGGCATAATAATGAAAGCGACCACGGTCATGGTCGACCCAGCGGCCTTCAATCGATGATTGAGACGGGCCAGCCCCTCAATGAACATATCGACACCCTTATTGCGGTATTCGTAACGACCCGCGGTGAAGAGGTATAGAGTATTATCCAGGTCAAAGTCGTTGTGGCCGTAGAAGTGCCCACGAACGAAATCGTTGATCTTCTCCTTGGCCTGGGAGTGCAAGTTCTGAAACTCGTGCATGGCAGAGAACTTCTTGACATTCAGACCATTAGGCAGCACGCCATCGGGTTTGCGTTTCAGCAGGTGCTCGCTCTCAAATGCAGTGATGTGAGATACAGTGGTAAAGACATCACAAGCATGAGTAGCAGCACGCTCGATACAGTAGCGGTGGTAGATTCCTCGCTTCCCGGCCTCCGCATCCACATCAAAGAACTGGAGGTTATTATAGAAGTCAACCGAGCCAGCACAGAGGTAACGACCCAATAATGTCGCGTGGGTGGTGAAGACGGTTGTGAGGTCCATATGCCGCTTCTTGGTCAGTGGCAGAGCGACACCAGCCAACCATTCATGGAAATGGGCGATGACCGCCCGGCGACGGTCGTGAGCAATGTACTACAGGCGGGGAATAGGGTCAGTCATGCTCTTTTGCCATCTGCACCGTGGCCAACAATTGTTGGAACGTACCTCTCCCAAGAACCAAGCGACCAAGTATCCAAAAACGATGGCCTCATTGGTCTCATTATCACCAGCGGGGGACGGGATGGCCGAAGTAGTCCAAAGATCGCCCTTCCACTCATCCAACCACCGATATCCAGTACTCGTGTCAATGAGCAGAACCCGAGGGGCACCCTCAATGAGCCAGCGACCGTAGATGATGTCAATGCCGCGCTCCTTCATAGACTTGATCGTCTCCCGCATAGCCGGGTTGGCCGGCGATAGCTCCTCAACCTCCACCGCAGCTGAAGCCCTGTTGAGAGGGCCGATCAGAGTGTACCGCTCGCCATATTCGGCGGTGGTCACAGGAGCTTTGGACTTGAGAACTGAGTAGATCCCGCCTACTCGGTTTGCCACTTCAGTAGCCACCTCGAAGAGCATGTGGTTGCGCACATCACGCTTGATGGGTTCGCCGTTTTCCTCCATTGTACTCAAATATCGCAGAGATCACAGAAATCACAGTGAAAGTGAAAGAAAAAATGAAACGCGAGGAGGGGGGGTTGAGCGCAACAACCTTGGAAGAGCTGTCCGACTCGGTCTGTGCGGGGAGAAGTGGAGCTTTCGACTTGAGCTTCTGGGGTGGCTGGGGGAGGAGTTTGGGGGGGGATGTGGATCGAATTGATGATGTTGAGGTCAAAGAGATGTTTGAAGGGAGAAAGGAATACAAGACTTCCCGTTTCCTCGTTCCGGTCAAGAGTTTTTCTCCGGACTTGTTGACGGGTGTGACCCTCCAAGGCTTTTTTTACCGTGCGCTTAGGCTTTAAAGTCTCTGCGAGGGAAATTTCACCCGAGACTGTTGAGAAAGGTACATTAGTGCATATATTTGAAGAGATTTCAATATTTAATTTGTTAATTTATCTTGGACTACGGAGTATCCATGGTACATAAGTGCTCTGTGCCTGATATGTAACAGTAGTAACAGTAACAGGAGTAAGTAACAAAAGCGGGATCCGCCCCACGCTGTACTCGGCTCTCTCTCTCATCTCTCTCCTAGACCCGATATTGCCTCCTGTATTGAGTTTCTCCGGTTTCTCCGATTATTGGGCACCTGATCTACATTTATTTGCCTTCAGACCCAGTCTACAAAGCTCAGGGCCAATCCAATGGCACTTTATCGTCGGATCTGGGGAAATCTGGAGAGCCATGATGTCATCAGACAATCTGCTCCACTGAACGTCGGAGAGGACCCGCCCAGAGCTTGATCTTCCTACAAATGACCACGAAGATGGGCACGAATGGCTTGGAATGGCTTCAATCACTTGCATTTATTGGCCGGAAGGACGCGCGGACCAAGTTTAAGGGGATGATCGTCTTGGCGGTTCCGATTCCCTCATTGGTGTTGAAATATGCCTATACCGTACAACATCGCAGATGCAAACTACTTTTTTTTGTACAACACTGTGTTCCCTGTCTCTACTTAGCTCACCATCTTCCTGGTCGGAGAGAAATATCTCCGGTATCCTACAGTTTCGAACCTAACTCAAGGATGCTTTTACCTAGGCGGTACTATACAGAGATGTCCATGATGTTCACGGATAGACTCTGCAAAAGGAGTCCAGGATGATGAAACAACTTTTCTTTTACCCTGTGCTGCTAGCTACCTGCATGGGTAGATAGTACCACAGCAGTTGACTCATCAAAGTAGAGCACCTGGGCACTAGGAAACAAAGGGCCATCGTTGTTGACAAAATCATCAACAAAGAACGTCAAAAGTCTCAAATCTGTGTTTGTTCCCATCCTCATTGTAACTGAGATGGAGTCCAGTTCTAATACCTGTAGACAATGTTATGTCACTTGTTCGAAATGCATCAACTGAAAGGCTCATTGATATCGATCTCGGAGGTACCAGTATACCAGGCCAGAAATATATAAAAAGCCCAGGGAGATGAGACCTGAAGAAAGAGATCCTCTGCAGTTTCCCGTCCTCCAGCATCTCTCTCTTCTGATCAACTCCGAGTTCTGATCTTCGGTCACCCGTCGCATTAGGCATGTCTGAAATGAAGAAGACGCACAAGCGGGCCAAGATCAAGCGTTGGCTGAGAAGTTGGGTTTTCACTCCTCTAGGCAACGTGAGGATCAAGTTGATCAACAAGGTCGAGCGGAAGCGTCGAAGTATCCCGGACGGCGAGCTCAATCGGATCGTTTCTGGGGCTCTCACTGATCAGTATCCGTGTCGCTTTTTTCGGGACCGCAATGATCTCCAAGTATCGAGCCCAAGGAGGAGGTCGCTACTCGAGACTGAGTTTGACCCATCTCTGGTAGATCTGGTAGTTCCTATGTCAATACAGCCAGAAGGCCCACGACACCAGTCTTCTAGACTTGATTCGGGTGTGGCCAACGGCCCTCTGGTTGACAGAGTCGCAATTGCTTTGGCTACTGCCCAACCTAAGCCTCCCCATGATCCTCGTGGAAGCTGGCGAGGGGATGAACATTCTGTGCTGAGAATCATGAATCCGGACCTGTCTAATTTGAGTAGTGAGGATGAGGAGTCTGAGGAGTCCGGTCCAATTTCTGTATTTGAGGTTGATAGGAATGTGTACGGGCTTTGCGCACTTAGAGAAAGCAGCCCAGCCTTACATGCCGAGTTAAGTGGTGAAGAAACGCAATTTGGGCAGTCACCTTCTGTCTTGGTAGCCAAGTCTGATGTTGGGATGGCCGGTCTCCCAGGGATTGAAGAGCTGGCTTTTCAAGTCCCAGATTTGTATTTCATCCATCAACCCGATCCTCCATTATGCTGTCTCATCTCCTCAGCTCTTCGAGACTCCAGCTCATCTGTTCTCTTCGAGAATGGTATCTGCTCATGTGCTCACGCCTCACACGGTGTTGAACCAGTTATTCAACATATGTCCTCATCTATGTCGCGATCATCCATCAAGAGTGCCAATTCCCAGATAAGCACCATGGATTTCCTCATCCGCCAAACACAGAGAAAGCGAGATATCATCTTGAAAAATCGTTATATCTCGCCATATGTTCCCTTACAACCACGACCACTCATCATTCGAAAAAAGTGTAGTGTCACCCTCGAGAAAACAGGGAATGATGTCCTGCCCCCGGTTCCTGTAGAGACACCCCACGATGTGACAGCACCAGTACAACGCCCACCATACAGTCTCCGCCGTAAAATCCAACACGGCTCATTACCTCCCCTACCTCATTCGACACCCAGTACCTCATCCATTTTCTCTTCTTCATCTGAACCAGCAAACCCCAGCTCTCGACCACCCGGCATTTCATCCACCACTCCTTCTGCCTCTGCCTCTGCATCAGCAACACCCGGTGATATCCCACAGTACCCTGACCGACCAACATCAATGTGCGGTGGCTGTCTCGCAGGACGACACCGCTCTCTCCACAGTCATCCCTATCATCGCCGTGGTGACAACAGCCTGCAATTTGGAAATCCCCCGCTCCCATACCCACTTAGCCCCCGAGAACCGACCCGCCTTCCAGCTGGCATTGACGGTTTGCCGACTTCGCTCAGGGCTGGCCCGCAGTGCCGGCACTGTACGACCCGTCAATCTGGGGTTGTCTCTCCCCCAGTGTTAGTTGGTCCTCGGGGGTTGAATCGTGTCTCCGTCTCCTTCTCAGACACCGCACCTGACTCCCCATGGGCTGGCCCTGTAGGTCCCAGGGGGTTCTATGCTGAATCCGCAGATGACTTGCCTTTGCCTGTTGAATCAGATCGCATCGCGGAGAGTGTTGGTTCATCTGGATTGGAAATGTGTCTAATAGCAGGATCGGCTGCGCAAATCCGGAGATACCGTTGAGGGACAAGTTGGTGTCGAAGTTCAGTGAGTGTCGATCGCGAACACCCGTCCTTTGTTATGTTCTTATGTTTCCCTAAGTTGGTCTTCATTTATCTCTCATGGCTGTGTGTCAATCTTTTGTCAGACTCATCTTGGAGTTAGGGTGGAAATTTCCGGGCAGAAAGAAAGAGTATCACAAGACAACAAGATAAATGACCTTTTCATAGTATCAATCCCGTTCCTGAATCCTGCCTCATATTAAGTGTACATATGATTTTGCTGTCAGACAACCTTGGAACCCTGGAATGGTGAAAGGAACTGACGTCACCAGGTATCAATTATCCATCTAGCTCTGGCTAGTCGAATATGCCCCGGCCTAGGTATCTATTCAAGGCATGGAAATGTCAGAATTTTCGGATTTTCCAGCCTTGGCGTACGATGGTTGTCACACATGAAGGTAAATTGAAGAACAGCGGATATCGCGAAGAGAACGTATAAATTGGTTCGCTCTGTTGGACATATCAAGGTTTTCACCAACAATGCCATGTTGGGTTGATGCCGTAGACGACTGTCAGGGATATTATGAGTTAATCAAAATGATGCTGTTGTTATAACCCTAGCATAGTCAATCCAACTCTTTCCGCCATATCTTCACTTGGTAGGCGGTTTTGGTACCATACTAGTATAATAGAGGTCGGTATATGAGAAGGAATATTATGAATATTAATTCTACTATGTAAAATCGAAGTGCATACAATGTAGACGGTCGAAAATGGGGGAGTGTAAAACCAAAGTGGCAACCGATCGGTTCTGTCCAGTTCTATATATTCCATTCAATGAACGCACAACTTGAAATATTGAAATATTTCTCCTGCAGACCAAAATTGTTTAATGAAATCATGCACTAAATATCATTTACTAATTGTTCTCTTGATCTGTGCTATTCCATTGAATTTCTAGACCCATTTCCAAGGTAATCGATCAAAGACCTTGAAACTCCAACGGCCATGAAGTCATACTCCCCACTATGATTTCAGAATGTTGTCACAACTCCCGAACACAGCAACCAAGAACCAAGTATAAGTAGAACCATCAATTACTCTTCTTTCTATTCCTACACAAAAAAGAAAAAACCAATTCTACACAAAAACCACATTCTACCTTCCCTCCTCTCAACTTCCCTCTCCATCAAAAATCAATCAAAATGGTTCGCGGCGCAGAGTACGACAACGGTGTCCCCCAGAGCGACAACCCCATCGAGAACGGTCCCAACAAGGCCCACGGTGTCGGCGATGAGGTATGTTAATCTGCAATTCCAATCCAATGTACTTTTATTTTTTTCTACCTGGACAGTTCCTAATGCATTCCACAGCCCGCAGACTTGACCCGCTCCCACAAGGCTGCCCCCATGCCAGAAGAGACTGGCTCCGGCCGCGACGTTCACCCTGGTTTGCCTACCGCTGGTTCGGCTCATCCCCATGGTGGTGCGGCGAAGCCCACTTCTCTTGATGAGAAGAACACTGGTGGTAAATAAGTGGTTGATCCACATTTGCTATGATGTATGATTTGTGTGGATGGCGATGAATAATCCTGTATGATTAAATTAAGTCTTTGGTGTTTTTGATTTGCATATATTATGAATGATACACGATATTCTCAAGTCATGAAATTTGGAGGTATTCTCACGTCCAGTGACTGTCTAATGCGTAATGCTAGATGTATTAGAAAGAAAATCACATCTCTGCTCTTTATTCATATCCGCAAACGCCGGGCATAAATGCAACTGGTAGACATATATGTGGTAGCAGCAAATAACAAGAAGTGTACAGCTCGGGAATGAGCGCGCGGGCAAGAAAGGAACATGCAGAAACGAAATTATATGTATAAGGGTAAACGGGCGAGGATAATGCAAATCATGACTTGGTGGAATCCGAGCTACCGTCCTGATCTTGTTGATTCTCACTCGTCTCGGACTTCTCGGGTTCGTCGGTGATGGTAATGGGTTTGCCTCGCACAACTTCGAGGAGCTTGTCGCCAACCTCGCTGGCGCCTTCGATTTTGCTCAGTTTGCTTCGGAAATGCTCGACATCGGCTTGCATTCTGTTTGTGTGGTTAGTATTAGCCATGAGCGGGATTGAGTAATTCAAACTAACCTCTTCTTTCCGGCCTCCGTCTGCACATCGGCCTCCTGGAAGGCCTTCGTCCATTGATCACGGTAGCTGTTGAATACAGGTACCATGATCATGCTAACTGTCATGTCTGGAAGATGCTTGCTCAAGACGCGGTGTAGAGTCCCCGTCTCCTTGGCCAAGGTTTCCATGTAAGGATTCACAGCAGGAGTCGCTCCCTTGGAATTCCAGTCGATCTTCTTCATCGCGTTCACATGGACCGAAGAGCGCGAGCCCATGATATCCACCAGCTTCTCGTGGATACCGCTCTGATGCTCCTGGCATAGTCGCTTAACTTTGTCGAACTCGGCCATCAAGGGGTTTGCCTGTCCGTGGCGACGGACAAATTCTCGCACATACGGGACCAGAGCAATAACAAAGCTCAATGCTTGTGATGACAGCGCGAGATGCTTAGTTGTGATGTTTTTCAGGCCTGCACTACGTGTAGCGCCGGCTCCAAGAATTAACTGCGATGACCGCGAGTTGAACAGTTTCAGGATATCTAGTAGGTGCGGGGCAATATCCTGGATCATGCTGGGGATATTCGACATGAGGAAATCGAACTCCTCAATGCTGCGCATCATGGCAACAGCAGAGTCAGGCAGAATGTATTTCTGTTCATCGATGACGGCACTGCGAACCTTGGACTTGTCTATCCCATTTTCAGCCGCAGTATCAGCAATTTTGCCTTGCTCGTTTCCAGGACGTGGAATCCAGATTTTGGAAACCTCGACCCAGGCGTCGATGTCTTTGGTGCTTGCATCGAGAATCCTAGTAAGAATGGTGTTCTCGGCATCTCCGAAATCTCGTGCATCCCATCGATCGGCATCCATGACCTTGACAATTTGATGGCGCTGACCATCACCGAAACGGGTAATGAAATCGCGGATTTGATTTCCGACAATGGTCTTCAGAGCAGTACCACTACGTCCCGAGATGGCCTCGCATTCATCGGCAAACAGGCGATTGAGAGTGAAGTACCTGAGGAATTCCTCCTTGGAAAGCTGGGCGGTCTGTTCAGATCGTACTTTCAACACCTTTGTTATCTGGGATTGGGCGATGTCAACAGCCTGACCAAGCAGACTCGACATATCCAAAACCTGCAGAATCTCATCCTGGGCCATGTCAGAGGCTGTTGGCCCAATCTGTGAAGAGTTTATAGCTTGATCCATACTCTGCGGGTTGGGGCTTCGTGGTGGTGACTTGACACCGGAAGTGGGCGAATTCCCCAAGCCGCTAGCAATATCCAGAAGAACTTTGACTTGGACGCTGAGTCGCCGGAGCGATTCGCTGATCCCGGTGTAGATATTCATCAACATCGCATAAGCATCGTCTGAGTCGAGAGCGCGCAGATTGCGAGCAAGAATTGACGACTTCTCTTGTTGGCTTAGCTGAGCACCGGCATGTGTTGATAGCGACACCATAGATTCATTATCATCATCACTAGAACTGGGCAGGTGTTTGCGAATAAGGCCCTTCATTTCTCGTAAAACAGCGGTTTTGAAAGAAGTTGCCGCTGACATTGTATAGTGAGCACGCGCGAGTCCGTTGAGCTGGGTGTTCAATTGGGATCGCAACTCGTTATTGAAATTCATGTAGGCAGGCGATACAGATACTCCAGACCGTTGACCACCTCGCTGCCGTTGGAATGAGTTTCCCCAGCGCTGCAGGGTCACATTCGATGGCACCGTTTGAACATGCTGTCGTAAATCCCCCAAAAGGTCATTCAAGAACCGGGTTTCATAGCCCATGCCAATGCGTTGGCGGAGCTGTGCAAGGTCATCGGATGCTCCCTCGAGGGCCTTGATGCCTCGAAGGTCGATAATGCGTCTGGGGGCACCTTCCTCTTCCTCCGAAGCGGCACGGTCGGAGAGCTTTTCACCGGCCATCAGTTTTTCGACTTCCTCCAGTCCATCGGCAGCTTCCTCAATATCGCCCTGCTCTACCAAGCCTTCGCACCGAGAGACAGATTCGACCACATCGCGAAGCTGAGCCACGGCAGCTGCCAACATTCGTACATTCTCTCTTCGCCGTCTCAAATTGACAATTTTGAGACCGCCTAGAGCCATTTCTTTATCGATTTTCTGTAGGTCCCTTCTCAGTACTTGTATACGGTTGACCGAGTCGGCGGCTTCCGCGTGCAATTCTCGGAGAGATCCTAGGGCAGTGAAGAACGATTTCGATGCCGTTGAGATAGACGAAATAAGGTGGATCTCCACAGTATCCATGTACCACGAGAGCTTCTCTTGCAGGATAGCATTCGTTGCTAATGCTTTTCTTCCGGTTTGTACTGGCTCCGCAACTAATCCATTGGCGTGTTTGTCGTCTTTGGACGGCGGCCTCGGCGGCCGAACCACATCTGATTTCTCTGATATCACATCGAACGTACGGGGGTTTTCGAGATGGAAGCCCTCTTCAAAATAAACCGGAGGGATGGTGGACAGTGGAGTAACCGCGGGGGCGCGACCACGGCCGGTGGATGGCCGTCGGCCGCGTGTATCATATGGCGAAGATGGTCTTGAACCGATCGACATCACCGAAGACCTCCGCTCGGGGGACCATGGCAGTAACGAATCGCGATCAGAGTCTGGCTTGGGAGACTTGGCAGCCTGTGCCGGTAGGGTATCCTCCCCCGCGCCTTCTTTCGGTTGTTGAAACACATCGTACAAACTGCCCACTTGCGACAGATACGGCTGGAAGACCTTTGCATCGACATGCTTGATGTTTGTCAGAGTCACCGGCGGGATATCACGAGACGAGGGGGGCTTGAAGCCGGTGGAGGGAGTGGAACTACCGGTCGTCAGACCGGTGCGGATGATTGGGGGCTGGAGGAGGGTCGAAATGGCTACATGGGCGTTAACAGGTCAATCATCGAGCAATTGGGAATTCTCGAGGTCACAAACCATTCTGCCCAGACTCTGCGACAGACTCTGAGATTGAGCCATGGTAGTTAGAAGAGTCCAGAACACCTCCAATGCTCACGATCGAGCTCGCGGTTGATCCCCTCCTCAGGGGGAACCGCTGAGGGGCCACACGCGGAGATTCCACCTGACTTGCTGAATAAGAGATTGAAGGCGACGAGACCCCAGACGCCAAGCTATCAATTGACTTTCGTGGACTGGTTGACGACATGGCTGCCACGAGCCGGAGCGGACAGCCACCGGGGGAGGGTCGATCGTTGTGATGTTCGGTGTTATCTGATCATGACAGTGGATAAACTCCTGACTGTAGAGCTCTGGAAGGCTCAGGTACGAGGTCCAATGCTGATCAAGTCAGTCTGCGATTCGCAATTTTGGTCCGAGATCACTCGGGTCCTGGGTGCAGAATGCCTGTGATGTGGCTTTGTTTCCATCAAGCTGGTCATGGCTCCCCAATCGGCCAATGCACTAACGCCGGGCCCGCGGTTCCCCGTGCTGACTCAGATCAGTTCTGCCTTAGGCCAAAATTCCAGACATGGATGCCTCAGGCGACAGCTGACTCAGAAAGCACTTAACGCGCGAACCCTCGACGCGTCGCGTTGGTGCCACGCTAACCAAAAGTTCTTGAAGCCTCCCTTCCACCAAATCATCAACCCCCCCCAACCTGCCACATTTGCGGTCCTCTACACCATGGATAGACGCACTCCCTATACTTTGAGCGTACTTGCGCCCAGCACAAATGGCGCCGATGAAGACCGCACCACTATTCAAAACCGCCTTCGGGATTTTGTGCTAGAATTTCAGCTGGATAATGCATTCGTCTACCGGTACGCATCCCACGGCCGTGAGGGTTCAATGGAGGCTAATTTATGATGAAACAGTGATCAATTACGGCAAAATGCCCTCGTGAAACAATACTACTGTGATATTGACATTGCTCATCTCATTTCTTATAACGAAGAATTGGCCCACAAACTCACCACCGAGCCCGGCGATATCATCCCTCTTGTGAGTTTCTTATCCCGCTGGTCTTGGCCCTCGCTAACTCGAAGTAGTTCGAGCTGGCCCTGAAGCAATGTACTGCACGGATTGTCTACCCCGGGCAGCGAGATATCACACTACCATCCCACCAGCTGCTCCTACACTCCTCGGCATCGCACATCTCAATCCGTGATCTCAATGCCACCAATATCTCCCACCTTGTTCGCATTCCCGGAATTGTGATCGGAGCTTCAACAATATCTTCTAAATCAACAATCATTCACGTTCGTTGCAAGGGCTGCGACCACAGCGAGAACATCCAGGTCGACGGTGGCTTCTCTGGCCTCACGCTGCCGCGCCGCTGCGGCCGACCCAGAGACGCCAATGATCAACCCAACGAGCAATGTCCCTTGGATCCTTACGTTGTTCACCACGAGAAATGTCAATTTGTGGACCAGCAAGTCCTGAAGCTTCAAGAAGCCCCTGACCAGGTGCCAGTGGGTGAGATGCCGCGACACGTCCTTATTTCGGCCGATCGCTACCTCGCCAACCGAGTTGTTCCCGGTTCCCGTTGCACAGTCATGGGTATCTTCTCTATCTACCAAGCGAAGGGTGTCAAGAAGGAGGCTGCCGTGGCTATTCGCAACCCCTATCTCCGCGCAGTGGGAATCACCTCCGACTTCGACCAGACAGCAAAGGGCAACTCAGTTTTCTCTGAGGAGGAAGAACAAGAATTCTTGGAGCTCAGCCGGAGGCCTGACTTGTACGATGCGCTCGCTCGAAGCATTGCCCCGTCTATCTATGGAAACGCGGATATGAAGAAAGCCATCGTGTGTCTGCTCATGGGTGGCTCAAAGAAGATTCTTCCTGATGGAATGAAGCTTCGTGGTGATATTAACGTGCTCATGCTGGGTGATCCCGGTACTGCCAAGTCTCAGCTTCTGAAGTTCGTCGAAAAGGCTGCTCCCATTGCCATCTACACCTCTGGAAAGGGTTCTTCTGCCGCCGGTTTGACAGCCTCCGTGCAGCGAGACCATACTACTCGCGAGTTCTATCTCGAAGGTGGTGCCATGGTGCTTGCTGATGGTGGTGTTGTGTGTATTGATGAGTTTGATAAGATGCGTGACGAGGACCGAGTGGCCATTCACGAAGCCATGGAACAGCAGACCATCTCTATCGCCAAGGCCGGCATCACCACAATCCTCAACTCGAGAACGTCCGTACTGGCCGCCGCCAACCCTATCTTCGGTCGATACGATGATCTCAAGACCCCCGGCGAGAACATCGATTTCCAAACCACTATCCTGTCCCGTTTCGATATGATCTTCATCGTCCGCGATGAACACGAGCGTGGCCGTGACGAGAAGATTGCCCGCCACGTCATGGGTGTGCACATGGGTGGTCGCGGTGTGGAGGAGCAGGTGGAGGCCGAGATTCCCGTTGAGCAGATGAAGCGCTACATCAGCTACTGCCGCAGGTATGTTGGCATTTATTACTGATTGAACTGGTACATTCATACTAACATCCCATCTAGTCGTTGTGCGCCCCGTCTCTCTCCCGAAGCCGCGGAAAAGCTCTCGTCCCACTTCGTCTCCATCCGAAAGCAAGTCCACCGTGCCGAGATGGAATCCAACACTCGGTCATCGATCCCCATCACCGTCCGTCAACTCGAGGCTATTGTCCGTATTTCCGAGTCCCTTGCCAAACTTTCTCTCTCTCCCATCGCCACAGAAGCCCACGTGGACGAGGCCATCCGCCTGTTCCTCGCATCCACCATGGACGCCATTACCCAGGGTGAGGGTCAAGGCAGCAAGGAACTAATGGAGCAGAGCAGCAAGATTGAAGACGAGCTGAAGCGTCGTCTCCCCATTGGTTGGAGTACAAGCTTGGCCACTCTGCGCCGTGACTTTGTTGATGGCAAGAACTATACCGAACAGGCCCTTAATCGTGCATTGGTTGTCTTGCAGCGACGTGACACTATTCAGATCCGCTCTGGTGGATCTCAAATCTACCGCAATGGAGTTTAATCTGTGACTTGTTATGATTCTAATGTGTTTCTGTTGATAAACCTGTTATGTGTGCTATGGGATGGGTTGTCGATTCTGTGCATCTGTCGAGCTTGTAAGGCATGGGAGTTTGCAAGTGGTGTTAGGCGTGTTTGATACTGGGGTTTGAGGGTATTCTTAAGAACTATTGCATACATATGTATTCTTTTCTCATTTTTGCAAGTTGATTGTAAGACGTGGTAACCTCCCTGTCGTGTGTCGCAGCTTCCCTTTTGGTCAAAACTCGTCACCTTCCTCAGCTTCAGGGTCATATTCAACATATGTCTCCTGTTGTCCAGTGATCGGTGTTATCCTGAGGACTCTGGCGGGTCTTCTGTAGGCGGCCCAGGCTAGGCTGCGAATGGCACGAAGCATGTACATGCAAGCTACTTACTCGCTATCTTCGGATGCTTCCGGTGCTTCACTATGACCTCTGCGGATACAGACTGTACGTGTCTGGGTGCTCCCGTTTTCCGTCAGGAGCTGAACCAAGGGGCTCTGTTCGCATCTCCTTTCACGTGCTCTTTGAGCCAATTTTTCGTGCTTACCTTACAGACATAGCTCTCTGTTGTCTGAAGAATTCTCTGAGGACGTTTTTTTTTTTTTCACCGAAGGTTCCTTCGATGATTATCTTTCTTCATGGTCCTGTTGGCCAACCTTGTGAGCTTTATGATGATCCTATCTTTGCTTGTCTTGTCTCCATTTTGTTGTCTCCACATTGTATGTATAGAATGAACAATACACAGCCTCTCAACCTCCTGATTCACTTGTAAACACTTGTAAACACTTAGAATATCTATCATGGTTGTTCTCTGTAGTTTAACACTTCCTGAATCCTTTTTCCCAAAATCGGAGACCAACATTTCAGACATTGTGTTGTCCACTCTGACAATGATCCACCTCTTGATCCTTGCCCCTCCAAAAACCCCTCCAAAAGCCCCTCCAGGTCACAGGGCTAGCCTTATCCAGCCACAGCACCCCTCAACGCCACTGGTTGTGAATAACCCCTCGTCAATATCGACTGCCAAGGACGGACAACATGAGGCTGCATCCCCAAACTGACTTGGCAAAGTATCAGCCCCGGTTGACTGCATTGTCCTCATTAGGCACCAGCGTTTCTCCTCGGTCAGTTCGATGCCCATTGGTAATGTGTGGCCCACGTCCTGTGGCTGTCCCATAAGGCTGTCACGGAATCGTGCATCCTTGGCGCACATGCACAGTGCAACATCAGGACATATTGCTCCGAATCCTGTGGCTGGGGACTGAGGGAGGTGTCGCCATGCGCCACGATAACTGGATATCAAGGTGATGTGCTTTGTACTCCTTCGTGCCGGATATCCAGCCAAGATGACAGCCTCGGATGTTTACATTGCGTCTGATCCACCCACTGACGTGGACGGGCGTAGTGGATAGCCCCGTTCTGTCCTCTCCACAGCTGTCTACAGACTAACTCGCCAGGTTTCTTTGTCTTGGAAGACATCCCCGTTTATTCGCATTACAGTCTCCCCGCTTTGCCAATGTCGCTCCTCCCAATGAATGCCCCACCTGTCCCAGCTGCCATGGCGCAATAGAGATGCACTGCGACGAATTAGTCCGCGACAAGTGTCGGACAAGAACCGGGGGCTGCTGCACGATTCCTTGTGCAAGCCCAGATCGCGATTCGGTGTATATTGGCCTCGCTAGGTGGGGTATATAAGGAGAGCTCCCCTCCCCATCTACTTTGACTTCCAGCAAGTTTATGATCCATAGTCTCTACACTCTACTTTGCATTCTTCTCTCCCAAATCGAAAATATGAGCTTCCACGAATCTGCTTCCCACATCGAGCTTGAGGATGGTCACATCCTCAAGGCTGTTCTTCGCAATGAGGATGGTGATGAGCAGGAGTCCACCATCGATCTGAATGATCACATCGGGAACGATAATGGTATGTTTCCAAGCTCTCTTTGTCACCTTGTCCTTGCAGTGCACCTCTGCATCAACATTGTGGCCAGTTATTCTGACTCATTTCTTTAGGACACTTCCACTGGGATGGGGGTGACTTCCACTCCAGCGCTGAGGATGTCAGATTCGATCGCGAAGGAGAAAATGGCGTCCCTATTCTGCGCGCCGTTTTGCGCGACGTCGAGGGCGATGGACACGATGCGGATATCAACCTGGCGGAGCGCATTGGGAATGATAATGGACACTTGGTCTTCAACTAGTGGGCCTAGATGACTCTGAGCCCTGGGGACTATCCTCGTCATTGTTGCTATTGTCTGGTACAATTTGATAAACTTGGCACATCACCCGTCCACAAGCAAGTTCCTGCTGTTGTTTCTGGTATAATGATTTATGGTACATTATTTTGTTTTTGTGGTATCAATTCCATTACTACACTCGGGCTCTATCATTCCAATCCTGTAATGTCTTTCCAAGTGTCCTTTGGGGTATCCCTTTTTCAGACCATTTCTACTTAGACTTATATGAGATTTCTCCAACCACCTGGGCAGTTCCCTCGTTCCTTCAAACCTTCCCTTCCGGCCTGGATCAGCACGCTCGAGAACGGAGGGAGACTTCAGCACGTTCCACAATGGGCATTTGATTAAACAATACATGCCAGGAGGGCATGGTACTCGATGGCACACCAAGTGCGCAATACGAGAGCCAAAGGTGCAGCACCCTAAGCACCCAACCAGAGGTCCCGGGAACCAAAGGACCGAGGGAACCACAGGGGCCTGCCATCGAGCAAGAGCGTGAGATAACTAGCACCCCGTTTGCATTAGACGCCAAAGATATTGTCCCAACAATACTATCCGAGTTCATTGGTACAAATCGACAAAGGCTCCTCAAACAGCTCGCTAACCAGGATAGAGGACTCAGTCAACTATCTTGTAAGCGACATTTCCGCCTCTTGTTCTCCGATCTCTCGCGCATACGTGCACTTATCCGACTGGATACTACACCCCGCCGGGCGTCTATCCGGCACAGCCTAATGAACGATGAGAGTGGGATCTGTAAGGCCAACCTAGTGAGTTCCCTTTGTGCCCAAAGATAGCCTTAAAAAGTCTAATCACTCATGTTTACTATTCTAAGGGCCGGAGCGAAGGAGCTTTGGTCAGATGCCACTGACTCTTCAGATGGCACGCGTTCGAACGAAAGACAGTACCAAATCAAGGTAAAACCCCTGCTGAACGCAAGTATATCAACAGTGCCCAAGGAAATACAGCAGACACAGTTAGCTAGGCGTTGATCTTCCTGTTGGTGGTGTTGTGTCTCCGCTGGAGTGACGTGGTACTGAAATGCGGTATTACCAAGCACTCGCTGAAAGCAAAACTTGGAAAGGCCATCATCACTGCCAACCTGGATGGGATGCTGTGGGATAAAAGCGAGCGGTCCTGTCCATATTCGCTCATCCAGGTCAAGCCGTTTCTGTTGCGCATCAATGCCATGAGATCTGAGAATAAAATTCTCAAGAATCCTACAGCCTGTGGGAAAAGAACTTTTGGAACAGGCAGGGCTAGGAAGTGTGACATAATTCTCGCTCGGACTTGTCCCGCCGAGCTCGAAGCGATAGGGATTGTTGAATTCGATGACGCATCAGATGAATATGAAGACCCTGGAGGCTAAACGAAAAGAGCTATGGGCCCTTGCGCCGCGATATAAGTAAGATGTTTGATTAGTGTCTACTTGTCATAAAAAATGAAGTCACAATTCAAACAAATCGTCCCCTTTGATATAAATCTGCGTGGAAGTCAACTACATTGAAAACAGGTCAGAGTATTTCTCGTGTACCTTGCACTATCAAGGAATTGGAAGTACTACATCATCTTGTCTATAGAAACCGAGTTGTGGGGAGGTGATATTTTGAGGCGGGCCATGGGCGGGCTTTGAGACCCGTCTTATTTACATGATCTCGCTTTGTTCCTTCACGCATCACAAAATCAACTTCTTTTGTATGTTTCGCCCCCATCCTCCATAATTTTGGAGCTAACCTTTGTCAACCCAGGCACTCAATATGGAAGACTCCATATTTTTCGATGAACTCTCTGGAAACTCGGTGGCCTTGCCGAGGACCGACAACCCTGCTTTGATCCTCCGGTTTTGCGTCAGCCGCAAGACGTGCTATGTGAAAAAAGCATTGTTTGACGCTGACGCTGGCGCCTAGCTCGAATAGTGACTCGGCCTTGATGATAGATGGAATATCCAATGGTCCACACAACATGACAAGTCGTTGACTGAGAAATATCATTCCCGTGTAATTGTTCATAAAGCCGTCGTTGCAGTGGAGGTGATGCATACGGGTTCAAGTTGGCCTAGTAGATGGGTCAGCGAGTTGTCGTGCTAGGCCATCAGTTGTGTTGTGGAAAACAAGTGTAGACAAGGTGTGCAAGCAGGATTGACCGCTTTGAAAGAGTTTTGTTTATCCTGGTAGCAATCAAAATTAGGCATAGAATGTGGTTGCAAATATCTCTTGGGCTCTTTGTGTATCCCTGGCTGTACATAGAAAGGTCCTCGGTATGCTTTATGCTTTTTACCGACTTTGTAGACATCTAAAAGACGTCCGAAAAGACATAAAAAAACGCCCAAAACCACATCCGAGCGCTATTACATATCAGGTCCCTGATATCATCTTGGGCCAAACATATCGGATTGCCAAAGTGACAGGTCCTCAAAGACGGAGGCCGCATGAGCGGCCGAACTCAATGGATATTCGCCATGAGGTTGCAGGAGATTAGACCAGAAGGGGTTGGTGAGAGGACACCCATAATCATTTCACTGTCGCACTTGTGCCTTTCGGGACCATCCTTCAAGTACGGCGGCTTTTGTGGCTCAGAAGATGAATAAGGAGCCACTGCAAAGGCGGACGACACGTTGGGAACCAGAGGATAAGAGGACCGATTGGGAGGAGAACCTGGGTATTGAATAGACTTCGTGAGTTATACCCCGCCTGATTGGATCAATGCGCACCATGATTCTGTGTGACGGGAAGACTCCCATTGGGGCCTGGTAGCCATGTCATTGGCCTCAGTTTCCGGAAGCCGTTGGAATGGTCGTTTCGGAGATGCAGCTCATCAAGGGGGCAACGGCTGTAACGTTGTGCACCAGGGCTGTCAATCGGTGTGGTTGATCGTACCATGCGTACGGAATGTTCGTTGGAGAGGGCAGAGTCGACCGAGTGTTGTCGAGCTAAGGCACACGCTTATGTGGGGCTGATAACCCCGTTTCATGGATCCGACACGGGTATTAGTGGATATCGAACATGGTTCAACGACGCCTCATAACTGAGCTTGCTTCAAGCGCCTTAAATGTTCGGGTAGGGGATGGGCTTCAAGGGGCCGTTGTGGCAGCACAGTGTTGTGAAGTAAGGAAAACCGTAAGGTAATGGTGGCAAATTGTGAGGTCGAGCTACCATGTAGCCAGAATTGAAGGAATCTACAAACGAGGACAGATAGAACTTAACATTTTTCTAGGTGAAAAGATGGGGCCACAGCGGGCATGTAGAATTCATATAGCACAAAATGTGGGTGGTACGTTCCCAAAAGGGAAGGATAGGTTCTTTATATTTGACGCAAACACCATGTTTTCCATGGATACGCCCTTATAGCTCAGTGGTTTATTCGATGGAATAAGTCCTGCAGTAGTGGCTGATCAGGTCGTGATAGGGAGGTCAGTTGGGTGGAGGGCCATCCTTGGTTCGAATCCAAGGAGCATCAAAACCTAAGGGGGATTCCGATATACATTTTTTTTTTTGCTTCTTACTTCTTAGTTAATTTCATCCGTGTCTTACTTTTTTAGCTCTAGTCCCCCAACTTCCTCCCTCTTCTTCGCTTTTCACTTGCAATACAAATAATATATTCTTACTGATACCATTAGATTGTATGATTGGAGTAAAGAAATGTTCTTTTAGAAAGGAGGAGCAATTTTCTAGATATGTATGTTGTCAAAATAGACGTGGGTGTACATCGTAGATCGGATCCACGGAACTGCGGTCCACGGCCCCACATATGCCACATCCGATGTGCCCCACCCAGATGTCATTTCAATGCTTTTTTCCACTCCTAGGCTGTCTCTCTCAATTACCTGACCGAAAGTTTTGGACTGTCACTCCTCGCCTGCTCTACGTATTTACAACTCAGGAATCTGCGGCATTCACATCACTCCCACCTACACTACTCCAACGCTCTTCGCATCTCCCCAGCCCGACCCAAAGACACAACCAGCCCCCCGACCTACAATCCACGAACCGGACTGAACCACCTTCTCCACCATGGCACCTCTCATCCGAGTCATTGGATCCCTCAACGCGGACATGGTCTCAGTCACACCCCGATTCCCAGACCCAGGCGAGACAATCACCTCCTCATCCTACTTCACCAGCGCGGGCGGCAAGGGCGCAAACCAAGCCGTGGCATGCGGGCGCATGTCCCGAGCCAAACCAACAGGCACCACAAACTCCACAAGTGACGTCAGTGTCGAGATGATGGGCGCAGTAGGCGCTCTAGACGGCCACTTCTCCGCCCTGCTTAAGCCGACCCTTGAGAGATCTGGAGTCGATCCCTCCCGGGTGAAAGTCATCGAGAACGCATACACAGGTGTGGCGGTGATCATCGTGGACTCGTCTGCAGGCGGTGAGAACCGCATTCTCTTCTCGCCTGGTGCAAATTACGATGGCATGCAACCTACCCCGGAAGTTCTGGGCATGGCGCTAGCGGCGCCCGTACCCGACGTCATCGTTATGCAGGGCGAGATCCCAGTCGACACGGTTATCGGGACACTACGTGAGATCGCGTCTTACAAGGCCAAGGCTCGCGCTGCTGGAAAACGTGGCATTGAGTGCGGTCCTGATGTTATGCTTAACCCGGCACCTGCGCCGCCCGGTGGTTTTCCCGAGGATGTATACGCTGCTGTCGACCATTTGGTCCTAAACGAGACGGAGGCTGAGCTGATCAGTCCGCCTGCGGAGCAACTGCTTCGCACTGTTCCGGACGCCGAGGGCTTGGATGGAAAGGAGAAGGTCGCTCGATATTTCCACAAATTGGGTGTCACCTACATCCTTATCACCTTCGGGCCGAAGGGTGTCTGGTACAGTGCTGCGGACGGCGGCTCGTCTGGACCCAGTGACGGAGTACAGCGCTTCACCAACGAGATTCCAGCCGCACCTGTCTCCCGGGTCTTGGATACTACTGGCGCAGGTGATACGTTTGTTGGGGCCTACGCGGTCAGGGTGGCGCGATGGCGCGAGCAGCGTCGCGCGCAGGGCAAGGCTGGGCAGGATGTTGCGGATGATGAGAAGGCATACCGGTACAAGACTGTCATGGACGAGGCGATGCGTTTGGCTGCACAAGCCTCGGCTCGGGCTGTGGAACGTCAGGGTGCCATGGATAGCATTCCTTTTGAGGACGAGATATGAGGTAATGGGCACGGCAAGTCTGCGGTCATGTACATTATTATATCACGAGAGACTATAGATTTCAACTCAGCCGTCGCATCCCGATTGTCCGCTGCCAGGAGAGATCAGCCGACATGCCGAACTACGAGGGCCCAGTGCCTAACTCACGGTCGTTGTATGGATGGGCACCCGGATCTGATGACGAGGATGGTGCTGCGCGCGAAGAGTCAGAAGATGATCAGATGCAGCCCTTCCTCCATTCCAGATTTATATTGACTATTCTCGGAATTTCCTACCTTTAGTAGAATGCCGACGCGGTTGTACGTCGATGGCAGAAAGGATAGGCTCTCGGTCTTCGCGAGGAATGCAACAAGGATCAATACGCCGACGGAAATAATCCGAGCCCACGAGGAACAGGGGGCGCAGGTGCCATCCAACCTTGGAAACCCCGTCCATATAATATCCCTATTAATAGCCCTACATCATTCTACGCCTTGGGACAGCCTTCAGGGGCGAATTTCTAGTCCGTACTCTGAACCACCTGGATAGCCAACCCATAGTACATTCCCCAGCCTTGAGTGCGGGACACCCCCAGACACCCCCAAACCTTACCCTGAGACGGGGCTCCATACAATGTTCCACATTCACCTCAAACCCCAGCAGCCCCCGATCGGCCTCCGCATGCATGGTTTAATCCGGTAAGCTGAGTCCGGATGGGGGATAGCCAATGGAGACAGATGCGTTGGCAAAGTTTCATTAGACATTTCATGCAACATACTATTAGCGGAATTGTAGACGCTGGTCGTCACGAATGAGCGCACAGTGCGCAAGGAAGAGACGTGAACGCGAAGTCGCGCGTGAAGGAACGTGCAAGACGTGGAGGACGTGAAGGTATTTGGTACTTACGCGGTGTATGCGCTAGTGGCGGGATGCCAAGTACCGGGTACTTAGGCTGCTGACCGACGCGTCCAAGGGATACGCGACATGCAGTGTTCAGCGGGGGGGGAATTGGTCTTTTGACCTTTGCCCCGGTGATTTTGGTAATGATTTACTTCTATGGGCAATTCTAGAGAAATTAGGAAGAATTAATTGTGTACAACGTTGTAGGACAATGGCAGTGTGATCTTAATACCACATACAGAGTAGAGTATCCATAGTATGTTGTATACGGAAAAGCGCGTAGAGATCTGCATATTACCATTGTTCCCACACAAGACACGAGACATCCAAGAATGAAACCCGTCAATTGGATTGTGCTGGGAATTGCATAAACGCCACTTTTCGAACTGGCATCCGGCCTCCACAACGTGGACGCGACGCGCTTTACGGAGTATGCAGGCCTTGAAATAGTTCCCTTCGCCCTCCATTTGTGACTCCTCATGTCCTCTGCTCCTTGCCTCTAAACCCTCTAATCCTAAACTCTTAACGTCCTTAACGTTCCAAGTTATTATATCTACCTCATCGCTGCACGTCTTTTACCCCGAATCATCCCTCGTTCTCTCTCAACAGTGTAGTCGACCAAGATCCTACCCATTCCTTCATTTATCCGAATTCCATCCGACCAATTCCTATCATTCAATCATTTTATTTCTTTTGATTCTTCTGTCTCACACAATTACCCTCGTTCTCTTCAAATCGTGCGATCGGCCTGTCTAGTGCCTATTGTAGACCGCCAATCCTCCCCCACTTGGCGCTGACCAAAACAAAACATCCTTCCCCTTCCTTCTTCATCATGGCCACTCTCACTATGACTCCTACTCGTCAGCCTTTGGGCTGTTTGGACACGATGCCGTTGATGCGCTCGAAACTTAATCGTCAGAACCAGCAAAATGGTACGTGATGAACCATGTTTTGATGTTCCCAAGATGGCTTAGCTCACAATCCCAACCAGGTGCCATGTCTATGAAGTCGTCCACCCCAATGAAGAGCTCTATCTTCATTGACACCGATTCCGAGAACATCAATCCAGCCAGCTTCTCCACAAAACGCAAGCGTACTTTCGAGGACGACGAGGACAAGAGCGCGTCCAAGCCTATCAAAACATCCCGCATGGCTCTTTCCACCCGCATCAACATCTCCCCCGTCTCTCGACTCCTTCTTCGAAGATCTCCTCAATCACGACTCCCAAATCAGCTCCCATTTTCAAGCCCGCTGGTCGCTCCCCACCACCCAAGTCGAGCAAGTCAGCCACTCGCCGTTCGCTCATCGCCAAGCCCCGTTCAGAGCAATATACCAAGCGCGGCGTCGCTCGTCCCTTCTCTCTTGCCTCCGTCCTCGCCCAATCCACAACTCCTAAGCCTGCCCCTGCGCCCAAGGCCCCGGCCTCGTGGTCCTTCGATATCCACGTCGACACCGAGCAGGAAGAAATGACCAACCTGATGCAACACTCGACCACTGTCCTGGATATCAGTGACGACGAGGGGAAGTCTGACGTCTGCCCCCGTGGAAAGGAGAACATCCCCCCTCACGAACTGGGCATCGAACTCCCCCGTGCTCTTCAGTCCACTGCCTCTATTCCTGCCGCGGCCCGTAAGGCACCAAAGATGGATGAGTCCCGTGCTCCGCTCGGTGAGCTCAACGCTGCTGAATACTATGCCGAGGGCTGCAATGCCTTCTCGTACACAATCGTCCATGATGATGAAGAGCAAGCGCCCGAGTTCAAGAAGCCCTCTTTGCCTCTTTCACGGAACCAGGAAGCTCTTGTCGCTACCTCCATTGCTTCTGTTTTGGATGTTGCTACTTCCGGGGCTGCTGAAACCAAGCACCTAAATCACGAGGACTCAACTGGTAGCACCAAGTCTGCTCTTTGATCTGCCTTCTCGTCGTTCCTTGCATCTGCATCTGCATCTGGTTCAGTGGCGCTGTTCTTTGGCCTGGGTTTGGCCCCAATACATATACCTATTTGCTTGATTGTTTGAAGTTTGTCTTTTTGCTGCTTGGAGTTTGTCTCTTTTGGACAACGGTTTTCAGTCTATCAGGTGTTTTGGTATAACGCTTGCTACGAATTATGTATCTCTTTTGCTTTACTATTGTGACCCCTCAGGTTGACTTTCTTTATCCTGTCTAATTGATGAATTATTGTTTGTGTTATGCCTGATGCTTTACGATGTATTCTGAGCCTGCCTATAGCTTTAGCAATGATTAAAATTATTCTTTTGATGAATATCTTGAGCATAAAGTACTATTTTTATAGACCTAGCCAATCTTCGAGTAATCTAGGAGTCATCTTTACTCGTCCTCGTCTTCGTCCGTGTCATCACTATCGTCCCCATCACCATCACCGTTTGCTTCATCGTCATCATCAGCTTCATCAGCATCCCTAGCCGCAGCAGCATCCGCAACCTGAGCAGCCAACATCTCCCTCCGCTGCATCTCTTCCTCTTCACCTTCACTCTCCTCATCAACCTTCTCAGCCTCCGGCTCCGGCTCAGGTTCCCGCTCAACACTCTTCCCCTTCAAAGCCTGCTTCCCCTTACCTTTCCCCCGTCCCTCCCCAACATCCCTCCTCACCAACCCAGCATTAGCCGACAAATTTCTCCAAACTGGCGAACTCCGAATAATCGCCCGAACCTCCGTAGCAAGACTAATCTCCTTCTGCGTCGCAACCTCAGGATCAAGCGTGAAAAGCGGGAAATCAGCCTCAGACCGCGCATGCGCAGGAAGTTGCATAATCTTCGTATAATCCTCATCAACAGGCTCCCGTCCCTCCATCAACGCCTGGATCTTATGTCGCATAACAGTCTTCACCTTCGCAAGCGTGCCATTCCCAAACCACCCATCGGTAATAATATCGCACTCGCTGCGCAGGAACCCAGGACCCGCATCAGGAGGGTACAAATCAGCCCGCAGCTGCACGTCCTGGATCTCTCCAACCATCCAGATCCGTCCGTCTTGCGCAAACGGCTGCTTGCCAGTGAAGATATGCCCCGTCGACGGCCCGCTGGCGTTTTCGTCCTCTACAACGCGCTGGTCGCTCGGTCGTGGAACGTTGTGTCGTCGTCCGCCGCCCCCGTCGCGCGCCAGCTCGGCTTCCCGTGCCAGCAGGCGGAACATGAAGGTTTGGTAGTGTCGGTACTCTGGTGAGGTGCGTGGGTCGATGCCGAGCTTGATGATCGCGTCACGCCATGGTCCGGAGCGGAAGATGTAGCCTACGTACGGAATTGCGTGCCGCAGGTTCAGCCGCTCTTCGTCGGTTGTTAGATTGTTGCGGAGTCCGCGACGGGTCCAGGCCGGTTGTTTTTCGTATAGGGCGTTTAGCGTCGCGATTGTGCGGAGCATGCCCGCGTCCAGTGCGCTTATTGGGAGCATGTCTGGGCGGGGTTCGGATGGGACTTCGGGTATGTCGTAGGGGACTAAGTGGGTTAGGATTTTGTTGCCCGTTTGGGTGTTCACTGTTTCTAGTTTGCCCGAGCGGCCGATTGCTTGTTTCACTGTTGGGTTTTGTCGGTAGCTGGGAGGTGGAGTTTAGTGGTCTGGTGGTCTTTGCTTGGTGTTTTTGGTGTGGTGAATCTTACATGTAGTGGAATGGGACGTCTCCGTGGCTGAATGATGGCGGTGGGATGAGATCTGCATTCTCAGCGGCGCCTTTGGCCATGTCGATATCAAATTGCTTCATTTTGTCGACTGTGGATTGTTAGTACATTTCTAGTGAGGTGCATGTCAAGCGGACTCACAGTCAAATGGAAGAATTTGGTCTCGGAACCGGTTCGTAAAGGAACTCGCTGTAGTCGAGTAAACGAAGTCAGGGATTCCTGATATCAGACGTTAGCAAACTCGTAATAGATCATCAGTAGTGAACTTACCTCGAAACACATGTGTCCGCTCAACCTTCCCGACTGGCTCAATTTGGTACTTAGAAGGGTTATCACTCAGACTGCGCAAGAGATCCTTAGCGGTCCGTCGCGGGGGCGGCTCGGATGCTTCCGACTCTGGTGCGTCAGCGAAAGGCTCGTTCGAGCCTATCTTGCGCTTCCGTCCTGTCCGCTTGGGAACAGTTACTTTGAGCAGGACATTGTTTGATTGGATGCTCGTTGACTGGACGGATCGAGCCATGGCATCTTCTGGCCGGAACACCAGATTAGCTAGTGTGCCCTCTGTGGCCGGGTTCAGGATCTGTATTATATCAGTATATGTTCAATATTCTGCCAAAGCGAGAAGTGTTCTCACTGTTTTTATTCCGGTGTCGCCTTGTAGGGTCTCAATCGCCTTGTCGACATTGCGGACCACGGCAGGGTGCTCAACGCTGACGAGGCGACGGGATGGCACCGTGTAGAAGGGGGCAGTCCTAGACCCTCGTTGGTCATCCATGCTCATTAGTTTTATATTAGACTTGTCGATAATCCGGTTGTAATATCATTCGCGCCAGCTTTGAGTCTCAATTGATGTTGGTTGCGGTTGTTTTCGGTTTCCTCTCGCGTGGGATTGCGCAAATCCGACCAAAGGCAACGCTACCACTTTTTTCCAGTTCTCTCGACTCAATATACCTGTTTGTACGGTATTCTGTGCTTTTCTTCACCTTCGCCACAATTAAAGGCTCCCAACGATATCTCTCAGGTTCAGGAAAAGAATCGAGTCTACATTCCACAAGCGGTTAGTGCGCCCGGGGGGATTTCGCTGACTCATCACCTCGAAGGACACGGGTGGACCCGTGGAGTGGAGGTAGCCAGAAACTACAACTGACAACAAGACAAAGCACGCTTTTGAAGATACATCACAAGAGAATTGGTTGAATTGACATTTGAAAGCCCAAAAACAAGTCAATCACATTCATCTTCACAGATGCTGGCCACGTGCATTAATAATCAAATGCCGCAGCCCCCTCCCTGCAGCCCTGGGGCTTCCCTCCAGGGCTGCCATTTCCCCCTTTGTCCTTGCTTTGACCTTTCGTTTGTTGGATTCTCCCCACTGCACCCTTCACCATTCGCATCATGGATTCCATGCCCCAAAAGCGCATCCTTCGCAGGTAAGATATTGATAATTCCTGGGCATAAAATGCAAGACTTGACCAAGCTCACGTAGCATTAGATAGTATTATCTAGATGGTCTCACATGCTACATAAAATCTTCTTACACCTCGTCAAGATTCTTCTTAGAATCAGCGGCTTTTCAAACATCCATACCCTATCGCAAGCTATCTAAATATGCATTACCTCAGTCATGCATGTTTTGCAACTATACTTTCATACGTAAAACCGGACAGGGCCGATCCGAATTGAAGAGGGCGGTTTAGCGTCCTGCACTACCGACAGGGATATTTCGAAAAGTGCGACCTTTAGCGCTTATAATCCACCGCCATTCCCCCAGAGAAGGCATATTTCTCGACCAATTTTTTGTTCGGTCCCTTCGCGTTGGAATTGCTATGCCAACGGCGAAGGACAAATGAGTAGAGAATACATCCGAAGGGTATGACAAGATCCTGTTTTGAATCGAATCATGTTTATATGAGTTCTTCTGTGGGCTCCCGAATGAGGGGCGTGACTGGAGCGGAGAAGAGGGGTCAATCCGTCACTATAAAAGTAGCCTTTTCGCGCACCTTCCAAAACATGGCATGAGAATACCTCTTTCTTCTTGAACATGGAAGCCACACCCTTACCATTCCTACATGCGATAGAGGCGTTAAAGCATTTGCCACGAACAGGATGGTTGAGAACAATTCAGAACCCCGAGACTGTGGCTGCGCATAGCTTTCGAGTAGCCATCTTGGCCATGCTCGCTCCGGTATGTTGATCTCCCGATATCTTTGTCTCTGTCTCCCTTTCAGTCATCGACTGACCTTATCAGGAAAACTTGAGTCTAGATAGGGGGAAATGCATCCAAATGGCTTTAGTCCATGATTTAGCAGAGTCGGTCATAGGGGATATTCCGACGTTCGCAGGGGTTGCAAAAGGTAAGTCTTCCAAGTTCTCATATTATCTGAGATTCAGTGAAGCTCATAAACACCACCCACCCGGGTAGAACGGAAATACGATATGGAACTCAATGGGTTCCAATACTTGGAAAACTTGCTCCAAAGTTATAGTCCGAAAAAAGCAACAGAAATCAGCAACCTATGGCTAGAATACGAACAAGGCGAAACACCGGAAGCAAAATGGGTTAAAGAGATGGACAAGTTCGAGTGCCTGGTCCAGGCACATGAATACGAACAGAAGACATTTGGCAAAAAAGACCTCAACGAGTTTCAAGGACTTTTGGCGAAAATTCATTCTAAAGAAGCAACCCAGTGGGCGGAATTCTTATCCCAGGAAAGGAAAGATCACCTCGCCAAACGAAAAACGCGGCTACCTGTCATTTTCGTCGCCGGTATGTGGTATATGTGAGATGCATTTAACTTTCCTTGCTAAACACTACTAGGTGATCCTATGACCTGCGAAAAGGTCGCCAGCCACGTCTCAGGAGAACTTTCGCTTTACCATGTCTCTGTGAACAAAACGCTTCGCGAAAGGGCACAAGATCCCGAATATCGCCATCATGGAATCATTAAGAGTTGCCTGGACAAGGGATTTGAAGTGCCGGCTAGTCTGATTATTGAAGTCCTCGAGAATGAGATCAAAGCCGGAGATGGATGGACATGGACAATTGTCTCCGGGTTTCCGAATGACACAGAGCAGCTGGTAGAATTTGAAAAAAAGGTTCCCTTATCCAGAAACATTTACAGCATGAAATGTGGCACTAACATTGTTTAACAGGTTCAAAATTGCAATTCTGTCTTTTACGTGGAGTGTCCTCCACACACTAATGATCAAGAAATGTTGGAGGATGCCAAGAATACCTGGGGGTCTTCACCTATCCACTTCAAGGATGTACTGAAGAGTTCAGCCGCGCATTTTGAAGTGGTTGGTTCTAACATCAACCAACAGTCAACGATGTCCGAAATGGACCTGTACGGCTTGGCAGTAAACTCAATCAAGACTTTCCTCGCGGGTGGGAGTGCAGAAAAACATGAAGATAACGTCTCTAAAGTAGCTCAAGACTGATAATAATATAACTCTCTCATATCTTATGTCTCTCGACAGATGCTCGAGTAAAATCCTCCGTAGTTACCGTGGACATCACTCGATCTTCGGGAAATTTCCGGGGACAGTAGTAAATAAGCCATTCCACATTTTTCCTGTCGCCTGGTTATATACTTATCCAGTGGTGGTTCCAAACAGACAGCAGCGGACTAAACCATCCGATTACAGCCAATAGCGAAATCGACTTCACTACCCGCCTCAAATCCCAATAGCATCATGTGTCCTCGATCCATACAAAGCCAACAGGTCATCTCGGATACATACCACACTCCTCTTATGCCTGGCCAAAGATAACTCACTTCCATTTCGGGAAGGCTCCTCCCAATAAAAGGATCTGATTGGTCGAATATTGCCAAGCATTTTCCATGAGATCCTCCTTCCAGGGTTGGAAGTAATCTCAACAGATCACCCCTTTCGTCCATGACTATAGCTATGACTGCCTCTTCCTCTATAACAACCACCTCCCTGGAACCCACTTCATCCTACGGGTACGACTCATTCGGTACCAGCACCTCATCTAGCACGGCCGCTTCAAACACCGACTCCGGAGAATACCCCGTGTTCCCAAACGGCGCCTATATCTCCAGGTTCTATGCTGTCTCGTCCCAGGAGTCTGGTCTCACCGACCTTGACATCGATCTCTACAATGAATGCTTCCTGCCGTATAACCCGTTGCCACACCACAATTTCCGCAGGGATGACGCGACTGAAACAATATCCCCTAAGCCCACCTATCTGATTGACGAGGCTCCGTGTAAACGACAAGCGGCGATTAATTCTAATTGCTACTTCCAAAACACAAACGGCACGTTTTCGGGCCTTCATTTGTATTCGGGCGATTGGGACGTCCAGCAGCAATGTTATTGTGACATATATCCCTTCTTTGACTCGGCGGCCGGTTGTCAGGAATGTTTCAGAAAGCATGGAGGCATTGAGGGTGAGTCTTTCCCACAGCATATCTTGCCAATATGATGTTCTTTAGTTCGATCGAAAAACTAACTTCCACGAAGGCTATCACTGGTTCCCACAGAGTTACGTGATGGGAGTCTCTAGCGCCTACTGTAGCGCCAATCCCCAAACGACAGGTTTCTATCCTTTCGCAAATGAATGGTCGACGAGTTCAGCGGCCAGTTTGCCTACTACCACTGCTGTTGATAGCTTAGGCACGCAGACAGCAGCTAGTCTTTACTACACCTATGCTGCGGAAAACACAGCTGCCGGTGGTGGTAGCTCAAGCGCGAAAAACAATGCTGCAGCAAGCACGTGCCTGAGCTTGAAAAGAGCCCTAATGGCCGCACTGCCACTGGTTTTAATGCTATCTCAGTGAGGTTGTATGAATTTGGACGAAACTCGGCGAATAATGATGTAATTATAGGTGGTTCAAGCAGCTTATCAGCTAGGGTTGATCCAAGTCCCATCAGCATGATGTCCTGCAACGGTCGTTGAGGGGATTTGGAATGAAATGAAGAACGCATTGATTGCAACACTGAGATTGCTGCGCTCTCCAACGAATCTCTGTCTTTTTTACTGGATGGGCTTTCCTGTGTCCAAGCAATGCTGTAATCTACTTCGGAAAATACGTATCGAACAAGAGCTCGAGTCAAAATATTCATGAGTCTTTATAAAGGCTGACAGATTGGTCAAAATCGGAATATATGCTATCCTATCAGCACCCTCCCTCCCTATCCATGCAATTGCCATTTCTCACTACCCTGGTGAGGTCCGCTGTTTGGCTTTCAATCTAGTGTCTCTTCTCTTTGACCTCTATATTGTCAATCCTGTCCTCGTCGGTCGCTCCTTGGATAGTACCATATCGACGCTATCATGGGGTCCCGGTAGTCATTCATAGAGCTTGCATTTTGGCCTCCAGGTATTGCTACCTCCTGTACTGTCGACGTTGTGTTATTGTAAACATTCCGTCTTCGCCTGGTAAAGATGAAGATCATTTTCGCTTGATGGAGGAGAGTTCTAAACAATACGGAAAGCTAGACAAACCCGCTAGAAAATAATGCATTTGAGATGCGATGTAATGGCTCTGAAACAACCGCAGAGCCAGGCGGGAAAATATCAAAGAGGTCCTATGTAGTCAATAGACGTCTCACCACGCCATTAACAGGAATCCTCGCAAAGAAACAACTCGCAAAAAAAAGAAAACCGTGAATATACCCAGATGATACAATCACGAAGGCCTACCGCGAAGGGTTAGGCAAAGCAACTCAATTGATTCAAAGCTCAGGAAGGGTTAGAGGAAACTCTTCCTCGACATATTCTATATCTTCCCATCTGAAGTAGACGTTTCCGCCACCATCGTAATTTTTTCGAACCGTGGCCCTCACCTCCCGATAGAAGGTTGAAATCGCGACTGCCCAGCGGACGGATGCTTCTTCACCCAGGCAAAGGCGGAGGTGCTGCGTGGCTTGCAAGGCATACTAATGACGCAGCTTGTTGGTATACTGGGTAATGGGGCGAATCGTATGCTCTCTAGCATTGCACCAAGCAGAATAGGCAGCCATAGCGTCCTGTCTACAGGTTAGCAGTTACCAACAAATATTGAATTCATTAAAGCAGACTCACGTCAGAGGCATTGCCTGTCAGCATATGAGCCTTGCGATGTGTCTCGACCAGGTCATCAAAAGCAGCACAGAGGTCACTGACCGCGCCGAAAAGGTCCTCCCCGAGATCTTCATGCCACTTTGGTAATTCGTTGTCAGAGACATCATCTGTATCAGGCCAGTGTTTTTTCACGAATTCGATCAAGGCCATAAGCTCAAGAACATGGCCCCGAATACCCTGGGGGATCTGCAAAAGGGCCCAACCGATGTAAGCGTATTGTGCCATAGGGGGTTCAGGAATAATCAAAATTTACCGAATCACATTTGCTGTCAGTTTCTTTGCATCCATGACACTTCTCGGATGAACCAGCGTCGAACCAGCATTCCACCTCGAAAGGCTCATCGTGGTCCCAGTTGCGGACTGAAGAGCGAAAACATTGCAGACACCAATGTGTAGTCAGAGAAATGGTCCCTATGGACGACGATCTATGTCTTTCCTTCATCTCTTTGTCTGAAGATAGCCCGTCTGAGTCCTCACAAGTGATCTTCGGCATGATGAAGTTCGCCATTCTGAGATTTGAGACTGTGAGAGGTAAATGTCAAAGAGTAGTGAATATGAAGATGTAAACTAAGAGCCAGTGGTCAACTAAGAGTCAGTGCTGAAGTAGGAGTCGGTGAGCAGGTAAACTCGAGGGATTGGGAAATATGGCGAAGGTTGAGTAAGGAGGACTGAGTAGGCTTGCTGTGGAGCAAATCGCGTTCTTTGGAACTCTGTATCTGCTTTTGTCGTGGTGTGAAGAAGAGAAAAGAAGAGAACTACTATCACTATACAGTTGATCTATTTATATCCACAATATACGTAGCTACTCATACCCTATTATGGTCTACAGTGAGCCTCAGTGAGGTAATAATGAGATTATAGGCTCTGGTTGCCTTGTTTAACTACATATACAGTAGAACTTTATATACGGTGATATAGTATTCGAGGGAAATGAAAGGAGAAATATACACCGGGCTGAGTACAATGTAATTGATTGCAGTAGAAATGTACTAATAGTTCCGTGAAAGGATATATATTTTCATGTATCCAAATGATTTTTCATTAGAACCTTGATATAGCCGCAACATGCTACATCTAGCATATTTCATGCCATAATATTCATTGATATGAGTATTGAGACATTTCAAGTAGGAATTTCCTGTTCGGTCTAACTTTTATGCCTCACACAGGGTATGCTGTGCCCAGGTGGTGGTCAGGTGTGGGTCAAAGAGCACAGACCTCTCTATATGCACCTCCATTTCCAGAACCTGTTCTGCTTAACTCGAAGGGATAAATCACCTGTGAACTGAATCACAACCTTTTCAGACTTACATAGTCAACCAATTTCGATACATGGTGTCTCAGGTGTTCTTGACGTTGTGCCTGTGCCTGAAATTCGAGTCCCCCTGGAGGTCACGTGGAACATGACATAAGCAGTTTGAAACAAGCGGGAAAAAGCATACGAAAGTGGTGTTAGCAGAGAGAAGGGGAGAATAATATGGGTGTCGAGTAAATTCATTCTCTCAAAATGAAGCGTAAAGAGATTCAGGTCACTCAAAAAACGTAGAGTCCCCCACATAGTACTTGGGCGTGGTCCCCCTCCCATCACCATCGCAGCCAGGAGACCAGCCCGCCTTTCCCTACACCTCAACAACAATCCACTTCCCTCCCTCCTCTCCACAACCCAACGCCATCATCTTTATTTGGTCTCTTGTACATCGTCGACTTTGCCTCTTGCTAGTCAAATCGTGATTTTCGTGCTTTCGCAGTGGGCTGCGACCTGAGTGCCCGTCCCTCTAGTGCTCCCCCCGCTCCCAGCCTGCCACTAAGCGACACGGAGATCCTCCAGCGCCGACCAAGCTCGTCCTATAACACCTACTCTCACCGAGCAGTTTCCCACTCGATCCGTCAATTGTCCAATCCAAAACTACAGAGGTACGTTTGATCGGATACCCGTCTCCCATTGCCTGTATTGGCCCTTTCTTCCCAGCATCATCGTCTTGCTCCGTGCGCGTGTTGCGACTGCACATTGTTTGGAGCGCCTGATGCTATTGCCATTGAACCTCAGCTTCTCTTCCACCCATTGCTAGGGCTTGATTTCAGCGTTTCAGAACCATTTCCCTTCACAATAACCGTCTTACATGCTGTGTGACTCGGACCGCTTATGAGATTCTCCTATTAGGTCGATCCAAACACTTCCCCCCCCCCCTCGTGGCTTTCCTGAGCGCCTACCTCCGTTGGCTCCCCTCGATTCACTCCGGCTAGAGTGCGGCGCCTGGCTGCACTGGCACCAAGAAACCTAGCCGAGTACATGTGGCCATCTACATTGTCATCAAAATGAAGGGTTTCAGACAGAGAGTGGTGAGTTACCCGCGTCTCCTGCCCAAGTGCACCTCGCCACATGATCACTTATGTCCATCTATCCCCCTCTTCACCATGCAGGTGGTGCTCTTTTATGCATTTCTCTCTTATGCATTTCGCAAATCATCTAACATTCTGTGCCTTGCTTTTAGCACGACCAGTTGTCGCGGGCGAAAGACAACAAGTCCTCGAAAAAGAAAGACTCCAACTCCACCTCACAGAATCAGTCCCTCGGCATTTCCAACGCACAGCAGTCTGCTTCCCCTAACCAAGGGACACCAACATCCTCCACAACCTCTCTCAATGACTCGCGAAACAAATCGCCGGACAACGCTTCCCCCGCCGGAACCCCTTCCGCGGGCGCACCTCACCCCGGCACCCCGGTTCAACACTATATACCCCAACCGGGCGCAGCAGGACAGCCTGTAAGCAATGGACCCGGAACTCCGAATAGGCTAGGCCAGCCGGTGGCTCCCAGCGTCATCATCAGCCCAAGCGCACCGGTAAGTTCAGTCGTTTCACGCTTTGGTGACTGTTTGCATTTGCTAACGATTGGATTCTATAGCATGTCCCCCCTCCTGGCGCCGCCGAAACGATGCCCGGAGATCTCGCACCTCCTCGGAAGTCTCATGTCTTCGACCGCCTACAGACAACCCCTAAGGACATGTCGGAAGGTATTCGGACTCCCAAACGCCAACATTCCTCACGATTCGATATCTCCGACCAGCGTCAGAGAGAATTGGAGAAGTTGCCGGGATTCCATGAAGTGCCTCCCAACCGGCGCCAAGATTTGTTCATGCAAAAGATCGACCAGTGCAATATCATCTTCGATTTCAACGACCCGACGGCCGATATGAAGTCCAAGGAGATCAAGAGGCTGGCGCTGCACGAGCTCTTAGATTATGTTGCCAACAATCGGTCGGTCATCACAGAGCCCATGTACCCCCGCGTGGTAGAGATGTTCGCCAAGAACCTGTTCCGTCCTATTCCTCCGCCTATGACACCCCAGGGCGAAGCATTTGACCCGGAGGAGGATGAGCCCGTCTTGGAAGTCGCTTGGCCTCATATCCAGGTCGTATATGAATTCTTCTTGAGGTTCATCGAAAGCCAGGATTTCAACACGAACATCGCGAAGGGTTATATCGACCATCAGTTTGTGCTTTCGGTATGTGTCCTGGTGCTTGGTTTTCATGTTTAATGCAAGCTAATGCTACATCTAGTTGTTGGACCTATTTGATTCAGAAGATCCCCGGGAACGTGACTTCCTCAAGACAACTCTGCATCGCATTTATGGAAAGTTCTTGAACTTGCGGTCATATATCCGCCGATCCATCAACAACGTCTTTTTCCAGTTCATGTACGAGACAGAACGCCATAATGGAATCGCTGAATTGCTCGAGATTCTGGGCTCCATTATCAACGGGTTCGCTTTGCCGCTGAAGGAGGAACACAAGCTCTTCTTGACCAGAGTGCTCCTGCCCATGCACAAGGTTAAGAGTCTCAGCATGTACCACCCGCAATTGGCCTACTGCATCGTGCAATTCTTGGAGAAAGACTCCTCATTGACTGAAGATGTAAGCCCCTCATCTATCTTTCTCCAATATATCTTGAGTACTAACCGCCATGTCTAGGTTGTTCTCGGCTTGCTGCGCTTCTGGCCTAAGACCAATAGCACTAAGGAGGTTATGTACCTGAATGAGGTGGAAGACATATTCGAGGTGATGGATCCGGGCGAGTTCGCTAAAGTCCAGGAACCTCTGTTCAATCAGTTGGCCAAGTCTGTTGCCAGTCCCCATTTCCAGGTCGCCGAACGTGCTTTGTACTTCTGGAACAACGAGTACTTCTGTAATCTTGTGAGCGACAACGTGGAGACGATTCTCCCGCTTATGTTTGCGCCCCTTTACGAGAATTCGAAGGGACACTGGAACCGGTGAGTTTGATCTGCATATTCTACTGACTTCGATATGAGCTAACCTCTTATCCAGAACAATCCACAGCATGGTTTACAATGCGATGAAGATGTTCATGGAGATCAACCCGCAACTCTTCGATGAATGCTCTCACGATTACACAGAGCACCAGAACAATGCAGACCAACGCGAAAAGTCTCGTACGGACCGGTGGGACGTGATTGAACAACAGGCCAAAGACCGGAAGAATGGCATTCCCCCACCACCACCACCCCCCGCTCTTGACGTGCCGGAGCCGATCGATGAGGTCGAGGCCATGACCCACGAGAGCCAAAAGCGGTTGAACTCCCTGAAGTTGCAAGAGGATCCCGATATTTCCAAGGACCGACCCAGCCGGGAAGGCACTCCTAATTCGGTAAGTCCAGTGCATCTCTGATCCGTGCTGCTTTGCTGCCCAGATACGTGCATTCCTATGCGAACTACTTTCTTTTTGTCTGGCCCTATCGCCCTCGTACTTGTCTTTTGCTAAGAGACCACGTCCGCCCATGTACAGCCAGCGTGATTCTAACGTGAAAACGTCCGTTTGCTCCAGACACGACGCCGAGGCTCGATTCGAAACACTGGCCGGCGGCGACGGAGCGGAAGCGGCAGTGAGATTCGCCCGCGACGACGATCGGTCGGCAGTGGTACCAGTGCAACCAATGTACAGATCTTGCATCGAAGCAATTCCACCAAATAACGTCTCGGAGGAGATAGACTGCTGATGGACATGTGATTTCTCGTTTTTTTTCTCCTGCGATGGCATAGCGACTATGGGGCAACGATATTTTTGTCTTTTGATTTTCGGCGGTACTCGCCCGGACTGATGCCCTGAACCTGTGCCCCCTGCCTTTTATTTGTTTCCCCATTTTCTTCCCTTTTCTTTTGTGTACATGGATTTTCTTTTTTTTTCGATATTTTCCCTTCCGCGACGGGCTCCCTCAAAATTTGAGTTGGAACCAGTCTTAGAACCGTGTTCGGGTATGGAAAACGGGTGCGAATGGCGTTTCATCCATTGACCACGATGTCGGTGGCTGTCTATGTGTTGTTTTCTTGTTTCTTCCATTATTTTAGACCAGTTCTAGGATATGATATTGCCTTGGAATCTGATGCTTGGAGTACTTGTAGACTTGTCTGGACACCCGATGAGCCCTGTAAACCAACTTTATCCAGTTTGATGCTTTATATGATTGATTGTGCTAAAGATAATTTAAACCGGGACCCGGGAGTGTCAAGAGTACAAAACGTGGAAATATCAAAGAACAGTGTTGAAAATTAGATCCCAAAATAGCACGTTATAATTGACCTCGAGCTTCGTATTTTCATCAAAGGAGCAATCGTGAAAGGCTCGTAAGAGATATGGTTGTCACCCGATGCTGGTGATGACACTCAATGGCTTGGTCGCATGATGCACAATCTGTTCCAGCTGGTTGAATAGGCGATCCATGATATCAGAAGCATATTCCTCAGATACGGTCGTCGACCAGTAGCGTAGTTCCACCGTGAGGTGGGAAGCGGAGGGAAGGATAGCCACGCAAAGGTCATACTAAAAAGAGTCATCATTAGTCAGTCTGATCGTGATTCTGGTTCCAGAGGCACTCACCTCAGTTGCATCCTCCAAATCGATCAGTTTGATATCGATCTCGTTGCTCCCATCTTTCGCAGTAGATGACTGTGTTGAGAATGGATTCTGCACTGTCAGAACTGTATTAAACAGCTGCTGGTCATCGTCCATACTGCTTATGCCTGATTTGCGAATTGTATCTGGCATGGAACAGTACTGGTGATCATTTCGACGCTGAATATCCTCCTGGTTCTGTCGGAGAGATTCGATCACCGTGCGCGTGGGATCAATCGCAATTCGACACGGAAGAACATTGAAGAATGACCCAACAATGTTCCATACTTCAAGGCCGGGGGTATCACGCCCCGAGGTGATGGTTCCGAAGCACACATCACGGGAATTGGTATAGTGGGTGAGTGTTAAGGCCCATGCCAGCTGGAAAACGTTGGTGATGGTGATATTATTGGAGCGCCAGAAGGAATCTAGACACTTTGATTGCGCAAATGGCAGGCAGCGGCTCTGCGAGCGAGGTTCAGGCAGAGGGGACTGCTTGGCAGGTAGTCTGGGGAGTTGGGAAGGGTAAACTCCATAAAGAGTCTGTGTCCAGTATTGCAGTGTTTCGGCAGGTGACTGACTGCGCAGATGGGACAGATATTGACGATACGAAACTCCTTGCTCTGGCAAGGCCTGACCCTGGAGCACGAGAGAAAGCTCCTCGAGTAGAATGGTCATGGAAAAGGCGTCAATCAAAGCACAGCCCGTTTCTAGCCTCATGAAGACGGTCCCAGAGTGGTCCTGCCCGAGAATTAACCGGTGTGGTGGTGACAGGCCCCAGGATTGCACTGGTTCGAGACTTTTCAGTTCCGAAAGGGCATTCTTGCTGCGAGGAAGAGCAAGAATTTGAGCTGGTCCTTTGTCGAGAACCACGTGAAGATAATCTGCGTGAACCTTTGGCTCTTTCATGAGAACCGTCCGCAAGGCGACATGACGGTGCACTAGTTGACTCCAAGCGTTGCTCACCTGCATCGGAGTCACTGATCCCGTCGGGCAAACTTCGAAAATTGCAGTGCTCGTGTAGTTGGAGGTATAGAGCTCTAACACACCACTGTGGGCGTCAGAGCACGGGTAGATTTCCTCGATGGAATCCGATTTCAACAAATTCAACTGAGATCGAACCATATCCAGTTGGTAATCGATGTGCTCAAACTCGACGAGATGATCTTTTCCCCGAACGGAGTCTTGGGAATTCAGGAGTTTCTGGCGCTTGGAATCAACGGCCTGGCCCTGGATCACACTGACATGTTTGCAAAATAAGGATACAGTGTTCTTTGAGAGGAATTCCTGCATTGAGATGGCCATGTTTCTTCTCCGACACAAAGTGAGCACCCGCATGGCAGTGATGGAATCGCCTCCGAGAGCGAAGAAGTTATCTTCCATACCAATGGCCTCCTCATTTAATGACAGGGCTGTGGCAAAACTTGCACGGACGAATCGCTCTTGCTCTGTAATTGGCTCCCTTTTATCTGCCACCGGATTGTCCAGATACATCTCCAGTGTCACTCTATCCATTTTTGATGCAATCTGGCGTAGTGTCTTGCGGTCGGCCTTGCCACTTGGGCTAAGCGGCAGACGAGATAGCGAAAGGAAAAAGGAAGGAATCATATACGGTGGAAGGTGTTGGTTAAGATGGTGTTTTACACCTTCAAGGTAAGCTTGATTTTGTGTTGACGGCGAGAGAAACACTTCCCGATGGTCATGACAAGCAGGGTTGATACCCACCGTCATTTCTACCGTCGCAGGATCATAGACGAACATGATAAGTCTGGGTCTCAGGATGCCCACAGGCTTTATCAATTCCGCAATGACCCCGGTACCGTGTTGGTATCTCTCGGCACAATGCTCAATCTCGTGCAGCTCAATCCGTTGCCCATTGAGCTTGACCTGTGTATCCTTTCGGCCTATCAAAGTTAAAGACCCATCTGCGTTCAAGACAGCAAGATCTCCAGTCTTGTAAAGTCGGTCTCCTCGCAAGAAGGGGAATTTTTCGCTCCAGACAGGATCACGAATGAAGGCCGCTGCAGACTCCTGGGGTCGGTTGATATACCCTCTTCCAACAATCGGCCCAGCGATCAGGAGCTCTCCTACCGAGCCCACAGGCTGAAGCTCATCATGGTTGTCCGGGTCAACGATCCAGCAAGATGCGTTGGGAGAAGATCCGACGTTGCCCAAATCCGAGCTGGGAGTCAATGGCGGTGTAGTGGTCGTGTACATAGCGCACTCCGCCGGCCCGTAGGATTGATGCAGCTGGACTCGTGAAGCCCATGTCGCCAGATCAGAGGCTGATGGTGCCTCCCCTCCAAGAATAAGGGTTTGAAGACAAGGGACCGCCATTGGCGAGAGAGTTCGCGCCACCGAAGGGGTCAGCATAGCCATGTTGACCTGCATGGTTGTCATCGTCTTCGCCAAGCCGTTCATGCGTTGAGCTTCAGAAGGCACACAGACGCAGCCTCCCGCACCGAGGAGAAGAACAATCTCAGCAAGGCAGATATCAAACGCGGGCGAGGCGAAAAGCAAGCCCCGGGACGCGATTGATGCACCGATGACGTCCTTGTGCGCCTCGAGCATCGAATGTACCATGCCATGCTCGATCACAACACCCTTTGGGGCACCCGTTGATCCGGATGTAAAAGCAACGTACATTGGATCTTGATGAGACACCGCTGATGGAGTCCACGCGTCGTAGTCCGCTTGGGCCACGATATCGGGAGTCAGAACCAACAGATCATTGACCAAGCCTGTGCACCTCTCTTGGAATACCGGAGAGCATATCATCGTTCGCGCCCCGGCGTCTCGCAAGATAAGCTGCAAACGCTGGACGGGGAAGTTGGGTTCTAACAAAACCATGGCGGCTCCAGACATCATGACACCTAGGATGGCAACGGGGAACCATTTCGATCTTTCAACGCAAATCCCGACGACCACACCAGGTTCCGACCCGGATCCGAAAGACTGGAGATGGCCTGCCAATCTCCGCGCCAAGGCGACAAGTCCTTTATATGTCAGCGAGCCATCCCATGCGCAGACGGCCTCTGAGTTTGGTTGGGTGACGCCAAAGCCCTGGATGACATCGTGTAGGCAATGGAGGTGGGGCAGACTCTTTCTGTTAATCGCCGCTAATTGCTGCCACTCGGGCGCAAGCTGACTTCTCAGGTCCCTCATTTTTGCTGCGGGCTCCCGAAGGATTCGCTGCAACAACGTATCAAACTGCTCTAAGAGTGCCTCAGTCCTATCAGGGCCCAGAATGCAGCTATTAAAGATGGCCTTGACCTCCAGCGATTTGCCTTCCTGCTGGGCGACGATTGACAAGGGATACGACGCAAACTTCAGGTCATGGTCCTCGCTCTCAGGTAAACCGATCAAGGCGCCCGCAGGAATTTGAAGAGATTGCAGCCTGATGGTGAGAAGATTCTGGAATCCACAAGCCAGGGCCGCGTCTGAACTTGACTCCGCGATACGCCTGAGACCAATATGCTCAAATGGCATGATGGAGACGTCGTGCTGTCTCATTTGAATCAACATATCTTCCACCGATATCTCATCATCAAGCTGCGTCCGGAAAGGGTATGTTGCAAAAGTTGGCCCAGAAATACGATCGATCTCTGGAACTGGGGCATTCCGGCCCGAGACCGTCAATCCGTACACCACGTCATTTGAGTGAGTTTGAGAAGAGATCACAAGAGCCCAGGCTAATTTGATTTTATTGGCGAGCGTCCAGTTCATATCTGACTTGGCCAGTATAATTTGCTGGCTTCTGACTTGCCAATGTGGTAACGCGGCTGGCCGCCGGGAAGAGATAGGGAACATTGTTGCTTGGAAATTATCCAACTTTTGACTCCAAAAAGAGCGAACTTCCTCAATGCTCAACTTGGAGATGTAATTAATGACATGATTGAAGGCAGGGCGTGGCGGCGGCATGTCCCCATTGTAAATCACCTGGAGATCCTCGAGCAGTTGCAGATATGACCATCCATCAAAAAGAGCGTGGTGCATGGTCAACAGGAATATGCCTGAGTCCGGTCCACTGGAAATTCGTCCAGAATGGAATGACACGCGCGCAAGGGGAGTCCCCAAGCTCATGGGCTGGGAATCATTCATGGCTGAAATATCCTTGCATGGGGACTTTTGCTTGGTGACTACTTGAAGCTTTTGACCATCCTGAAGTTGGATGATGCGTGTTCGGAGGATGGGATGTACGAGCCAAAGCTGTTCCCATGCAGCCCAGATCCGATGCAGGTTCGTAGAAGGAGCCAAGGAGAATCGGTATGTGCCCATGAAAGCCCCCGGGTTCTTGATGGACAGATGCATGAGGCCTTCCTGCAGAGGAGTGCAAGGGTAAATGTCTTCAATCACATCTCTTTCAATGCCACACTGGGCGGTGGCGGCGGATAGACTCTGTTCGGTATCCACGAGAAGAGAGAATGGCGAGATCTCGTGAATCTCTTTGCTTTCCACGGTACATCGCGCGATCTCTCGTGGATTTTGAAAACGAATGACATCCGCCACTGTGATCTCCAGACCACGCTTGCGTGCACGGGCTACCAGCTCGATAGCAGCCAATGAATTCCCTCCCATGTCGTAGAAACCATCTTCAGCGCTGATGTTCGTTTCTAGGCCCAAGACCTCAGCAAAAACTGAGCAGAGGGTGTTTTGCTTGACGAAAAGCTCGGGGTCCAGCTCGACATCCCGTTTATCACGCTTATTTGATGGGTGCTCTCCAGACGGCGAGGGACTGGATGCTGCTCCAAGATCGATCAAGGCTCGTCGATCGAGTTTGCCAGTTCTCGTTAAGGGAAAGCGATTGACGAACCTATATTTGGTTGGGATCATGTATGGCGGTAAACAGTCACGAAGCCAGCGTTTGATGTCGGTCACCAAGTCGAGGAGGGTGTCATTCATGGGGACAACGAAGCTTTCCTTCGTCATGTGAGTTTCATCATTATCTGCAGCAATGAACAACGCAAGGAGTTTCCCCGCGCTGCTGCCATTGACTTGAATCACATCGGCCACCGCAAGTATTCCCTTCTGAAACTGGGAGGCATGATGTTCAATTTCCTGTAGGTCAACCCGTTGCCCGTGGATTTTCACCTCTCGGTCTTTGCGCCCAACATATCGCAGCGCGCCATCGTCGAGGGTATATCGCACAAGATCTCCTGTTTTATAAACGCGTTCACCGGGAGGAATGCCGAATCGCGTCGCCCAACGAGGGTTGGAGATGAATGATTTCTGGTGGGGCTGATTGAGATAGCCTCGGGCCACGATTGGTCCGCTGATGAGTAACTCTCCCACCGCACCCAGGGGCTCTAGCTGATCATGATCATGAGGATTGACGATCCAACAGTGACTGCTGTATGAGCGGCCGATATTTTGGGGATCTTCCAGTTGCACATGGGGCTGCACAGTGGCCACCACACTGCACTCGGCGGGGCCGTATGCGTTGAGGAGTTGGATCTTCCCCGACCCCGACCATTGTGTGATGTGGTCTTGAGACATGGGCTCTCCGACAAGCAAGACAGATTTCACGTCCGGTACCTCTTCAGGGTTGATGAACCGTGCAACAGATGGAGTCAGTTCGAGCCAGTTGGCTCGCATCACACGGATAGCATCTGCCAGGCCGTTGAGCCGCTGCTTCTCCGAGGGTATACAGACGCAACCACCCGCCACCAAAGTCATGAGTGTTTCAAGAATACTGCTATCAAACCCATAGGAGGCAAACTGAAATGCCCGTGTTTGGCTATTAATATTTTGGACTGCATTTTGAGCCAACGTATTTGCAACGAAGCACTGATGTTCAATCACGATCCCTTTGGGCTTCCCGGTGGAGCCGGAAGTAAAGGCGACGTATGCAGCATTTGAAGGCTTGACAGATGAGTTAAAGGCGTTTTTGCTTGTATCTATGTGACTCTTGACTGTGTCGAGTACCGTTATAACTTGAGGACCCAGCTGCCGACCCAGGTCCTCCAATGACTCTGAGGCGATGGCAAGTGGTGCCTGCACCTCCGAGCAAATCTCGGCCAGACGAGCCATAGGGTGGGAGGGATCGAGGAGAACAAAAGCACCCCCTGCTCTCAGCACTCCAAGCATGGCGACAACCGTCCAACGCGATTTTTCGAAGTAGAGCGGCACTACTGACTCTGGGCCAACACCAAGTGACAGCAGCTGGAGTGCGACTGCGAGTGAAAATTGATCAAGCTCCGCATACGTCACGGAACCATCCCAAGCACACAGTGCCTCGGAACTGGGTTGGCTCCGGCAATGCTCTAGGATCAAGGTATGAATGCATACTTGTGGTCGTGCGAGTGAGTACGGGTTGTTCCATTGCCGGATCAATCTGGAGCTGTACGAGCCAAGGAAATCTACCTCTCGGAGTGATAACCCTGGGTTCATAACCATTTGCTCTAGAATGTGAACCATAGCCGTTAATTGTGACCAGGCTTGGTTCACCGTGAGAGATGTCCTTGAGTATTCCATGTATACTTGGGCGGGTGATATACTGCAGTCCAAAACAATCATTGTATTGAATCCACAGGGCAGCTGAGATTCTATTAGTACGTTGTGGAAAGAACACATTATCGACTCCTACTTACAGACGTCGGACCGTTCGGTTCATCATGCCACCTGATGACCACACCCGTGGAGGTCTGTGTGCCCGAAAGAGGTTCTCTGTGCGTTTCCTTTGCTGCATCCACCAAGAGACTACCCGGACTGTCTGATATTGCCCAGGTCTCTAAGTGTGGGGATGCAGCCACTAATTTTGAACACGCATCCCTTGGAGGGGCTACCAGTTGTTCCGACACTGCAAATGTTGTCGTTTGTGTTTCCGAGAGCCTGCCAAGCAACAAGGCCCAGGATGCCTTGAGAAGATGAGGTTGAAGCAACGCTTCACCATTATCCGTCCATTTTGCTTCCAATTCTTTACCCAAAGGAAGGGAAATAGTATGACGACCATGATATGAATCCATGGCGATGGTGGACTTGGAAGTATCCCAAAAAGTTAAGCTTGCTCCCGAGATATGAGGGTTTCTTCACAGTAATGAATACATGGAATGTTGGTACTTCGGCCCAAATGACTTCCCACGATATATCTTAAAAAATGGCCAAGAATGGGTTGTCAGCTACAAGAATGTCGTTATAGCTGCCAAGGTGAGGCTGGCCACCAATGATTCATAGTGCGTGGCTACACCTGCAACAATCCCCACTAGTCCTTGCATATATCAACACCATGCGCTCGCCCAGATCAACGCGATACGACCATGCATGTTGGTCCTTGCTGATCAACATTGGACCCACACGTACTTTGTACATGTATGATTCTGGCCACTCGGTGATGTCGCCCTGGATTGTCAGCCGCACTTGTGGGAGCTCGAATTAGATCATCTCTATCACTGGACGTACCTATTTTGGAAATTGCAGTCATGCTGTCGATTACAAATTGAATTCAAACTCGTCATTTAAATCCTCCATTTGTTACTTCTGCTTCTTTCTAACGTCAGCTCCACATGATGTCGGTTTATGTTCTTCTTACGCTGCAGTTGGCAGCTGTATCAGTTCTAGCCACACTATGGCACGCCTTTCAACCAAATACTTGGTCCAATCGAGTTGTTTCATATGTAATCAATGTCGGTAATACCCCGAAAAAATATCAATAGAACACTGCTGACGTTCATTCTTGTATCGATGTAGAGATTCTTGCTCTGGTGGTATCCAATTTATTCGACAGATGGCTCAACGCCCATCCCAACTTGTCCCTACCGATTTCCAGATGGCGGGGGTAGTGTCAAGTTCCTAGAGGGAGAGAATGTCTCTCGTCGGTGGGCCGAGACATACGGCCCGGTGTATCGCATCTGGGTTGGCCTCACGCCGGAAATGCAAGTTCCCTCTCCTAAGATGAACTACCCAGGCTAAACGAAAGAATAGCATTTTGACCCGCGCGGATGAGATAAAGACGGTCTTTAAAGACTCTGGTAGCCATCACAAGGCATCAAACCTGAATGGTGGATGGGTGATGGGCGACCTTGTGGGTGATGGGGTCGGTCTCATCAGTCAAGGACACTGGAAACGAGTCCATGCTGTAGTTTCACCACCATTTACCCAGAAGCCTACGACATATGTTTCCTTTGTGCAATCCCGCATTTCTCGCCATTTCTCCGAGCTATACAAGGAGTATGAAGGCGGGAAAACACTGCGAATCAAGCCCGCCGAGGATCTCAAACTTCTGCCCTTCTGGGTCATTAGCGATCTCTTATATGGAAACTTGTCCCCCGAGATGACAGAGGAACTCTTGCACATCACCGATATGCGCACTGATGTGTTTCAATATGCCTTCAAGGGTGGATTATCACTGTTCTCCATCAGCAAGATATTCTACCCAGCCATAAGGAACAAGCTGCACATCTTCCACACTCGTTGGGCTAATTTCAATCGGAAAGCGTATCAATATGCAATGAACCGTGACGATGCCTCTTCTTGTGCTATTGTTACCTTGTATCAGGCCGTCGAACAAGGTCAGATTACACCTACCGAGCTGATGCATACATTGGACGAAGCATTGTTTGCCAACATCGACGTGACAATTGGCAGCTTCTCCTGGATCCCACAATTTCTGGCTGAGAATGCCGGTCTACAGACCGAGCTTAGAGACGAGATATCACAAGCCAGATGCGACACAACTCCAGAGTCCTGGGTCAAATATATTGCCAGCAACTCGACTCTGCTGGCGAGCTGTATCAATGAATCTGCGAGGCTGAAGCCAGTCACCAACTACACCTACGCGCAATCGATGCCCACTGACCGTGACGTGGGTGGATACCGCATTCCCCGTGGCACCTTCATGGTGGTTGACACCAATGCGTTGAATATCTGGGATGACGCCTGGGGCTCTGATAAAATGACCTTCCGGCCCCAGCGGTTCCTGGAGGAATCAAGGGCCAGCTTTCGATATCGCTTTTGGCGTTTTGGCTTTGGGCCCCGCCAGTGTATTGCGCAGGCGTTGGCAGACACGATCCTCAAGGTCCTGGTTGCGTACACTGTCGAGAATTATGAGTTGAAATCCGCTGGAAAGTCTGCTGTGAATGAGGAGGACGCCCAGAAACGAGGCGAAGCGTGGTTCAAGGTTGCTGAGCAGGAGATTATCTTGGAACCGCTATAGTATATGTTGTCCTTTCTATTTGAGTAGGCTAGAATTGGATTTGCCTAGTCGAAACACTACAGACATTAATTGTTTGAACTCATTTTGCTCAGGCTTCTGCATCCTAACTGGGAATCTTGTCACTGTATTTCGCCGATCATATACGCTTCTAAGCAATGGGGTTTCCACCTGGCCTTCAGATCAAGTATGTAAGGCAAATCCCTTAGTACCAGTTGAATGGACACGAAGAAGTAGCGGTATCTCATAAGACTTGTCTATGTCGAAATTTCGAGGTGCTACATATGTACTATTCACTGGCTGGACCAAGTGGTACTCGATTTACGAGACATCGATGCAGCCCACACGTAACCTTCGCGTGATCGTGATCTTGAGGCAAATCCCGATCTCTCGTCTCTCGGTTTGGCTGACGCACAGACGATCGTAAGACCAAAATCCGGGTGCAATCCCTGCAAACCATAGTAAAATCGGGAATGAGACCGATAGACAATCGATAGTCCATATCCCATTCCCTGCACGCCCTAATTCTGCATGATTTGCAACTAGTACTTTGTACTAGTGGATATCGATGTTAGCCTAAGGTTATTGTGAGCCAATCAGCGGACACGAGGCCTAGGAGAGTTTTTTTCGCAGATCCCTATCCCGGATATTTTCTCCATGCACTCGAGGCTGAAATGCACTGCCAAGGGCCACACACATCAAATACGAGGTAGCATCGGATTCTCTGCAGCCATTTCTTTTATTGAAAATAATCGCCGTGGCAAATCTTCCTTGCATCAGGCCCGATCCGTGATATCCGTACGGATGGATGGATTACATGTAGGGCTCTCGGTCCTTGTCGGGCTCTCCGGGTGTTTGACTACGTTGAAACTATCCATGGATAACATTTTCTCGCATTCCTACCTCACATTATGGAGTACATGGCGCATTGCATGCAACTATCCGACATGACTCTTTTCATCAAAGGCAACTCGTCCGGAGCTATTCTTGGCTATTAGGCTATTTCCTAAATAGGTTTGGTTCAACCCCAGCTGAAAGCTATTCCCGCAGCCATGCGTTGCAGCATTTTCAGGCCCCTTTGCTTGAAAGCCACCTGTACATCACCGGTAACAGTTGGTCGGGATTTATTCCGCGACCTCATTCTGCAGTGGTGTGCTGGCGTGCTAGATTTCAGGTTCAATAATACCTTAATGCCTAGAGCAAGCAGCGCATCGACACCGCAAGGTGTTTGGAACGCAATGGTCAATGCGTGAAGCAAGTTATGTTCAAGACAAGCGCAGGTAGAGGAATGTAGGGCAAGCCTTCCATCTAGCCCACAATCGCCAGGTAGCATGTGGTAACTATGCTTCAAGCCTCTGTAGTGAGGACCGGCGGTCAAGCGGCCGTAAAGATGGATTATATCGTGCTTGTTGTAGATACTACGGAGTAGTCCGAAGCCACAAAACTAACACTGTAATCAAGCGCATTACGATGACTGTCACACACGGCATTGGTCCCAATGGAGTTGCGGTACCCGGTTCTAGTGGAATCCAAGTGATTATCGTCGGGCTTGGGATTGCTGGTCTGGTCGCGGCTATTGAGTGCCACTACAAGGGACATGTGGTAATTGGCCTTGAGAGAAGTCCCGGGATTAGAGTACTGGGTAAGCTCTGCGATATCCAGTCCAATGTACGTGGCTGGTTTATTACTGAAGCAGGAGATAGCATCGCCCTGGGAAGCAATGCTACAAAAGTTCTACAAAGTTGGAACAACGGCGAAGTTTTGCGCCAATTGGTCTTCCAATCCGATGATGTGGCCGCCATGGAGATTCTAGACCCTGCGGGTAAGCCGTATGCCTTGGATTTCATGGATGGGTATGGCCTAGGAGAGGGTATAATTATCCACCGCGGAACATTGGTCCATGGACTATACGAACATGCCAAGTCCCTGGGCGTTGATTTGCGCTTTGGCTCAGCCGTCACCGAATATTGGGAGGACAAAGGTCAAGCTGGAGTGACTGTCAATGGCAACCAACGGATCGCGGCCGACTGCGTCGTTGGTGTGGACGGTGTGCATAGCAAGACACGAGATTATGTGCTTGGATACCAGATTGCTCCCCAACCCTCCGGGCTAGCTGTGTACCGGGCATGCTTCAGTGCCAGCTTACTTGGGGGTGATCCCGAGGCTCCATGGATCCTGGAAGAGGCGGGCGTGCAGGACCGGATGCGAAGGTACATAACGACCGGGGGCCTTGGGTTGACTTTGGCAAATGGAAAACGCGGCCAGAATGTGATTTGGCAGGTCTGGCACCGGGTCTGTATTACTCGCAACTTCCAGCACCAGAATGAAAACTGACTTGGGGTTGGAAACATTAGAACCACGAGAAGGCTAACGAAACCTGGGAAAATATCACCGATGCCCGCGTTGAGGATGCACTTGCCCTACTTAAGGACTGGCCCACTTACTCCTAATTGGCTGCCGTTCTGCGGCACACATGCAGCGATAAGTTCGCGGACTACAAGATCATCTCTCGTGATCCTCTGCCGACCTGGAGTTCTCGTGGTGGGCGCATTATGGCTATCGGCGATGCAGCTCACGCAATGTCCGCGATTGCGGGCCAGGGCAGTCGTCAGTCTGTTGAGGATGCGACTACGTTTGCCATTTGTCTGGAGCTGGCGGGTAAAAGCCGAGTGAAACTGGCCCTCCAAGTGGTGGAGAAAATCCGATACCAGCGCACCAGCATTATCCAGGACAGTGGCAATACAATTTATAGTCAGATGCGCGATCCGGACTGGGAGGCTATTGAGAAGAATCCGTCGATGATGAAGTTCCCACGCCCTGACTGGATCTTTGAATTAAAATAATAGCTTGTTTGCAGAATCCTGAATTGTTAGCAAACCATGCTTGCACAGAGACAGGAGAAACAGTCGCTCCCTATCTTAATCATCTTCAGCACACAAAGAGAAAAAATAAGCAACTGATATCGCACAACTCTTGAAGGTTTCAAAGGCACTATCTGAAGCAAAGTAGACCTCCATAGGGCATTGGACTTTCTCCATTCTGGCTAGCTGGGACTTCCTAAATTACATACAAACAACTTGACTGTTACCATGTAGTCCTCTAGTGATAGTACATGGTGAGATACGGTCCTTTCTTCTTGGTGTATGAAAAGGACAACCATGCCTGATGATCCGTTGCGACAGCCAAGTCCTTGCCGGGGCTGATATGACACGAGTCAGGTTAGCAAGAAACGTTCCACGTGTTTGTGTTTAGAGAAGGAACTTACTAGTATGTCTGCAGATTATCGCGATAGACTGCGGCCTGGTCCGGCATGTCGTAGCGTTCGAAGAACGCAGTGAGCACATTGGCAATTTTCAGCTCGGAAATGCCGACCAAGGGGAAGTAGAATTTGGGCTTGGGCAATGCCTCGCCGGGATTCATCTCATAGTTCATGATGAAGGGAACAATGGTGTCAGGATCTCCAGGCAGCGATGGCCGCTCCGGCTCATTCCGCATACCTTCGATAATCCCAAACTCTACCCACAGCTCCCGCAGTATTTTCAGTCCAAGCAAGGTCTCTTCGTCATTAAGCTTGCCGCCCATTGTCCAGTGTTCCTCGACCTTTGCCAACCTCATGTCTAGCTCCATCAGGTAAAGCTTGATCCGAGTTTCTGCTGGATCGACGAGATCGCAGGACAAAAAGTAGAGATCTGTCTGGCTCTGAGTTTGCATATAAGTCTCAATGACATTGCTGGAGGCTTCGAAAACTCCTTGCTTGTCCATTTTCCGAATAGCAGAAAAGCACAAATTGACCACGCTTTGCTTCGTCACGGAAGCTTTAAGTGCCGGGTAGAAATACTCCTTGACCGTGATGCCGGTCTGTCCCAAATCCAAAGCAAGCAGAATTTGCGTCTTCCACGCTGTTCCCGAGATTTGCTCAGGGGACATGAGCCTTTCTTCGCGGTCCGTCAAAGTCAACTCGTTGACAAGCATTTGATGCAGCTCCATGTCCACGGTGGCAGACCCGATAGCCCTCAACTCGGCCAGGGTAGCGTGTACCGTGTGCCGGTTGAGCGGGTCGACTCCGGTGCTAGCAATGTAGCTTGTGGGCTCGAACGCAACCCGTGCAGTCAGTCCTAATTTCTGGACATTCTGACTGAGTTCTACGGAGCCGGTGCCACCGAGCAGACATTTGTATATGTCTCTCCCGCCCGGGAATGGTCCCAGTTTCGGGATTATGACGTGCGCGAAAAGACACAGATATTCATATTGCTGGTGGATGCTGTAGTTGCCGTTGGAGAGCATTCTCCCCAGCATTGGTCCGACGGCATGCCAGTACTGGTATTGGTCCAGATTGGCAAAAGTCATCGACTTGCTGAGTGTGCGATGAGTCATATCTGCCGCTTCTGCGACCGCTGGCACAGAGGACTTGAGAGGCTGAATAGTGGAAGAGACTGTCATTGTGGTATGATGGTATGGATGGTTGTCCAGAAAGGAGATGAGTTGGAGATGTTGAGTGTTGTCCAAAGGTCGTTCATCGAAATGCAAGTTGTGCGCCCTGTATTCCACACCAGTGCCAATAGCTCATGGTTCTATTTTCCGCCAGGACCAGAGGACGTGTCTCATGCAGTGGCGGTAAAAGTTCCGCTTGGTATGTGTTGTAGCTGAATAGTTTCCGTGACCTCGTGCTCCGTACGGAGTACTGCGTTGGTATGTACCGAGTAGACAGGTCACATTATGCAAGGGACTTCTACGTGTACTCCGCAGGGTTCCATCTGTTGCCACATGACTGGGCACGTCTGGGCAAATGCCAAGGCAGGTTGCCGTTTTACTTTTGGGGAAGCTGAGGCAAAGGCCAAGATATGCCAAGGAAAATCCATGCGCCCTCAAGGCCGCTAGTGGTTTGTTGGTGGTGGAAATAAGAGAAAAGAAAGCAAAGAAAAACAAAACAAAACAGCCTGTCTCGCTGGCACTTCAACCCAGCGCGCCCCACGACGGCCCCTCCGACAAGAGCCCTCATGGTTTGGCTGTAACAAGATAGGGGGGGGGGGGGGGGGGAGACCAGGGTGTCGATGGAAGCCTGGAAGTGGTAAATGAACCCGGTTCTATGCGAAACAATTACTTTGTATGAGTTCGTTGATGATTGAAAGCTGGGGTTCAAGATGTAGCTATCAATTATTGTCACTGCTGATGTCTAGACAGACACTGGGAGTCTCCGATGCTTATTTGACACCGTATGCTAGCATATGTACATATCCATGGATGGTTCAAATTTGTGTCTTTTAGGTGACACGTGAAATCAAGACTAGAGACGACCCCAAGCTATCGTTTTGTTCTGCTATGTACCCAAATCACATCTATACTCAACTCCTACTGTCCTCGTTAGGAGTAGTATTCCTCGGTTTCTTGACGGACTTCCATTCCAACGCGATCGTTCCAATGAAGGAAAGCGATGCTAAAGCCACGCCCACATAAAAGGCCTGGATAATGGCGGAATTGTAGGATCTTAGAACGGCTGGCAGCTGTTCCGCTGGAAGATGCTTGCGCAAGGTCGTTGTGCCAGCCGAGAGAACTGTGGCTACATCCACCGAGGGATCTTCCAAGTGCATGGCGTGAGCAAACTGGTTCTGGAAGATATTTTGAGCCACAGAAATAAAGATTGCACCTCCCAGGGTCTGGGCAAGTGTTATTACTGCTGTGCCGGTAGGGACGTCGCCGTCGGGTAGCACATTCTGCACCACTATAAACGGCGGTTGCATTCCGAGACCAACACCGATTCCCATTAGAATCTGGTAGCCAATCCATTCGCCACTCCCCGAGTCTGTCTTCAGGGTACTGAGTAGACCGCCGCCAATCGCTAACGTGACGGAGGCCATGATCATGACGGGGTTGTAGTAACCGGACATGGTGACTAGGACACCGGATAGAATAGAGATGGCCACGACTGCGATGGTACTTGGCAGGTTCATCACGCCTGACTTGGAGGCTGAGGCCCCCTTGATTGCCTGGAACCAAATTGGAAGCGAGAAAGTTAGCTTTAGCAAACACGGAGCTGCCGTGGACTCAACATACGTAGTAAATGAAGACAAAGTAAGCACCACAGAGTGTGATGGCAAACCACGCCGATGACCAGATGTTTCGATTCCGAACGATACGCGGTGGAAGTGTGGCCTTCTCATTCTGGCGGATCTGAACACCCACGACGATGAGCAGGAGAACACCAGTGAGCACGAAAAGAACGATGATCCGGGGGCTATTCCAAGAGTATTGGGTGCCACCCCACTGGAGGGCTAGAAGAAGACAGACGATGGCAGGTAGGAAAAAGAACGACCCGATGAGATCTAGTTCGCTCAGTAGTTTGCGTAGTTCTGGGCGCTTCTTGATTGGCGCGGGAGCATGGAAGAAAAATAGGACGATGAGAGCTGTGACGGCACCGATGGGCAAGTTGATGTAGAAGCACCAACGCCAGGACACACGATCTGTCAATGCGCCTCCCAGTCTCATCGAGTTAGAAGACATCAAAAGCAAGAGGAAGAACGGAGTTCAGCTCACAGAGGACCAGCGACACTGGCAATGCCGTACATACTACCAAGTAAGGCCGTGAAGACTGGGCGACGATGCAAAGGCACAGTCTGAGCGATGATCAAGAGACTCCCGGAGAAGAGACCTCCAGCGCCCAGACCAGCAATGCATAGACCCAGAATGAGACCAACTGAGGTGGGAGTAACTCCACAGACAAGAGAGCCGACTTCGAATATAAAAAGGGCGGATAGGTATACCCATTTTGTGGAGTAGAATGTGTAGAATTTGCCAAAGGCGAGAGTAGTGGCGCAGTTTGTAAGGAGATAGGAACTGCCGTACCAGCCAATGTCGTCTAGAGAGTCAAACTGATCAATGATACGAGGAATTGCGGTCGCGATGATTGTGAGATCCTGGGCAAGTCAGCTTTCGTGGGACGTTCTTTTAGCGCTGCTGCTGTCTACAGCATTTCACTTACCAATGACATGCAAAAGATGCCTAGACAGAGGGCAATATTGAGAGAGACCACCGTCCAGGTGCTTACCGGAGGGTGAGATAGCGATCCCCCTTCATCGGGTATGTCACTTGGAATTTCCTGGGATGGAGGATCAGTTGCTGTCTTCTTCTCCATTGATGTAGGTTGGACGAAATCGATGCTCGACAGAGGACTAGAAGATGGAGAACATGCGGCTTTTCATAATACTATATTTCTTGTTTGGTATTCTGGGAAGGGAAAAGGGGAGATCAAAACATTGCCCTAAGATTGTGGCATAGCCAATGGGGCTATAATTTCAAGAATGCATCGCCATTCTGGGATCTTGTCAATAACTGGGCTGGCCAGCAGCCACTATTTACGGTCCCCTAATGGCTTGGGTTACCTTATGAATGCATCATTCCAAGGTTGTAAGGGAGGGGCGAGTTAGTTCTTTCCAAGGTTGTGTGCCAAAGACATAGCTCGAAAGTGGCGAGCTATTGAGTTGGCAAGAACGCCAAGATCGCAGGCTACCCAGCTTGATTCTATGTTACCAGAGGCCATTTTTGGGTCCCAGGATTTCAGTGTAAAATATGCAGTATGCAGTGCAATACTTTTGCAATAGAACTATCATCATGCATATGTAGAACTTGTACGGAGTAAGCCATAGGCTAGATAAGATTTCAAAGATCTGTTAGATTTACTTCACCCTTGCCACACCCTTGATTTATTAAGAACATGCATATTCTCCAGGGCTAGTATCAATTGAAATAATCTTTTAAATTGATGAGCTAATATCAGATGATACTGATGTTTATTTTAACCTTAAATAAACCTCGGGAGTCCAGGACCAGCTTCCATGGATCGATCCATTGCACTGGCCTCCCGAGGTCCCCCGCCCGGTGCCCAAGGCCTATCGCCTTCCCTGTCCCTTTTACCACAACACATTGGAACCTTGGAAGAACCCTCTCCACTCTTTAAAGATGTCACCTGATGAGGCTAAGCTGACAGTACCCCGCTTGACCCTGACTCTGGTTTTAGGTAGTGTTGTGGATGCTTCAACACCACCCGGGGTATCAATCACCCGACGTCTAGATGGCCATCCCGGACTTGGTTCGTGATTCCAAGCTGGAAACATATTACCTACCCGATTGCACTGTCGAAACCGTCCATAGATATCATGAACCTGACCCCAAATCAAGGCGCCGGCTTGTTACCAGGGAAGAGCATTGGCGGCGAGGAAAGAAAGTCGGAAGGGGTGCGTACGGAAGCGTATGGCTGGAAAGATGCACACAGGGCGCTCGATCGGATAGGAAAATTCGAGCTGTGAAACAAATTGATATCAGTGGGCGATTTGGCGCCATTGATTACAATCGTGAGCTCGAGGCTATCGCCAAATTCTCGCAGTCGAGGGTTCGTCACATAAACAGTCTATCTGTGGATGCTTCCTTCAAGTTCGCCTTCGCTGATATAGGCGTGGTAGTATGAACGATGCTTCGTCAAGTCATTAGGCTGGTATGACAGCCCGGAATATCTTTTCATCGCAATGGAATACCTTGAGGTAGGCGATCTCTCGGAATATCTGCGGAAGATGCCACCATTGCCAGAGGCGCAGGCCCAGGAGATCACCTATCAAATTCTGGATGGTCTTAATATGATGCATGATAATGACTTTGCTCATCGAGATTTAAAACCAAACGTTGGTCTGCTTTTCCTGGGTGATTATAATCACAATCTAATATCTCCGCAGAACATTTTAATACAATCACACCCACCAGATGAATGGTGGATCAAGATCTCCGACTTTGGTATCAGCAAACGTGTAGAAGAAGCCCCTGGCGCTTCTACAACCCTACGTGGAACATCGGACTATATAGCCCCCGAGCTGTACGGCTTGATTGAGCGCGGGACCCCCTTTGCCTCAGATATCTGGGCCCTTGGTCAGATTGTGTTTCAGCTCCTTACCAATGAAATGGCATTCGAGGACCTGGGAGCTCTTTTCAAATATGCGACGCAGGCCAATCAATTCCCCACTGGCCGTCTTTCAAAATTTAGTGCGCTAGGTGTTGAGTTTATCACCTCACTTATGTGTCCTATCCCAAAAGACCGAATGACGGCTCCTGTGGCTATTTCGCACACATGGATAGAGTCAAAACCGGACCCTTCTGATTATGAACCTAACATCTCTCCGTGCACGCAAGACGTAGCTACAATAACTTCAATGACAGAAACCTTTGCGTCATGGAATACAAACTCATCTTATCCAGCGCCAGAGATTGTTGATGATGGTGAGTGAGAAATACTACTAATTAACCCGACGCGCCAATTCACTACGCTTTACTAACGGTATCATATGCAGCCCCAAGCAACAAGATCAACTTCCATGGTGTCGATATCCGACTATGGCGAACTTTTCGCATCCGGGACGTCTCTGATGTGAATCGTATGATAGCTTTTTCGCCCAATGGTGAATCGCTCGTCATCCCGAGTGGCATACACGCCAGGATTTGGAATACTTCAGACGGAACCGAAGTTCGCCCCTCAATCCTTCAAAATGAAGACATCCGTGTTGCTGCCTTTTCCCCGGATGGCAAATATATAGCGACAGGTGGGACGAGGCTGACGACCTGGAATGTCCCTCAGGGGCTAAAGCACCCTCACCATCATCTCAATGGGAAGCAGAATGCTCAATATGTTGCGTTCTCACCAGACAGCAGCTTTGTGGCTTGTTCGTCTACCACTAAAATCGAGGTTTGGAATATTCAGTCAGAGAAAAAGCTGTTCACATTCAGACATGCAGCTGCTAGGAGAGTGCCCCTGGCCTTTGCTCCTGTTGGCAAACGACTTATTTATTATACGTCTCGTGATTCTCGAGTGTGGACCAAAGATCTGATTACCGGGGACCTTTTCATTTCCGCAATCCCACCAGCTCTCCCAAAATGGGGTACACCAAATTTTTCCCCAGATGGAAGATACCTAGCATTCTCCTACGGGTCTGGTATTTGTGTTTTGGATATGACGAAAACGACCCCGAAAGTTGCCTCTCCTGTTGTGCGAACAAAATTCTTCGGTCTATATTCTCACGAGGTGAACGTGGTTGATGTGGAATCTCCAAATCATTGGTTCGAAGTTGAACTAAATTGCCATAAAGTCGGTCCTTTAGCTTTTTCTCCAAGCGGAAATGTTCTAGCGACCTGCGTGTACCCCAGAGAAAACCCGTCGGGAAAGGGGACCTGGACAATTGTTCTCTGGGATGTTGTTGAATCCGGAAACGGGACTTTCAAACTCAAGGAGATTCACAGAGTGGGTGAATTTCCTGGTGGCTACGTCTATGACGATCACCGATACTTGGTATTTTCCCCCGATGGAAACTTGTTGGCATGCTCTTCCCTCAATGATAGAAGGGTTAGGGTCTGGAGAGCTGATACAAGAAAGGAAATGCCAAATGATTAGTGTGGTTATGCAAGGGCAAATAGAAGTTTTCTTTCCCCCCAGCTTAGACACGCTCTTATTCTAGTTGTTTGTCACAAACACAAACACATATATTCTATCCTATTTTCTACCAGGATATTCTGTTGAATTAGACCTACATATTGAGTCAGACGCACATACTATTTAGTCGCATCGTTACCTTTGCCGATAATGTGTTAGAGATCGATCTTCCATGAAATTTGGGGTGTAAAAACATACCTTCTCAATATACCTCACACCTACTTCAATGCCATCAGCATCTTCAAAATCAATCTTCTCTCCGAAATCGACATTATTAGCGTCCAAGCATGTCAAACAAGTGACAACAACGTCGGAGTATCTGGTCCCCATTCGCTTCCGTAGTTCACCCTGCGCCAAGAAGAGGAGATGCTTTTGGAAATATAACCCTCGACCCGCTCCCAGAATAGGAGCGCGAGTAGGGGTTGGATCATTTCCATTGCTTGCCGGAGTCAACTCATCGTATGACATGAAAGATTCCCACAATCCCAGCTCTAATAGACATACACCAAGACTGTAGATATCGTGCTGCATAATATAATCTTTCGAGATGGTTCCTATGCGGTCGGAATGTTGGTAAAGGCATCGTTCCCAGGAAGCTTCGCCTTTGCGCAAAGTTCTGCCAGAGGCCATGCGAAAGCTGTCAAATCCAATCAGGAAGGCAGATCCAATCGAGGACTCATCACTTCCCAAAAGTAAGATTGTCTCTGGTCGGATGTTCTTGTGGACAAATCCAAACAAGTGAACAGAATGCACTGCTTTCGCAAGCTCGTTCGCTAACTTGAACCGGTCGGAGAGTGAGTGGGTATGGTTCGTATCCTGGAAACAACCTCGGAGAGAGCGAGGTTGAAGATGTTGTGTTGGCATTCGGAAGATGATGGTAAATGCATCTGGTAGAGATTGAGAAGAGCCGGGCTTGTGATGTTGGATATATCCTTTACAGCTAAGGAGACCGAATTCGATGGCATCGGACCCAGTCAGCCGTCTAGCGAGATCTCGTATATCTTTCTTCATGTCCCCGATATTGGCCCCTGGAAGAGGTTCGATTCGTTCCACAATAAGCGATTGACCATTTTCTGGCCTCCGGCCCACCTGCGCTGAGCAAAATTGTATTTCTTGTGGGTTAATGGAAATGAGAGTCTCCGCTGGGAGGAGGACCGATGGTGCGTTCGCCTCTGTCGACTTCAGGGCTGTCCTGAGGGACTGCGCAGGAGGTATGGGGTCTTGAAAATCTATGGCAGAAGATATTCGGTTTTTTCTTAGGCCATAATCGATTCGATCGCCTGCGAGCCTCATAATCAGATACCACGATGGGTCAAATAGTGACTGCCATTCTTTGAGATCCTCAACGGTCCGGTCAATCTTTTCCTTCGTGAGCGCATACTTCCACCGACGTACGCCCAGCTCTTGGTCCCCGACAGGATAACTCTTGATGGTGGACTCAATATTGTTGATAGCAATCTCCAACTTAGCGCCGAGCATTGCAATCGTCTCATGTTGAATCCTCTGATGCTTCTCACTGAGCTCATGGGCAATACCCCGCACCACATTCAGCTGGAGTTCCGTCCTCATCCAGTAAGTTTTCACGCGCAGGAGCCTCTCTGCAATGTCACCTTTGGCGTGTGCAAATGCAGCGCATAAGTGAACCAGTTTCGTGCCATATCTGACATGTGGTCAGTTTGAATAGTGCTGTTGTGATCTTTAACTCACTTGATGCAGATGTCTACCGCCGAAATAATCGAAATGGGATCCACCATATTGAACAAAGTCCCTGAAATCTTTATAGAAACTCGTATAAGGTGGGATAATAAGTATGGTCTCCCGAATGCGGGGGCTGATGCCCGTCGGATGTGGATACGATGATTACGAGGGGCTGTCGGGGGCCATCAAGATGAAAGATGACTGCATGTGGGTCGTTTCCCGGGCAAAAGTTCAGTCTACTCCTGCACTTCATGATGATGTACGAGCGTACTTTAAACTTTGATGAAGGATCTAGATTGATTGGGGATATCAATGTTACTACACGGAGAAAGTCATAATTACCGCCCTTCGGGCGTGTTGTTGGGGGTCTTTTGGTGGCGTTTTTGTATATTTCACTTAGTAAATAATTTTGACAGTTTTTTGGTTTTTACATCTAAAGAACTTCATAGAGCCAAGGTGATAAAGATTGCTCAATTTATGTGTTGTCGTGACAGATTGAGAATTCGTCGCACAGTTATATATATCTTTGGTGGACAATATGTGGGCCACACCTCTCGGAATCAAGAGTTCAACTGTGCTCTCCGTGAACAGGGCTCTCCCAAGGGTAAAGAACCAGCTAAACATGTACGAGTACGTTGATTGACTCCATGACTACATACGTACATCTGTTACTTCGGGTCTCTTATACTCTGTTCTATAAGCTCGTCATAACCCATGATACCAGACCAATGATTGGCTGGCAGATGAGGTCCATCTTGGGTCTCTAGAATATGTGAAGACAGATTATACAGCAAATACGCGCAATATTCCTTCTGCAGCCTGTGCTTACCGACTCCAAAGTACTCTCCAGCGCTAGGTACTCGTGGAGCGATGCATATATTTATATATTTTATTGCAATTCAATGAGAGCAGCCATAGAGAAGAGGCAGGACAAAACCAAGAGACATAGAGACATATAAAGAGCTCACAACTAACCAAAAAAAGGCAACTCAATTAATGAAAGTTGAAGCCGTAGTTATAGTTCGGCAGGGCTGTACCTTGAAGGGGCTCGGAGCGGAACAACCACCACCGAGATAATTACCAAATGCGGACTAGTGTTTCTTTCGGGGTCTCTGCGATAGCCCGCGTCCTCTGTTCTGCTCTCGTGAATATCGCGCCGCATACAAATCCCCAACTTTCTCCCCATCTCCCTCAACCTCTCCTCCCCGCGGGGTAATTCGATTCACTCATTTGCTGTCCGGACTTGATTTATTTCAATGGATTAGGCAGTTTATTTTCCTGGAAGAGCAAATGACTTGATGCTTTCCTTCGTTTTAAGTTCTACCGTCTCCGATCTTTTCGCATATCGACCGAGTCCACAGAGCTTCCGTGACTCCACAACGCAACATATGAGAGCCCAATTCCCCCCGGGAAGACTGCGCACACTCCGCTCTCCTCAGCCGGCCTCTTGGCCCGGCCGTCATTGCTGTTTCTTTCCAATTAGTCGTCAGCCCTTGAGAAGGGTCGGACCAAAGCGATGGAGCGAAACATAGATATCTACGCCAGCAAGCTCGGCGACGAGAAGCTGGGTATGTTGATGAAATCTGCACCAAATAGAGCTGTTGTACCGTCCCTGTGCTAATTACCTCGTTATCTCAATAGACGTCAAAGTCCGAGCCAATGTCGCTACCGAATTACGAGACAGCATTGAGCCCCTATGCTCAGGCGCAAGCTACCCCATATTCCTAGCGAAGCTATGGCCGGTATTCAAAACTATTTTGAAGGGAGACCCGGTCTTTTTCAGCATGTCTTACGACCAGGTGAGATTCTTTGGCACAAGCTTGCCCTCGGTGAATGTTGCGCATAATGGGCTAACCACTCTGGTCATCGATTAGAAATTACGAAACTGTATCCTCGAGACACTACACCGATTACCGATGGGCTCACCCGACGTGGAGCCGTACGCCGTCGATATGGTCGATCTGTTGATGGAACTCGCGCGGATCGAGAACGAAGATAATGCGGTGCTATGCATGAAGACAATCATGGATTTGGAGAGGAACCAAGCCAAGGCCACCGCACACCGGGTGCAGGCTTTCTTGGAGCTTATCCAGGAAATGTTTCAGACTATGGAGCAAGTGGTTCGGGATACCTTCGACACTCCCAACCAGGCCACACCCTCGGGAATGCCATCGACGCCCAACGCAACATCACAGAACTTCCAGTCTCCTCGACCAAGCTCGCCTGCCACCTCGGTGTCAGATCTAGGACCTGATCAGCAGTCGAGCAATGTTCTCCTCAAGGGCATGCAATCTTTCAAGGTCCTCGCAGAGTGCCCGATTATCGTCGTTTCAATATTCCAGACACACCGCGCGTCGGTGCCGGCCAACGTCAAGCTGTTCGTGCCGCTCATCAAAACGATTTTGCTGCTTCAGGCGAAGCCACAGGAAAAGGCACACGCAGAAGCAGCAGCCCAAGGCACAATATTTACGGGTGTGTGCAAGGAAATCAAAAATCGCGCTGCATTTGGAGAGTTCATTACGGCCCAGGTGAAGACCATGAGCTTCTTGGCATATCTGTTGCGTCTCTATGCCCATCAGCTACAGGACTTCCTTCCCACGCTTCCTTCTGTCGTCGTGCGTCTCCTTCAAGATTGTCCACGAGAGAAGTCAGGTGCAAGGAAGGAGTTGCTGGTAGCCATTCGTCATATCATCAACTTTAACTACCGCAAGATCTTCCTTGAGAAGATTGATGAGCTTTTAGACGAGCGGACTCTCATCGGAGATGGCCTTACTGTCTATGAGACTATGAGACCATTGGCTTACAGCATGTTGGCTGATTTAATACACCATGTCCGTGACCATCTAAGTCGCGACCAGATACGGCGAACGGTCGAAGTCTATACCAAAAACCTCCACGACGATTTCCCTGGCACCAGCTTCCAGACAATGAGTGCAAAGCTTCTTTTGAACATGGCAGAGAATATCTCCAAACTAGAAGACAAGCGTGAGGCGCGGTATTTCTTAATCATGATTTTAGATGCTATTGGTGACAAATTCGCATCGATGAACCACCAGTTCAAGAACGCTGTCAAGGTTTCCAGGGCGTATAAAGTTTTCCGACAGGACACTGAGCCGTGCGCCGAGAACTACCTCGCTGAGAAGGATCAGCCACCGGACTGGGATGAGATTGACATTTTCTCGGCTTCTCCTATCAAGACATCTAGTCCGCGTGATCGTGGAGGTGACCCAGTTGGCGACAACATCTTCCTCTTCCGAAACTTGATCAATGGGTTAAAGAATATCTTCCGGCAATTGAAGAATTGTAACCCAGATGATGTTCAAATCGACCCGAACAGTGTTCCCATCAACTGGTCGGAGGTTTCGTACGGTTACAATGCAGAGGAAGTTAGTGTGATCAAGAAGCTCTTCCACGAGGGAGCTCGTGTGTTCCGCTACTATGGGGTCGACCAGTCTCCTCCTGAGATGAATTACGCATCTCCATTTGACTTCCTTGCAAGTCAGTACACTGCGCCAATGTCGCGTGAAGAAAAGGAGCTTCTGGAAAGTTTTGGCACTGTTTTCCACTGCATTGATACCGCAACCTTCCACGAAGTCTTCCATTCCGAAATCCCGTACCTACACGAGCTCATGTTTGAACATGGGGCTCTCCTTCACCTGCCCCAGTTCTTCCTGGCTAGCGAGGCCACTTCCCCCGCGTTCTCTGGTATGGTCTTGCAGTATCTTATGGAACGCATTGATGAGGTCGGGACGTCAGATATGACGAAGGCAAAGATACTCCTGAGGATGTTTAAGCTTTCCTTCATGGCCGTGACCCTGTTTTCTGTGCAAAATGAGCAGGTCCTCCACCCGCATGTGACAAAGATCGTAACCAAGTGCATTGAGCTTTCAGTCACAGCCGAGGAACCTATGAACTACTTCCTTCTTCTGAGGTCTCTTTTCCGAAGCATTGGTGGGGGACGATTCGAGCTCCTGTACAAAGAGATCCTCCCGCTTTTAGAGATGCTTCTCGAAACGTTCAATAACCTATTACTTGCAGCTCGCAAGCCGCAAGAACGGGATCTCTATGTGGAACTCACCCTCACCGTTCCTGCCCGGCTCAGCCATCTCCTCCCTCATCTCAGCTATTTAATGCGTCCAATCGTGGTCGCCTTGCGTGCCGACTCTGATCTTGTCGGTCAGGGTTTGCGCACTCTGGAACTCTGCGTGGACAACCTCACGGCGGACTACCTGGATCCAATCATGGGCCCAATAATGGACGAGCTGATGACTGCACTCTGGGACCACCTGCGCCCATCACCTTACAACCACTTCCACGCACACACCACTATGCGCATCCTGGGAAAACTTGGCGGACGTAATCGGAAGTTCCTCAACCACCCGCCTGAATTATCGTTCCAGCAGTTTTCTGATGATAACCCGAGCTTCGATATCAGGCTTATCGGCCCGAACGAGAAGCGGCCTTTCCCCATAGATATCGGCATTGATCTCGCTGCGGGTAAACTCATGGAGGTTCCCAAGACGGACTCGGGGAAAGCATCGGACATTTACTACAAGCAGCAAGCTTACCGCATGCTCAGCTCTCACCTCAAGCTCCAAATCGGTTACGACAACATCCCCGAAGACTTGGCAATCTTGATCAGACTCCATGCCAATGATCTCTTCGAGAATAAGCCGGGTGCTATGGCAGATATTCTTGACAAGTCCGAAAGGTCGGCCTCTATTCCGAAGAAGATTGCGCAGGAAGCAACAGTGAAGAAGCTGATCAAGGCTTGTATCTTTGCCACCACTATTCCTGAGCTCGAGCAAACCGCCACAGCCTTTGTGGCGGATGTTTGCAAGCACTTTGCTCTTGTAGAGGTCGGTCGTGCCCTGGCTCAAGTCCGACACGGTCGCAAAGCCTTTGACGTTGCAAACGGGGAAGGCCCTGTATACCTCGACTCCAGGATTCTCGCCGAGGCTTTAGTCGAGTGTTTGTCATCCGATGAGGTCCATGTCCGAGAAGCAGCTGAGCAGGCAATGGTGGTTGTGAAGGATGCCGCGGGCGTCATCTTCGG